TTAATCTTAGTTCGAGATTTTTACCAGTTTGACCGTAATAAACTTTATCGCAAATTTTACAAGGAATCTTATAGACACATCCATCAGCATTTTAGGGGGAATTCTTTATCAAAAGTTTTTTTACTGTATCAAGATTTTTGAACTCAACTTTAATATTAAAAGTCTTAAGAAGAGAAGGCATATCAACCAAGTTTTCATGGTAAGGGAGAACCAACATATTTTTAGTTGAATAAGGCTGGTTGTCCCTTTTTGGATTGTAAAAAGTATTTCTAGCAACTTTAAAAGATTTATCAATTACATTTCTTGGGTATTTTAAATCATTACCTATTTCATAAATTTTGGATATTTCCTCATCTATGAACTCAGGACTACAAATTCGTAAAGCTCTCAAAAACATTGATGAGAAAACAGACAGTTTGACTCTATCTTGATGCGAGGAATAATAGTGGACATAGGAACAGTTATTTGTAGGTTTTCTGTAAATTTTAAATTTGAATTCATTATTACCCTTAATAATTAAAACATCTAGAAAAGGCAATGAGTTATTTTCTTCAAACTCAACAGTAAAGTTTATAGAATGGGCTAAGTTTGTGGGGTGAGTTGTGCAAAGGACCTATCCAAGTTGGGTCGGCGCGCGTCAGGTGTTTAACCGTTGTGGGATCTGATAGTGAGGTGTTGGCCAGACCCCTTATATAGCTTCCTTGGATGCTTTACTTTCATAGTTCCTTGATAATGTGAGTAGTCACGAAAGCGCTTGGAATTTCTCTATTCTTTCAGAGTGGTTGTTTTGCATATTCTGAAATCACCTGTTTACTGTGATCTTATTGCATATATATATATATATATATATATATATATATATATATATATATATATATATAATATATATATATATATATATATATATATATATAATATATATATAATGCTTGCCGTGGGAGACCCCCACCAAGGCAAGGTGACCCGAAAGAGAAACACTTCCACCATCACTCACACTGTCACTGCCTTGCCAGAGGCGCGCAGATACGTCAGTTTAGATATCACTCTAAACAGTAAATATCCCAAACCTCTCCTTTAAAGTTAAGTATTTCATTTAATTCTCTTAGTACAGTGCTATTCCTGTCACTTATTATAAACAACGGATAGAAATTAAGTATAATGAGGGATGGTTCACACAGTCCTCTGAACTATTGTAACAAATACATATAACATATAGATACATATAACATATAGATACATATAACATATAGATACATATAACATATAGATACATATAACATATAGATACATATAACATATAGATACATATAACATATAGTTACATATAGATACATATAACATATAGATACATATAACATATAGATACATATAACATATAGATACATATAACATATAGATACATATAACATATATGAACATATAACATATAGATACATATAACATATGAACATATAACATATAGATACATATAACTAAACATATAGATACATATAACATATAGATACATATAACATATAGATACATATAACATATAGATACATATAACATATAGACACATATAACATATAGATACATATAACATATAGACACATATAACATATAGATACATATAACATATAGACACATATAACATATAGATACATATAACATATAGATACATATAACATATAGATACATATAACATATAGATACATATAATTATATGTCTATATGTTAAGGTCCAGTGGTACAAACACTGCGCCTTGACACACCTGCCTTGACACACCTGCACACAATAAACAGAGGTTCTGCTGTAATATATTAGTTGCAGAGTTATTCAGAAGAACACATCTGACACAACAATGACAAAGCTGTTAAAGATTGGTTTCCGTAAAAGCGTACCTAGACATGAAGCTCTGTGGGGGAGCCCAGATCACAAAGGTTTACCTGGAGTTTACCTGGAGAGGTTTTCGGGGGTCAACGCCCCCGCGGCCTGGTCTGAGACTAGGCCTCATGGTGGATCAGGGTTTGATCAACCAGGCTGTTACTGCTGGTCGTACTGCAAGCTGACGTACGAACCACAGCCCGTTTGGTCAGGTACTGACTTTAGGTGCCTGTCCAGTGCCTTCTTGAAGACAGCCAGGGGTCTATTGGTAATCCCCCTTATGTATGCTGGAGCCAATTGAACAGTCTTGGGCCCCGGACACTTATTGTGTTGTCTCTCAGCGTACTCGTGGCACCCCTGCTTTTCATCGGGGGAATGTTGCATCTCCTGCCGAGTCTTTTGCTTTCATATGGAGTGATTTTCGTGTGCAGGTTTGGTACCAATCCCTACAAGACCTTCCAAGTGTATATTATCATGTATCTCTCTCGTCTGCATTCGAGGAAATACAGATCAAGGACCTTCAACCGTTCCCAGTAGTTTAGGTGCCTTATCGCACTTATGTGTGTGGTGAAAGTTCTTTGTACACTCTCCAGGTCTGCAATGTCGCCAGCGTTGAAGGGGGCCGTTAGTGTACAGCAGTATTCCAGCCTAGAGAACACAAGCGATTTGAAGAGAATCATCATGGGCTTGGCGTCCCTAGTTTTGCAGGTTCTCATTATCCATCCTATCATTTTCCTAGCGGATGTGGTAGATACATTGTTGTGATCTTTGAAGGTGAGATCATCTGACATTATCACTCCCAGGTCCTTCACATTACTTTTCCGCTCTATTGTACGGTTAGAATTTGTGGTATACCCTGACACATTTTTAATTTCTTCAAGTTTCCCATATCTGAGTAGTTGAAATTTCTCCTCGTTGAACTTCATATTGTTTGAGTGGCCCATTCGAAGGTTTGGTTGATGTCCACTTGGAGTCTCGCAGTGTCTTCGACGGAGGTCACTGCCATGGTGATCCGGGTGTCATCCGCAAAGGAAGACACAGAGCTATGGCTTACAGCTATGTCAGAAATGAGGATGAGGAATAGAATGGGAGCGAGTACTGTTCCTTGTGAAACAGAGTCTTTTACCAAGGCTGCCTGGGACTTTACTCTATTTACTATTTCACTTTGTGTTCTATTTCTCAGGAAGTTGTAGATCCATCTACCAATTTTTCCCGTTATTCCTTTATCCCGCATTTTGTGTGCTATTACACCATGGTCACACTTGTCGAAAGCTTTTGCAGTCTGTGTATACTACATCTGTATTTTGTTTATCCTCTACAGCATCCAGGACCTTGTCATAGTGTAGCTGGGACAGCAGGAGCGACCTGCTCTAAACCCGTGTTGTTCTGGGTTGTGTAACTGATGGTTATTGATGACGTCATCAACGCACATTCATGGGTTTACGGAGCACTGCTGAAGGATGTGGTCGCCTGACAAACCTAATAATAGCGTTTCGACGCCTATAGTTGAGTATCTTTATTATGCACCAACTACGCATCCTGTGGGCTGTGGTCAAAAGATTATAGACATCTAAGGAGTCATTCACGATACTGTACACTGTGTACGTCAGGCCGATACTGGAGTATGCAGCACCAATATGGAACCCACACCTGATCAAGCACGTCAAGAAATTAGAGAAAGTGCAAAAGTCTGCAACAAGACTAGTCCCGGAGATATAGAGCAGTATGTCCTAATGCTTTTCATAACATATACCGTCTTTTTATTATGCCATCTGCACACTTAATTCGACCTGAAATTCCGATCGGAACCACGTTTTGTGGTTGTATAAAAATCGCTTTTCTTCAGTGTTTGGGCATCAGTCATCGCTGTTGTGATTTGTGAAGCACTGAGGAGTGTCTCTCTTGATACGTGCTGCTGCTGCTGCTGCTCTTGTTTTCTTATCCTCGTCAGAACTGAGGCACGGATGGATTTACAAACATACCAGAATGTTTTAGAAAATTAAAACGCGGTGCTGTCAACAAGTTCACGGTCTTGTGCAAATGGACTGTGTATTATGATAACGACCCTAAACAAACACGAGACTCAACGAAAAGAAATCACTGGTGCACAAAATCATTGTTCTTGACTGGTAGTCACAACAGCTTCCACTGGATGTATGTATAAGCGGGCCCACTTATACATACATCCAGTGCAGGGCTGCTGATGTGAAGCGGAAATCGCCGTAAAGTGAAACTTGGCTTTTTTTTCACTCTCGAATGCACATAAAAACCTGAAAACATTATAACATATTAAGTGAGCAATAATGCTAGGCCTAAAAAAATGTATATACAGTACACACATTACTTACCTTAAAATATTTTCTTCCTTGGCTTATAGTGAATATTGAATATAGTTATTGTAGGAAGTCTAATTTAAAACCGTTGCATTAGCGAAGCCTGTATATGTATGTATATATATATATATATATATATATATATATATATATATATATATATATATATATATATATATATATATATATATATATATATATATATATATATATATATCCCTGAGAGGTATGTTTTTTCAGTGTATTTATACTGCGAATTTATTTTTACCCCAATTTTAGGGATTAAAGTATTCTTGTTAGGTGGTGAAAAGGTCATCATGCAGCCTTAGTGATCATAGTGTAGTCGATAGGCTTTAAACCAACAAATCAATACCCTGACCTGCATCTTCGTGTACTGAAAAAAACTCAGTCCTATACTTTGATAAGGTGAGTTTTTCCAAGTGTTGTATGATTGTATTACTACAACAGTGTCTTTTTCTACTGTGGTAAATCCCAATTATAATTGTAGACTTGGTCGAGTTCAAATTGTTTGTATTTTTTTTCAGAAAGGACATGTTTGAATACTTTATAAAAATCAGACAAAAAAATCATTAATTAAAACATTTTTTTATTAATTATGTATATGAAATTACCATTTGTAAAAATGTGTAACAAGGTAATGATGACCCATGGACCATTAACATTTTTAATTTTGACCCAAATTCATGTTTTTATATTGTAAAATGAACATATTTTAGTGCTATAAGAACGTTTCTCTTGAGATATATTACGATTTAATATGTAACATGGATGGTGGTGGACAGAGATAGACAGTGGTCGTGGTGGTGCTGAGGTGTGGACGCGAGCACCGCTAGACAGGGAGGAGCACCGCCAACTGGTGACTGAGGTGGTGGTGACTGATGCTGGGGGACTCGCCGCCACTCATCCAGTTACAATCATCATTGATGACATCAACGACAATCCCATGAAACCCGCCGCCAAGACTGTCTACCTCTGCAAGACGCAGGTCACTTCTTGTTACTATACGGGGAAGGGCTAAACACGTATGGGTCGTATAGCCCCTGGAGAATGGGGAGGGGGGAGTAATGAGGTTTGATTAAAGGAAAGGGGGCGTTAGCTCCATTTACTTGGATCAAGCGCCAGTAACAAGTAGTAACCTACGATAACTTGAAGATAATATTAGTAACCTACGGTAGCTTGAAGTATTATAGTTACACTTTCAATTTCAAGAGATTTTCCCCTGTAAATTTACCTAAACTGCAATAGTTTGCAAGAAGATTAACGTTAAATCTGAGTGAGTAAGTGTGTGTATTGACATCCCGTGGCAGGGCGGGGGCGCTGATGCTGCCCTGGGCAGAGTCTACGTGGAGGACCCTGATGACTGGGACCTCCAGGATAAAACTTTTGAGTGGGCTGGACCACCTCACCCGCTCTTCACTCTTCAACCCAACACTGGTGATATATTTGCCTCCATGCAGCTGAGAGAGGGAAGGTGAGATAGCTACTGGTGAAGCGTCTATACAGCCTGTAAGGACTTAGTTGATAGGTTTAAGTTTAATAGAAGCAGTTTGTAAGCGTTTAGGTGTTAGATGTAAATATATTAAAAACATATGAGGGTTAATCTCTTTGGTGTACATATGTAAACAGACACAATGTACTCTACTGTAATGCATTTAATAAAAGATATCTGTTGCAACCAGTGTCTTTGAGAGAGATCTGTCCCTTATAGAGGATGATCATGAAATCACTAATTTAAATAGCCAGAATTAAACTGGTCTGTATTATTTTTAAATAGTAACAAACACTCTACAAGCTTTAAATTCAGTTATGAAAAAAAAACATTTTTAGCAGAAATCTGCTTGAACGAGACGAGTCTACGAACACCTTTAACAGCATAGCTGCGATATAACGTCATTACTGTGTTCACGCGGCACCTTCACACCTATAATAGAGCGTAATAATATTGTGTTCTAGCTTCACGTTCAAAGCTTGGCAAGTGCATACTGAATATTCAGTCCCTCATTAATTCTCTAAATACCTTTCTGCCAATTATTGGGCTTCTCCAGGTAATGATTTTGTGAAATGGCTTCTATAAGCGAGACTCAGAATTGAATGCATGATTTTTTCACTTTACTTTTTCACTTAACATTAAATCATTCGACATTCGCATTACTTAATCCTATTACTGCGAAACTTTTGGCCTAATTTCCTTTTGCTCCTCAGTTTCCTCTGGTCAAGTTGAATATATCATCACTATTTTTTTAAAGAACTTTTGGCAATGTCAGTGAAATATTTAGGTATTCCTTTGTTTGTGAATGAATTTTCCGTAGATTTCTTCGCTTTTTTTTTTTTTTTTGCTTTGAAGAGACACGTAAGTCCCCCCCCCCCCCGTCTTCTAATATGTTCATTTTTTCAACTTCAATCTTCCATGTCCATAACTGATATCACATTTTTGTCTGTTTCGTAAGATGGAGTCCAGGATCTTTACTTAATTTACTTAATTCATGGTATAACTTCACAAATTTTTGAGGACAATTGTGTTGTAGAGGTCTGAGACTTCTGCAACACAATTATTCTCAAAGATTTAAGTTATACCACGAATTAAGTAAAGTTCTTAGACATCACTTTACGAAACAAAGAAATTATGGACACGGTAGATTATAGTGATTTCTTGGTGTTGCCTGCCAGATATGAGCTACAGTTTGTGGTGTCAGACAGAGTATGGGCACAGAGGAACGTGGAGGCGAACGTGAGTGTCGTAGTGCGACACCTGACACCTGAGGCACTGGCACATGCTGTGCCAGTCACACTCATGCCCACCACACCTGCCACACTCACGGCTGGATGGACTCCCATGGTAAAACTTCTTGATACTTGATTTATCTTAGCCCAGGTATCGCTTGTTCTAGTTCTTGATGCCTTTAATGAGGGGAGGGAGGGGGGATGTTTGCCTTGATGCTGGTCAAGGTTTACTGATACGAAAGAACTAGTGCTACCTTAGTCTACCGGTGGCCTGGTGGCTAAAGCTCCCGCTTCACACACGGAGGGCCCGGGTTCGATTCCCGGCGGGTGGAAACATTTCGACACGTTTCCTTACACCTGTTGTCCTGTTCACCTAGCAGCAAATAGGTACCTGGGTGTTAGTCGACTGGTGTGGGTCGCATCCTGGGGGACAAGATTAAGGACCCCAATGGAAATAAGTTAGACAGTCCTCGATGACGCACTGACTTTCTTGGGTTATCCTGGGTGGCTAACCCTCCGGGGTTAAAAATTCGAACGAAATCTTATCTTATCTTACTTGATTATCTCCCATTACCTGGGAACTGTATGATATTTACAAGGTTAGCGTTTCCCCGTGTATATAATAATAATAATAAAATAATAATAATAATAATAATAATAATATGATATTAATTGTTTAGTCACCTTGTTAATCAAATCTTTAATACCCTCTCTCTCTCTCTCTCTCTCTCTCTCTCTCTCTCTCTCTCTCTCTCCTCTCTCTCTCCTCTCTCTCTCTCTCTCTCTCTCTCTCTCTCTCTCTCTCTCTCTCCTCTCTCTCTCTCTCTCTCTCTCTCTCTCACTCTCCCACACACACACACACACACCAGGGGTGTATTTTCTAAAGCTAACATCACACACAAACATTTGCACAAATCAGTTACAATTCCCCAATGATTTGTAACTCGAGTGTTATTTATACTTTATAGTGCGGGCAGGTTTTTAAAGCACCAGTTCAAACTGTTGGATTTCCACAAAAGACTAATTCTCAACCTCAAATTTTTAAAGCACTGAACCTGTATCCTACACATAGTAGCTGCATCCTAGACACTGTATCTATCCTACACGTTGTAGCTGTATCCTAGGAAGTGTACCTGCATTCTACACGTTGTTGCTGCATCCTAGACACTGTACTTGTATCGGACACATGGTAATGTATCCTGACACTACCTATATCGGACACATAGTAGTGTATCCTAGACACTGTACCTGTATCGGACATATGGTAGTGTATCCTAGACACTGTACCTATATCGGACACATGGTAGTGTATCCTAGACACTGTACCTATATCGGACACAAGGTAGTGTATCCTAGACACTGTACCTATATCGGACACATGGTAGTGTATCCTAGACACTGTACCTGTATCGGACACATGGTAATGCATCCTGACACTACCTATATCGGACACATAGTAGTGTATCCTAGACACTGTACCTATATCGGACACATGGTAGTGTATCCTAGACACTGTACCTGTATCCTACACATTGTAGCTGCATTCTACACTGTAATTATATAGTACTTGACTCCCGTCAAGGAAGAGGGGGCCTTGAGACTAGTGAAGGGCTCTTGATCCGATGAAATGAAGCTGTCCCTTATTCTCGGATGACCCTTGTGGTCTTAAAACTTCTCAGTGAACATGGAAATCTCCAACTTAAGTATGTACTTTCATACGTCTCCGTGCGTCACCAGTAGCTCTGCAATGCTGCAAAAGTAGCAACACAAGAAATGAAAGAAAGTTTTCCTCAGAGTAAGTAAGCGTGGCGACACCAGCCAGCTTCTCTCACAAGTTAAGAGGCATTCTCAAGGCAGGGCAGGGCAGTGCAGTGCAGGGCAGGGCAGGGCACGGCAGGGCTAAATATAGACTTTTTTCCTGCATGCATCATAATCGGTATTTTCATTTAGTGATGTCTCTTCATTAGATCATGTACTCAGTCAAGAGTGAAACCTTATTTGACTCCCAACAACATTTCACCATGATGCACATCTGACAGTAGGAGCTCCATTATTTCTATTCCTACTGAGCACTAAACCCGTCAAGCAGTCTGTTTACCGAACTTTATCAAACCAAGACGATGCTCAGTTTTCAAATATACATACATTGAAAAACCCTTCAAACAAAATTCTGAAAGCTTTTAAGCCAAAAATTTACAATATTTGATAGGGTCACTAGAAACGACGGTCGTCAGGTAAATTCAGCATTGTTTATAGTATACCCCAATACTGTATAACATGCATTAATATTGCATCTTCTTCTACATTCTGCAGCATGGAGGTGGCGGTCTAGGCACACTGTCGGAAATTGTAATGCAGGTAGTGGGGAAAGCAGCCAAGACAGTGGAGATCGTCAGTGTGTACGGAGGTCCAGCTCGTGATGCTTCTGCCATCAGTCCCACCTTCCCCAAGGCTGCTTCTCATGCCAGCAATGTTGTTCAGAGCTCGCAAACTGTAACACCCTTTGCTTGTGTGTGGGTGAGCGTCCGTCAGATGGGTGGCAGCTTCATCGATCCAGTCAAGCTGCATGGATTATTAGCACTTCATTTGCAGCATGTTAGTGATAATCCTGCCTCTCAACATAACTCACTGTGAAGAATTAGACACATGTGCAACATCTGTGTATCTTTATTTGTAGACGTTTTGCCATCCAGTTGCTTTATCAACACAAGTTCAAGGACGTAATTTGACCTTGAATTTTCATTAATAAAGCCATTGGATGGCGAAACGTCTACAAATAAAGATACCCAGACGTTGCACATGTGTCTAATTCTTCATCTTTTCGGTATTGTATACCATTCATGTATAACTCATTGTGGTACACAACTAACTCACAATTCAGACTGCATTTCTATCCATTTTGGACTATCAGTAAACCAAAACTAATTTTGCTATTAGATAGTTGTCCAAAATGGAATAAAAAAAATCGTCATAGATTTCCTCTCCAAGTTATGGGATATTTGTGAATTGTTCCATTTATGGAGTATATCGCTACTGCTCATTAAATTACCATACGTAAAATACATCTTTATAATTTTCTCTCAGTTAGAGAAAGTAATGAATTTGAAGGTGGCGCTGGAAGACACTCACACCTTAGAGGAGAACAGTGGGATGACTTCGCCTGCTTCCTTTGGCTTCTCTCCTTCAGACGTATCCTCACCACACAATCCTTCTTCCGTTGCTTCCCTGGCATCTGTGGTACTTCCTCTTCAGGTAAATATTTACTCCCTCTTCAGGTAAGTGCCTACCGGTATCTGGTACTCCCTCTTCAGGTAAGTGCCTACCGGTGTCTGTGGTACTCCCTCTTCAGGTAAGTGCCTACCAGTGTCTGTGGTACTCCCTCTTCAGGTAAGTGCCTACCAGTGTCTGTGGTACTCCCTCTTCAGGTAAGTGCCTACCAGTGTCTGTGGTACTCCCTCTTCAGGTAAGTGCCTACCAGTGTCTGTGGTACTCCCTCTTCAGGTAAGTGCCTACCAGTGTCTGGTACTCCCTCTTCAGGTAAGTGCCTACCGGTGTCTGGTACTCCCTCTTCAGGTAAGTGCCTACCGGTGTCTGGTACTCCCTCTTCAGGTAAGTGCCTACCGGTGTCTGGTACTCCCTCTTCAGGTAAGTGCCTACCGGTGTCTGGTACTCCCTCTTCAGGTAAGTGCCTACCAGTGTCTGTGGTACTCCCTCTTCAGGTAAGTGCCTACCAGTGTCTGTGGTACTCCCTCTTCAGGTAAGTGCCTACCAGTGTCTGTGGTACTCCCTCTTCAGGTAAGTGCCTACCAGTGTCTGTGGTACTCCCTCTTCAGGTAAGTGCCTACCAGTGTCTGTGGTACTCCCTCTTCAGGTAACTACCTGCTGGAGTTTGTGGTACTCCCTCTTCAGGTAACTACCTGCTGGAGTCTGTGGTACTCCCTCTTCAGGTAAGTGCCTATCGGTGTCAGTGGTATTCTCTCTTCAGTTAAGTGCCTACCGGTGTCTGTGGTACTCCCTCTTCAGGTAAGTACCCACTGGTGTCAGTGGTACTCCCTCTTCAGGCAAGTGCCTACTGGTGTCAGTGGCACTTCCTCTTCAGGTAAGTACCCACTGGTGTCAGTGGTACTCCCTCTTCAGGCAAGTGCCTACTGGTGTCAGTGGCACTTCCTCTTCAGGTAAGTACCCACCGGTGTCAGTGGTACTCCCTACGTCATTAGTACTCACCGATTTATGTTTGCGGGAGTCAATACTTATCTCCTGACCCTCTTCCTAGATCCCCTTCATCGGCATCGCTGACTTCTGGCCTCTTGGGGCTTATCATATCTACTCTTGAAGCTGTGCATTGAGCATGCCTCCAACACTGTCTCATCCAGGTTACTCCATGTTCAACCACCTTGAGACTTAAGATATACATACCCCCCTCAATAGGTAAGTAGGTCTGCCTCTTGGCATCTATAGTATGCCCTCTTCAGTATGTCTTGGCATCTGTGGTATTCCGTTTTTCAGGTAAGTATACGTCTACATACCTGTCTCCTCTGTTACTTGATAATATCATTACCCTTCCAAGGAAGGGAAAGATAGCTCCAACCCTTCGGATCAAGAATCCTTTACTAGAATCAAGGCATCCCCCTCATTATGTATTGCAAGGCTACAACCATGACATCTCAAGTGCCATAACTTATGCAATCAATATATATTTTTTTCACGTGCACTTATAAGTTATTGTTACTTTCACAGGTAGTAGACACCAACCTGACGTCTCTAGTGACACCTCGACTGACACGAGCACATGATTGCCACACCCACACACGTTATGAAGATGAAACATGTACCCTCACCTCGTGTCTTAATGGTGGCCGCTGTGTGAGCACACATCAAGGTAGTAGGTACGATAAGCCCTAGGGATTTCCTTTTATGTTAGTAGTTGGTCAGTGTCAATAGAGGATTATTGTTATTGTCACTGGGAAGTACTTTACCCATAACCCAGCAAATGCCTGGATCTCCTTGAACTTTCTCTTTGTGGTGTAGAGGGTTCTTATGTTCGCCAATATTCCATGCGTAGTACTACTGGCTTTGTTTTTGCGGGCCTCTGTCGATAAATTAGGTATATATCTACTCTGGGTCCTTCCTCCTTCCTGAAGTTCGCACATAATTTCTTTTTCTCTCTATCTCCTCCCATCCTCATGACCTTGCACTTTCGAGGGCTGAACTTTAGTCATTTATTGTACTATTCTTGCAAGTTCTCTGTCATTTTTGCTATGTTTTGCTGCATTCTCGCAAGTTTTACACCATCTGCAAACAGTGACATGTGGGAATTGATCTCCCTGGCAGGTGGTTTGACGTATATCGAGAACATCATGGAGCCAAGAACTGATCTTTGGGGAACTCGACTAGTTACTTCTCTCCAGTTCGACGTCTCTTCTCTCACTGGCTCTTTACCTTCTGTCTGTCAGGTAATCCTTTATTCAGTGGAGTTCCCTCCCTGATATCCCAGCCTGATTTTCCAATTTGTATAGTAGTCGCCCTTGACGCACCATATCAGAGGAGTTCCAACAGCCCAGGAACATGTGAACATGTAATCTGCTACGTTTGGTTTCCATCATTCTATCATATAACTCAAAGTAGGTTAATGAGTCATGGTTTTTTACTTATCTGTATTCGTCTTGTTGATTCAGTGAGTATTATTTATTCTCTCAGTGGTCTGCCAAACGGCTTCTTGCCTTCTCCAGCATTTGTAGGTTTTCTTTTTTTCATCAAACCGGCCATTTCCCACAGAGGCAGGGTGGCCCAAAAAGAAAATCAAAAGTTTCTCTTTTTATATTTAGTAATGTATACAGGAGAAGGGGTTGCTAGCCCCTTGCTCCCATTTGTAGGGATATTTACATTACAATTTATGTATGACTTAACCTCCACTTTCACTCACTAATGCATTCCGGCCTCTCATTGCCTTTGTGCTGAAGTTTCTCTTTATATCTTTGACTCGTTTGAGTGTTTAATTTCCATTTGTATTCTCCTTGACCTGATTCCACCTTATTAAAACAGTCAATTTTTTATTCACCATGTAAATACCACTGAATCTGAGTGAGGCTGTGTAGTAGTGCCAGCAGGAACCTTGCATAACCTGCTATCTTTTTTTTTCATTTCTTCTTACCTTACCTCCTTGCTCTGAGGTGTTGGTTTCTGGACTTCCTAGTTGTTTCTACCCCAGTTTTTTAGCATGCATTGTGCTCTGCACTTTTCCTATTATACTATCTTATTGGCATTTTTATTGTTAAAAAACATGGATTATCTTTGTATTGTTCACTTCTTTTTTTAAGTAGGAATGAATCTACTTGGCACTTGCTAGCACCTCGTGGCTTATGTTAGCATCCTTATAGAATTAATCAATCCAGTGTATTTCTGATAGAAATTAATGATCACGAAGTGTTCACTTCTGTGTCCCAATCATGATTTTCTTCACCTAACCTTCAACTCCACCTCCACTAGGTATGCCTTGGTCATTAGGCAGTGATAATAATTTATCTTCCCTGTGTCTGATTCATTCAATGACAATATCAAGTCTAGCCTGGCCAGTATGCCATGAATCATTCTGGCTATGCATCCAATTATGTACAGAGTCGGGAAAGAATCTTTTTGCCAGTCTCTGAAGATATGCTCTAGGTGTATATCTCCTATAATGTCCCTGTTTTCAGATTATTTTACAGTGATTGTAATCCCCACATTTTAGGAGTATTGTTCCTATTTGCCATCATGGCTGTGCTTTCTATGATGGTTATGGTGGCATTGTCTTGATCATGTATTGTACCTGACCAGGTATCATACTTCTGTCTTGGTCCTTGCTGTATGTCAGTCTTATATATTATCACCACTGTTTCCTTACTTGTAGAGCCTCTCTCTCCCCATTTAAATTCACTGTTTACTATTTTAAGGTCCCTTGGGTAAATTTAATAAATTTTTACTCAAAAGTTTGGTTTCAGTTGGGGTGATTTAATCTGATTCCTATTTCAGTATATATTTTATAAATTAGAATGCTTGTTTGTATTAAAGCCATTCATCTGTGGACTTTTAACTAAAATATTCATCTGTATATGGTGTATTTTCTAGGTGTGTGTGTCCTGGTGAATCCTGGGGGTCCAGGTGTAAGATACTTGCTCGCACCTTCTCCAGGTCTGGTTGGGCATGGGTACGTCCCTTGCCTCCATGTCTGCCCACTACCCTGTCTTTACGCCTCCTCACTCATGTTCCTGATGCTCTGATCCTGTACTCTGGACCACTGTCACCTGCATCTGCCCACCCTCATTACCCACCCACACCCATGGTGGCACTGCAGCTGGTGGGTGGACACCCACAGGTGCTGCTGGAAGGTGCCAGAGGACCTGCCAAGCTTCAAGTGAACACTACACTCAAGCCTGGCACCTGGCATACCCTCCACCTGCATCTCAATACTCAGGTATGATCAGTATTTTAATAATCACAAAAATTATGAGCTTTTTCTAAACACAATATTGTATATTCACCTGAGAATTTTTCCAATCAACAAGGAAGTTAAACCCTGTCATTATTGGAAGTATGACTAGAACTGGATACACAGGGAAGTGCTAAACCCATAAGGGTTACAAACACCTGGGGAATTTGAAGTAATCAAGGTTAATCCAAGGAAGGGAAAGTGTATCTAATTCTTTGAACCAAGAGTTCATCCACAACTTCTTGGCACCACTGTTTGTTATTAACATGTCACCCTTCCATGTTTCCTCCATGTATTAATGAAAGATAATAGTTAGGTTCAACGAACATTTGAAAATAGTAAAGTATCCCTGAGGGGATTTTATTTTATTTTGGTCATAAGCTTCAAACTTTGAATGCTTGTGTATGGTAACGAGGACCAGATTCTGGGAACTGACGTATCTTGTAACCTTAGTTATTAAACCCATCCCCAGCATCCTGAATTGACTGGGATAACTTCCAAAACCCTTAATGGTGTAACTTCAAATGACAGTGAAGAGTGAAATTCAAATGTGTTGATACAGATTTGACCATTTTGTGTGTAAAATTTTCTTTCTCTTATAATCATCACAATTAAACTATATGATTCTAGGGCCAGGACAGTACACATTAATTTGTATGTGGGCAAATTTGTCAATGCTATAAATATTTTTTAAAACTTGGAATCATTGGAATTTTCATCAAATTGGACTCTTAAAAACACAATCTGTGTTTTTCATTACAGCATTGTAGTGAATTTCAAAGCTAATACAACTGAAAAACAAAAATAATTAAATATTGAAAGCTCCCAGTTAGAGCAAATTACTGATTGTGAATATTAACTGTATGTGAAACTATACCTTTCAATGCTAATAGCACATTTTTTTTTTTTTTTTAGTTTATTATATTCCTTCAAATTTAGTTTACAGTAAGCACATATTGCTGCTGTGCATAATGGGGAAAGTAATTTATAAATTATTTATCTTATATTTCAGGGAGTCATGCTAATGGTGGATCATTGTGGACATGGCTGGAGAGTCAACAAGACTGATGATAGCCACTGCATTGCTAGGATCCCATGGGCAAACTCTCGTGTAACAGAGAGTTGGAGTAGCAGTGTGCCCTTGCAGCTGGGTGGCCTTGCTCATCCATACCCACAAGCAGCAGACTTTGGATGGTCAGCTTCCCTTGTGTACCAACCTTTAGATGGTTGCATCTCTCACCTCACAGTCAATGGACAGGTATTGTAGCTGGGATACAGAGCTGTACTGCCAATAATAAGGGGAAAAAAGGCAGGCACACAGCTAATTTTTGTCATGACTGTTTTTTTTTTACCTCAAGGGAGGCTCTTTGATGCCAGTGAGGGGCTCTTTATGCAAGAAATTGTAATTTCCCTCCTCTCCCTTGGATTGAACCTGAATGCCTCCCATTACCTTGTGAATGTAATAAAAGTAATAAATAATAATCATAAGAAAAACAATATTAAGAGCTCTATATAGAGCAAATCACAGGTGTGGTACTTTATTTAAAACGGCCTATATGTTTAATATTTTTGCATCCCAGTACACAGATGTTAGTGTCTAGTCCCTGGACCCATCATGTGCCTTTATTTTTTTTATTGCTCATATTAGAAAGCAGTCAGATTTAATTCAAAGCATTTTAAGATTGCATCTCATTGATCACTAACTATATACAGTACAGTGGACCCCCGGTTAACGATATTTTTTCACTCCAGAAGTATGTTCAGGTGCCAGTACTGACCGAATTTGTTCCCATAAGGAATATTGTGAAGTAGATTAGTCCATTTCAGACCCCCAAACATACATGTACAAACGCACTTACATAAATACACTTACATAATTGGTCGCATTCGGAGGTGATCGTTATGCGGGGATCCACTGTATTGGCAAACCATATGCTTTTTCTCAACTATAAAGGAGTTGACTTTAGCTGTCTATGGATGCATTTACTGTTAGTAAAGGAAGTTCTACCAGTACCATTATTATATCTATCTGTAAACACTACACCCCTAGGAGTTGTACAACACCTTGGGGATGAGGGGTAGTCATGTTATGTATATTTTTTTACGGAGTACAATTCTAATTCAAGTTTTTGGAGTAGTATAATCTTCAAATCACTAAAGCTCTTAAGTCAGCATTTTAACAAAATTTACTACCATCACTAAATTTTCAGCTATCTTTGCACAGTTACTGTCAGTTAGCCATTGTAACTAATGTACTGTCATGTTACAGATATAAATTACAATACCTATAGTCACAACAATTTTAAACGTAAGTTATAATATAATCCATTAATCTCAGTTTCAAGTCGTAGACTCAGTCACAGAAAATTTTAACAAAAGGGAAAAATCTTTACTATGCAAAAAAAAAATGAGTTTTCTGGGTCCTTCTTTGCATGCTCAGGCTGCTTAAATCAAACTGTATAAAAGTAAGGTGAATTCAACTTTTAGGAACTAAATTAATATATTTTTCTTGTATTCTGGCAGCTGTTGAAAGTTAGCTCAGTGCCTACATTCAATATTCACACCTTAAGACTAAACTGATCTATTAACTGTTCTTAGCTGGTTGACTTAGGTGAGCCATCATACAGCGCTGCAAGTATGAAGGGCTGTCAACCTCAGGAAGCTGCTTGTGGGGATGGTCCAGTCACTTGTGGTTTGCGAGGTCAATGTGTTGGTGGACTAGAGAGTCCTAAATGTGACTGCCAGCCAGGATGGATGGGGCCTGCTTGTGCCACACCAACAGTACCAGTTGCTCTTGGTCAGGCCTCATTTGCCAAGGTAGCACTGTCATTCATCCCAGACCCTTACGATATGACTTTGCAGTTACGAATGAGAACAAGGGGTCTTCCAAATGGTCTCTTGATGCAGCTATCCACCAGCAAGCAGTCTCATGCTCTGAAACTACATGTATGATTTTGTAACCTTAAGTACTTCCTTGCTGCAAATGTAATCATTCTAATATGATTATATGAAATAGTTCTATGTATAGTTTTATCATAATTGTTCAAGAATTATTTTTATTAACAGGTACGTAGTGGTGTTATGTGTTCAACAATGTCTTGCACAGAGTGGGGTGTGCAGGAAGTATGCTTAGAGGGCATCCCACTTGGTGATGGGTCATGGCACACTATACGAGTAGGTCGCCACGGGCATAACCTTATTATCTCAGTGGATGATGGTGATGGGTGGCGAAAAAATGAGACACTAGCCTCTTTCTTTACTACCACCAGCCTTGGGGACATACAAGCTCTAGTTGCACTGCCTCCCTTACCAATCACTGTTGACAAGCAAGATGGACTAGTTATGGGTGGCATCCCAGAGTTTGAAAGCTTGAGCCTGGTCACAGTTCATGATGACCTACAAAACAGTGAGTAGCAAATCAGTCAAAACTAAACACTAAACCCACAAGGGTCATACAGAGCCACACATTCTGGTGGCAGTATCTTGGTTTTCCTGAACTATTAGTACGCATCAACAAATTTAATGATAATTTTTTTATTTGCATATATTTACTATTTTATTGAAGTTATAATTAAGCTTTATAGTACTAACAGCATTAATAAAATAAGTTTATATAGGCTGAAATAATGTGAGAGATGCCTTATGAATGCTAGCTTCAGCTGGTGAGGTTACATCATCATGTCAACCTCAACTGGTGTGGTTACATTATGTCAGCCCCAGTTGGTATGGTTACATTATGTTAGCCTCAGCTGGTGTAATTACATAATATCAGACTCAACTGGTGTGTTTACATCATGATGTCAGCCTCAGCTGGTGTGGTTAGCTATTGTACTGCTTACAATATTTAATGTTGAAATTCACATATACACCATACATGAAGTTTTTTCAGATACAAGAATTATCTAAGTTTCCTTGTGTTTTTGACAGGCTGTATTGATGATGTACGTGTATCAGGGCACCCCATACCACTACCACCTTCTGTAAATGGAACCAACTGGGGTCAGGTGACCACTTTAAGAAATCTAAAGCAAGGTTGTTCTTCACGTGATTCTTGCAGCAACACCACCTGCTTGCCTCCCCTATCCTGTCATGACATCTGGAGGCAAGCAACATGCAGGTGAAGACTTGCTAGTAGTTTCCTTGGAAGTTATGGAAATGCAGGAGGAAATATGGCTCCTATTATTATTGCTGTATATTCATGGGAAAGTGCTAAATTCATGCGAGTAATACAGAACCTGGGGAATGAGAGGTAATCAGGTTTGATTCTTGGAAGTGGAGGGTAGCTCCACTTCCTTTGATCAGGAGAACAGAGGTGTATGAGGGGTAGGGGGTTAGTGGAGGTGGAGGTTAGTTCAATAAGCCCTGGACATTTTGAGGATGTTAAGCTAAAGGTGTGTGACTTTATTTTTTTTTAGTTCATTGAGGTAAAGCTCCTTGAAGATATTGACCTTCAGCTCCGCAACTTCTTGGGATTTTGAATCTTAGCTCTTAAGTCTAGAGGGAGTTGACTGTAATTGTTTTGCCTCTTGTGTACTGTATTGTATTTCATGAAGTACTAAAGCTGTACTGAGAACCGGAGTTTTTATTTTTTTAACAAGTTGGCCATCTCCCACCGAGGCAGGGTGACCCAAAAAGAAAGAAAATCCCCAAAAAGAAAATACTTTCATCATTCAACACTTTCACCTCACTCACACATAATCACTGTTTTTGCAGAGGTGCTCAGAACACAACAGTTTAGAAGCATATACGTATAAAGATACACAACATATCCCTCCAAACTGCTAATATCCCGAACCCCTCCTTTAGAGTGCAGGCATTGTACTTCCTATTTCCAGGACTCAAGTCCAGCTATATAAAAATAACCGGTTTCCCTGAATCCCTTCACTAAATATTACCCTGCTCACACTCCAACAGATCGTCAGGTCTCAAATACCATTCGTCTCCATTCACTCCTATCGAACACGCTCATGCATGCCTGCTGGAAGTCCAAGCCCCTCGCCCACAAAACTTCCCTTACCCCTTCCTTCCAACCTTTTCGAGGACGACCACTACCCTGCCTTCCTTCCCCTACAGATTTATACGCTTTCCATGTCATTCTACTTTGATCCATTCTCTCTAAATGACCAAACCACCTCAACAACCCCTCTTCAGCCCTCTGACTAATATTTTTATTAACTCCACACCTTCATTCCAGAAGAGACGTTCAGGCCTGAGTGGTTGAGGGGAGAGGACGTGTGTGTTGAGTGAAGTCCTAGGCCTTCTATATCAGAACTGCTTATCTCACCCAACTGATAACTCATCATGGAACAAATATCGTTGGAGCGCAGCCGAATTGCTGCTGGAACTCTTATGTGTGAACTGTGACTAGTGATATACCTAGTGAAACACAAACATGTTGATTTGAAGTGGCTGTAGGAGGCTACACCTTCACCTCGCCTGTCTCCCCTCCTTCCTCAATTTGGAACTCAGCCATTCGCCTCTATTTACTTATGGTCTAGAGGCGGTTTTTGCCAGACCGCATAAATGCTTGAGTGCCCGTGTCAGTCCTCCGTGCCGCACTCCACTCATCTTACGAATATGTCTCCTGTGTGCCTACCTGCCTGCTACAAGCAAATATCCAAGTGGTTGACACGGGCTTAGCAAGCACATTCAAGCAGGCTTGAAAGCAGCATTCCAAGGCCCAGCATGTCTCTCCACACCTCCTAATTTCCACACTCCGAATTTTCTGCATGATATTTACACCACACATTGCCCTTAGACAAGACATCTCCACTGCCTCCTCACTGCTGCATTCACAACCCAAGCTTCACACCCATATAAGAGTGTTGGTACTACTATACTTTCATACATTCCCTTCTTTGCCTCCATAGATAACGTTTTTTGTCTCCACATTTACCTCAACGCACCACTCACCTTTTTTCACTCATCAATTCTATGATTAACCTCATCCTTCATAAATCCATCCACCGACACGTCAACTCCCAAGTATCTGAAAACATTCACTTCTTCCATACTCCTCCTCCCCAATTTAATATCCAATTTTTCTTTATCTAAATCATTTGATACCCTCATCACCTTACTCTTTTCTATGTTCACTTTCAACTTTCTACCTTTACACACACTCCCAAACTCATCCACTAACCTTTGCATTTTTTCTTTAGAATCTCCCATAAGCACAGTATCATCAGCAAAAAGCAACTGTGTCAATTCCCATTTTGTATTTAATTCCCCATAATTTAATCCCACCCCTCTCCCAAACACCCTAGCATTTACTTCTTTTACAACCCCATCTATAAATATATTTAACAATCATGGTGACATTACACATCCCAGTCTAAGACCTACTTTTACAGGGAAGTAGTCTCCCTCTCTTCTACACCCCTAACCTGAGCCTCACTATCCTCATAAAAACTCTTTACAGCATTTACTAACTTACCACCTATTCCATATACGTACTTGCAACATCTTCCACATTGCTCCCGAATCCACTCTATCATATGCCTTTTCTAAATCCATAAATGCAATAAAAACTTCCCTACCTTTATCTAAATACTGTTCACATATATGCTTCAATGTAAACACTTGATCTACACATCCCCTACCCACTCTGAAACCTCCTTGCTCATCTGCAATCCTACATTCTGTCTTACCTCTAATTCTTTCAATTATAACCCTACCGTACACTTTTCCTGGTATACTCAAATTCAAATTCAAATTCAAATTCAAATTCAAAGTTTATTCTCTATAAAGATTACAATGTTGAATTTACAGAATTTGGTTGTTGTGTGGTTTACATGTAGTTAAATAATGATTACAGAGTGTACCACTAGAACGCCTAGCATGGCTAGGCATTTCGGGTAGACTTAGTTTAATTCTTTATTTTAAAATATTACAAATTATGAGGTAAGTTGGTATTATGGCTAAGTGACTAAATACTAGTTTGTGAGTTTAGCAATGTGAATGCTTTTGTTTTGGCACAGTACATAGTTTCAGTATTGGAGTATCATAGGATTCATTATTTTAAGATTGAGATTAATATTTCTGTTTATGGTCAAATGGGTGAGTGAGTGTAAGTGTGAACCACCAGGTGGTATTCGTGTAGTTAGTTGATGGGGTGTATCAGGGAGATAAGATGTTTTCTAATGGTAGTTTTGAAGGTGATGAATGTGTCTGCAGTTCTAGAGTTCTCAGGTAGGTGTTCCAGATTTTAGGGCCTTTGACATACATTGAATTTTTGTAAAGGTTTAGTCGGACACAGGGAATGTCGTAGAGATGTTTGTGTCTGGTGTTATGCCTGTGGTTCTGTCACAACTATCAAGAAAGTGTTTTAGGTCAAGGTTGATATTGGAGTTTAAGGTCCTGTAGATGTAGATTGCACAGTAGTAAGTGTGGATGTACTGAACAGGGAGTAAGTTTAGATCTATGAAGAGTGGGGGGGGTGTGTTGCAGGGATGGGATTTAGTGATTATTCTTACTGCAGCTTTTTGTTGGGTTATTATTGGCTTTAGGTGTGTTGCTGCAGTTGATCCCCAAGCACAAATAGCATAGGTGAGGTATGGATAAATAAGTGAGTGGTATAGTGTGAGAAGGGCATTTTGCGGCACGTAGTATCGTATCTTGGAGAGGATCCCAACCGTTTTGGATACTTTTTTGGTTATGTGTTGGATATGGGTGCTGAAATTTAGGTTGTTGTCAAGGTATAGGCCTAGAATTTGCCCTCATTATGTCTGGTAATTAGAGTGTTGTCGATCTTAATGTTAATTTGTGCATCTCCTGCTCTGCTACCAAACATAATATAGTAGGTTTTGTCAGTGTTAAGCATAAGTTTATTGGGCTGTCATCCAAGTCGATATTTTTGATCACTCCTCGTTAACAATGGTTTGAGGTGGCAAGATTAGGGTGAGAGATGACATAAGTCGTGTCGTCAGCAAAGAGAATGGGTTTCAGGTGTTGGGATACGTTTGGAAGATCATTGATGTATATGAGGAAGAGCAGGGGACCAAGGACACTTCCCTGCGGAACTCCAGTATCAAGTGGCCGTGTTGTTGATGCTGTGTCTTTAATGGTGACATACTGATACCTATTAGTAAGGTAAGATTTGAAATAAGCAAGCGCATGGCCTCTTATACCATAATTCAAATTCAATTCAAAGTTTATTCTCTATAAGGATTACAATGTTGATTTTACAGAAATTTGGTTATTGTGTGGTTTACATGTTGTAAAATAGTGATTACAGAGTGTACCACTAGAACGCTTAGCATGGCTAGGCATTTCGGGCAGACTTAGTTTTATTCTTAATTGTAAAATATTACAAATTATGAGGTAATGGTCAAGTTTGTGGAGTAGGATGTCGTGGTCTACTGTGTCAAAAGCTTTTCTTAGGTCAATAAAAATTCCTAGTGGATATTCCTTATTTTCCAATGCTGTGTAAAGCAGATCTAGCATTTTTATGATTGCATCATTAGTGCTTTTATTTTTCCTGAATCCAAATTGGCAGGGGTTGAGTAAGTTTTGTGTTGTTATAAATGAATATAGTCTCCTGTGCATGAGTTTCTCAAAGATTTTGGATAGCAATGGTAAGTTTGATATTGGCCTATAGTTGTTTAAGTCTGTAGGGTCACCACCTTTATGTATTGGTGTAACCCTTGCCATCTTGAGTAGTTTCGGGAAGGTGCTACTTTCTAGTGACCTTGTTAAAAAGTAATGAAAAAAGCATGCGAAAGGATATGGGCCGCTCGCTTGTACAGTAATGGTGGGACATTAGACAGATTTCCCCGAGTTGTTTTAAGTGACTTTAAAAATCTCGGTGACTTCCGAGGGCTCAGTTGGTGCAAGATAGAAGGAATTTGGGAAATTCCCATCTAGGTAGTCCCCGGCATGGGCATTGGTATGTGGGATTTTATTGGCGAGATTAGATCCTATGATTGAGAAGAAGTCGTTTATCTTGTTAGCTGTGTCAGTGGGATGTAGTGGTGTTTCATTAGGTTTAGTTAGGACAATATTCTTGTTTTTTTTCAGTTTGTGGGTCCCTAGAATCTGAGAGAGTGTTTTCCAGGTCTTTTTTATAACTCCTCTAGTGTCTGTGAATCTACTGGAGTAGTATAGTTGTTTGGCTTTCTTTATTACTTTGGTGAGAACTGATGAATAGTGTTTAAGAATATCTTTGTGTATTAAGCCCCGTCTATATTGCTTTTCACATTGGTGTTTCTTGTCAATGGATTTCAGAATGGTACTGGTTAGCCATGGGCAACCAAGCCGTTTGTTTGTGATCTGTTTCGTTTTTATAGGACAATGTTTGTTGTATAGTAAACTTATTCCTCTATAATTTTTACAATCACTTTTGTCCCCCTTCCCTTTATATAAAGGGACTATACATGCTCTCTGCCAATCCCTAGGTACCTTCCCCTCTTTCATACATTTTTTTTTTTTCCAACAAGTCGGCCGTCTCCCACCGAGGCAGGGTGACCCAAAAAAAGAAAGAAAATCCCAAAAAAGAAAATACTTTCATCATTCAACACTTTCACCACACTCACACATTATCACTGTTTTTGCAGAGGTGCTCAGAATACAACAGTTTAGAAGCATACACATATAAAGATACACAACATATCCCTCCAAACTGCCAATATCCCAAACCCCTCCTTTAAAGTGCAGGCATTGTACTTCCCATTTCCAGGACTCAAGTCCAACTATATGAAAATAACCGGTTTCCCTGAATCCCTTCACTAAATATTACCCTGCTCACACTCCAACAGATTGTCAGGCCCCAAGTACCATTCGTCTTCATTCACTCCTATCTAACTCGCTCACGCACGCTTGCTGGAAGTCCAAGCCCCTCGCCCACAAAACCTTTACCCCCTCTCTCCAACCCTTTCGAGGACGACCCCTACCCCTCCTTCCTTCCCCTATAGATTTATATGCTTTCCATGTCATTCTACTTTGATCATACATTTATTAAACAAAAATACCAACCACTCCAACACTATATCCCCCCCTGCTTTTAACATTTCTGTCATGATCCCATCAGTTCCAGCTGCTTTACCCTCTTTCATTCTACGTAAGACCTCACGCACCTCCCCCACACTCACATCCTGTTCTTCTTCACTCCTAAAAGATGGTATACCTCCCTGGCCAGTGCATGAAATTACCGCTTCCCTTTCTTCATCGACATTTAAAAGTTCCTCAAAATATTCTCGCCATCTACCCAAAACCTCCATCTCCCCATCTACTAACTCCCCTACTCTGTTTTTAACTGACAAATTCATTCGTTTTGTAGGCTTTCTTAACTTGTTTAACTCACTCCAAAATTTATTCTTATTTTCATTAAAATTCCTTGACAATGCCTCTCCCACTCTATCATCTGCTCTCCTTTTGCACTCTCTCACCGCTCTCTTCACCTTTCTTTTACTCTCCATATACTCTACTCTTCTTATAACACTTCTGCTTTGTAAAAACCTCTCATAAGCTAACTTTTTCTCTTTTATCACACCCTTTACATCATCATTCCACCAATTACTCCTCTTTCCTCCTGCACCCACCCTCCTATAACCACAAACTTCTGCCCCACATTCTAATACTGCATTTTTAAAACTATTCCAACCCTCTTCAACCCCCCCCCCCCCCCACTACTCATACTTGCACCAGCCCACCTTTCTGCCAATGCTAGTTGCTTATATCTCACCCGAACTTCCTCCTCCCTTAGATTATACACTGTCACCTCCCTCTTGCTTGTTGTTGCCATTTTTCTCGTTTCCCATCTACCTCTTACTCTAACTGTAGCTACAACTAAATAATGATCCGATATATCTGTTGCCCCTCTATAAATGTGTACATCCTGGAGCCTACCCATCAATCTTTTATCCACCAATACATAATCTAACAAACTACTTTCATTACGTGCTGTATCATACCTTGTATATTTATTTATCCTCATTTTTTTTTATTTTTCTTCATAAAATATGTATTATTACCAAATCTCTTTCTACACATAGCTCAATTAAAGGCTCCCCATTTTCATTTACCCCTGGCACCCCAAATTTACTTACTACTCCCTCCACAACATTTTTGCCCACTTTAGCATTGAAATCCCCAACCACCATTACTCTCACACTTGGTTCAAAACTCCCCATGCATTCACTCAACATTTCCCAAAATCTTTCTCTCTCCTCTACACTTCTCTCTTCTCCAGGTGCATATACGCTTACTATAACCCACTTTTCACATCCAACCTTTATTTTACACCACATAATCCTTGAATTAATACATTTATAGTCCCTCTTTTCCTGCCATAACGTATCCTTCAACATTATTGCTACTTCTTCTTTAGCTCTAACTCTATTAGAAACCCCTGACCTAATCCCATTTATTCCTCTCCACTGAAACTCTCCCACCCCCTTCAGCTTTGTTTCACTTAGTCAGGACATCCAGCTTCTTCTCATTCATAACATCCACAATCATCTCTTTCTTATCATTTGCACAACATCCACACACATTCAGACTTCCCACTTTGACAATTTTCTTCTTATTCTTTTTAGTAATTATTCCAGGAAAAGGGGTTACTAGCCCATTGTTCCCGGCATTTTAGTTGACTTTTACAACACGCATGGCTTACGGAGGAAAGATTCTTATTCCACTTCCCCACGGAGTTATGTAATATATATACATATCTCGGATTGCACAATGACTAAAATAACACCAATTTTTCTAACACTTTGCAGTTGTGAGCCGGGAAGACAGCTGGTGGGCCACAGTTGTCAAGATGTTGATGAGTGTGTATTCCAGCCTTGTCTACATGGAGGCACCTGCTACAACCTGACACCTGGCTATCACTGTTTGTGTGGTCCAGCACACACAGGAGACAACTGTGAATGGACCAAGCTGCCAGCCCACACAAACCCCCTCACAGCACCTATGGCCATAGCTGCTGTTACACTCTCTGTAATTATTGTTGGTGAGTCAGTATTACTAAAATTACTTTAAGACAATGTTAATTAAACCTTCATGACTCATACTGTGCTGCTGGTAAATTATTATATTAGAGTTATTATATTCACAAGAATTCGTTAAACTTTCTACGCCACTAGAAACTTCGTTCAGTTCATCACACTTCAGCCAAGTAATGTATGCAAGCTATGTTACTTGTATGTTACAAGTTACCACTAACTGATTTTTCTGGGTGATTTTTTCATATTTTTTTTTTTTTTTTATTATCACACTGGCCGATTCCCACCAAGGCAGGGTGGCCCGAAAAAGAAAAACTTTCACCATCATTCACTCCATCACTGTCTTGCCAGAAGGGTGCTTTACACTACAGTTTTTAAACTGCAACATTAACACCCCTCCTTCAGAGTGCAGGCACTGTACTTCCCATCTCCAGGACTCAAGTCCGGCCTGCCGGTTTCCCTGAACCCCTTCATAAATGTTACTTTGCTCACACTCCAACAGCACGTCAAGTATTAAAAACCATTTGTCTCCATTCACTCCTATCAAACACGCTCACGCATGCCTGCTGGAAGTCCAAGCCCCTCGCACACAAAACCTCCTTTACCCCCTCCCTCCAACCTTTCCTAGGCCGACCCCTACCCCGCCTTCCTTCCACTACAGACTGATACACTCTTGAAGTTATTCTGTTTCGCTCCATTCTCTCTACATGTCCGAACCACCTCAACAACCCTTCCTCAGCCCTCTGGACAACAGTTTTGGTAATCCCGCACCTCCTCCTAACTTCCAAAACTACGAATTCTCTGCATTATATTCACACCACACATTGCCCTCAGACATGACATCTCCACTGCCTCCAGCCTTCTCCTCGCTGCAACATTCATCACCCATGCTTCACACCCATATAAGAGTGTTGGTAAAACTATACTCTCATACATTCCCCTCTTTGCCTCCAAGGACAAAGTTCTTTGTCTCCACAGACTCCTAAGGGCACCACTCACCCTTTTCCCCTCATCAATTCTATGATTCACCTCATCTTTCATAGACCCATCCGCTGACACGTCCACTCCCAAATATCTGAATACATTCACCTCCTCCATACTCTCTCCCTCCAATCTGATATCCAATCTTTCATCACCTAATCTTTTTGTTATCCTCATAACCTTACTCTTTCCTGTATTCACTTTCAATTTTCTTCTTTTGCACACCCTACCAAATTCATCCACCAATCTCTGCAACTTCTCTTCAGAATCTCCCAAGAGCACAGTGTCATCAGCAAAGAGCAACTATGACAACTCCCACTTTATGTGTGATTCTTTATCTTTTAACTCCACGCCTCTTGCCAAGACCCTCGCATTTACTTCTCTTACAACCCCATCTATAAATATATTAAACAACAACGGTGACATCACACATCCTTGTCTAAGGCCTACTTTTACTGGGAAATAATTTCCCTCTTTCCTACATACTCTAACTTGAGCCTCACTATCCTCGTAAAAACTCTTCACTGCTTTCAGTAACCTACCTCCTACACCATACACCTGCAACATCTGCCACATTGCCCCCCTATCCACCCTGTCATACGCCTTTTCCAAATCCATAAATGCCACAAAGACCTCTTTAGCCTTATCTAAATACTGTTCACTTATATGTTTCACTGTAAACACCTGGTCCACACACCCCCTACCTTTCCTAAAGCCTCCTTGTTCATCTGCTATCCTATTCTCCGTCTTACTCTTAATTCTTTCAATATAACTCTACCATACACTTTGCCAGGTATACTCAACAGACTTATCCCCCTATAATTTTTGCACTCTCTTTTATCCCCTTTGCCTTTATACAAAGGAACTATGCATGCTCTCTGCCAATCCCTAGGTACCTTACCCTCTTCCATACATTTATTAAATAATTGCACCAACCACTCCAAAACTATATCCCCACCTGCTTTTAACATTTCTATCTTTATCCCATCAATCCCGGCTGCCTTACCCCCTTTCATTTTACCTACTGCCTCACAAACTTCCCCCACACTCACAACTGGCTCTTCCTCACTCCTACAAGATGTTGTTCCTCCTTGCTCTATACACGAAATCACAGCTTCCCTATCTTCATCAACATTTAACAATTCCTCAAAATATTCCCTCCATCTTCCCAATACCTCTAACTCTCCATTTAATAACTCTCCTCTCCTATTTTTAACTGACAAATCCATTTGTTCTCTAGGCTTTCTTAACTTGTTAATCTCACTCCAAAACTTTTTCTTATTTTCAACAAAATTTGTTGATAACATCTCACCCACTCTCTCATTTGCTCTCTTTTTACATTGCTTCACCACTCTCTTAACCTCTCTCTTTTTCTCCATATACTCTTCCCTCCTTGCATCACTTCTACTTTGTAAAAACTTCTCATATGCTAACTTTTTCTCCCTTACTACTCTCTTCACATCATCATTCCACCAATCGCTCCTCTTCCCTCCCGCACCCACTTTCCTGTATCCACAAACTTCTGCTGAACACTCTAACTCTACATTTTTAAACCTACCCCATACCTCTTCGACCCCATTGCCTATGCTCTCATTAGCCCATCTATCCTCCAATAGCTGTTTATATCTTACCCTAACTGCCTCCTCTTTTAGTTTATAAACCTTCACCTCTCTCTTCCCTGATGCTTCTATTCTCTTTGTATCCCATCTACCTTTTACTCTCAGTGTAGCTACAACTAGAAAGTGATCTGATATATCTGTGGCCCCTCTATAAACATGTACATCCTGAAGTCTACTCAACAGTCTTTTATCTACCAATACATAATCCAACAAGCTACTGTCATTTCGCCCTACATCATATCTTGTATACTTATTTATCCTCTTTTTCTTAAAATATGTATTACCTATAACTAAACCCCTTTCTATACAAAGTTCAATCAAAGGGCTCCCATTATCATTTACACCTGGCACCCCAAACTTACCTACCACACCCTCTCTAAAAGTTTCTCCTACTTTAGCATTCAGGTCCCCTACCACAATTACTCTCTCACTTGGTTCAAAGGCTCCTATACATTCACTTAACATCTCCCAAAATCTCTCTCTCTCCTCTGCATTCCTCTCTTTTCATATTTGTAAAGATTAAATGTTTAGATTCCTATAGTACTGTGTAGATGGAAATAGAAGATAAATTTTTTTTTTTTTTTCAACAAGTCAGTCGTCTCCCACCGAGGCAGGGTGACCCAAAAAAGAAAGAAAATCCCCAAAAAGAAAATACTTTCATCATCATTCAACACTTTCACCACACTCACACATTATCACTGCTTTTGCAGAGGTGCTCAGAATACAACAGTTTAGAAGCATATACGTATAAAGATACACAACATATCCCTCCAAACTGCCAATATCCCAAACCCCTCCTTTAAAGTGCAGGCATTGTACTTCCCATTTCCAGGACTCAAGTCCGACTATATGAAAATAACTGGTTTCCCTGAATCCCTTCACTAAATATTACCCTGCTCACACTCCAACAGATCGTCAGGTCCCAAGTATCATTCGTCTCCATTCACTCCTATCTAACACGCTAATGCACGCTTGCTGGAAGTCCAAGCCCCTCGCCCACAAAACCTCCTTTACCCCCTCTTTCCAACCCTTTCGAGGACGACCCCTACCCCTCTTTTCTTCCCCTATAGATTTATATGCTTTCCATGTCATTCTACTTTGATCCATTCTCTCTAAATGACCAAACCACCTCAACAACCCCTCTTCTGCCTCTGACTAATGCTTTTATTAACTCCACACCTTCTCCTAATTTCCACACTCTGAATTTTCTGCATAATATTTACACCACACATTGCCCTTAGACAGGACATCTCCACTGCCTCCAACCATCTCCTCGCTGCTGCATTTACCACCCAAGCTTCACATCCATATAAGAGTGTTGGTACTACTATACTTTCATACATTCCCTTCTTTGCCTCCATAGATAACGTTTTTTGACTCTACATATACCTCAACGCACCACTCACCTTTTTTCCCTCATCAATTCTATGATTAACCTCATCCATCATAAATCCATCCGCCGACACGTCAACTCCCAAGTATCTGAAAACATTCACTTCTTCCATACTCCTCCTCCCCAATTTGATATCCAGTTTTTCTTTATCTAAATCATTTGATACCCTCATCACCTTACTCTTTTCTATGTTCACTTTCAACTTTCTACCTTTACACACATTCTCAAACTCATCCACTAACCTTATTTATTTATTTATTTATTTAGGGTCTTCATAAAGCACATTAATTATTGAATATATTTCACTGAAATCCCATACCAGTAAACTGCCAATATCCCGAACCTCTCCTTTAGAGTGTAGGCATTGTACTTCCCATTTCCAGGACTCAAGTCCTTTATTCCATGCTATTCCTGCTCATTCATTTATTTATCATCACATTTTTATGTAATCCATTTATAGTACAGTACAATACACTATCATTAAATTTGCAGAGAAATGCTAACTCCATAGGGGCCATCCAACACCTAAGGAATATGAGGTAATTAGGGTTTAATGGAAGGAAACAGTAGCTCATATTCCTTTGATAAAAGTTCTTCATTATCATAGAGGCACAATATATGTTATCCTTTTAACATTTATTAAGCTTTGACTTGTGTTTCCAGTGATTTAGTTCTTACTTTATCTTTTGATGAGGTCTGATCATATTTTTTCCAAGTAAATGACTTGATTACTTGTACACTTTTTTGTCATTACTTAAATTGTTTAAATTGGCACTGTATTAATAAATTTGTCTTTGGGCCGCAGTAGTGCTTGGTGTTCTGCTTACTATTCGCCTTCACCGGTATCGAACAGCACGAGGTGAAGAAGGTGTGACTGACGTTTTAGGAACTCCCATGGTGGTACAAGCAGTATCAGGAAATCCTCAAAGCAAAGCAGTCAAAGAAGAGAATATTTTACTTGGATCTCTAAAGATCAAGAGGTCTGGTAAGATTACTCTCTCTCTCGAAGGTATGTAGAGAACTGTATAGTATTCACAAAAGTGAAGAGTGCAGTTACCTTTGGGTTCATGAGTGGGAGAGATTGGAGCTCCAACTCTTGGTCCCATCTCATAACTTTTGGTCAACTGATGTGATTAAACTGTTATATATAGTTTTTGAACCCATGTATGTTAATACATTCTTGGGGAAGCACTAAATCCATAGGGGTCATACAGTGCCTGGAAAATGGAAGGTATTTGGGTTCAGTCCAGGGAAGGACAGGTTCAGTTACTTGAATCAAAAGTCGTTCACTTGTGTCAGGAACCTCTATAAAGGGAAACCCCATCTATAGAGGTCACTACCATTGTTATTGTTCTGCTTATTTATTACCCTTACACTAAAGAAATGCTTCCTAATATCCCTGTCCTAATATCCCATGTCCCTTTGTACGTGTTGCATCCCTGGTAGTCAGTCACTGTCTACCCTACCTATGTCAAATAGTAGTTTGTATTACAAGCTTTCATACTCTTTGCTCCTTTAGTGACTTGTGGTTTTATTAATTTTAATCATCGGAAGCTCTCAACCCACATGGGTTATATAGAAGTTAGGGAATGAGAGACATTAAGGTTCCAGCCAAGGAATGGAAGGATAGGCCTGATTTCTTAGAATCAAAGAGTCCCTCACTGCCATCCAGGCATTTTTAATAAGGAATCAGTGACATACAGACTACAGTAATTGTCTCCTTATTTCTTTATAGCTCATTTCCCTCAGCTTGAGTGCCGAACTTGATGCTCTTTGCACTCACAAGTTTTGCCTTGTAATTTTAGTAGGCAAAAGCTCGACATTGGTATTGCATACTCAACAATGGGTCTCCTATATGAGATAGTTTTGAACAGGTCATCATCTAGGTTCTTGAATGCCACTCATGTTTGCAAGCTTAGCCAGAAAACAAGTTTGGGGTAATGATTCCAGTCTTTTCTTTTTGTTTTCTTTAACAGCTTCCATGAGTCACTTATGTACATTAGGAAGCTGAGGCTTAACACTCGTATAGGTCATACATTATAATACATAGATATAATCATTGCAGGAACTGAACCCATACGAGTCATACAGCACTATGAGTAGAGATGTGCCAAGGTAGTAGTGTGCGAAGCTTAGGGGCCTGCAAGAGGTAGAGGGTTAGTGAAAATATAAAATTGAAATTACAGCTGGAGTAATTGGTCAGTTTCCATTTACAAGTCAGTTTGTTCCAAAGGTGGGACTTCCAGTGAGGAAGTCAGAGTGCGTTAGAGTGGTGTAGATGTCAAAAGCAAATCCTGCATGTCCCCTGACACAGAACATTCTGTTAAGCAATGGTGGACAGACTGTGTAACCTGGCAGTTCTCACAGTGGTGTAGGTCATTTCTCCATGTATCCCTGAGCAAGTTATATGTCTGATTTGTAAGTGGGAGAGTGCAGTTTTCCATACTTAACAATGATGGGATGGTTCAGGTGGTAAGGGGATGAATTAGCAAAGTTTAGGGTTAGTGAATGTGGTACTTCTTATATGTTCAAATCTGTTTCTTGATTTTTCCCAACAATTTATAGGCTAGCTACAAATAGGTAATCTTTCTCAAGCAAATAAAAATTATCTGGAGAAAATTTATTCTCTCTCATCTCCTTAGATGCTGATAATAAATATTTTATATAGATATAAATTGAGGTTGTATGAACATTAAAAAGGATAGAGCAGATTAGGATGACCTGGAGGGTGTATTAAACTGAGATGAAAGGAGGGATAGGGGTTACCTCAGGAAGGAGGGAGGGAGGGGAGTAAAAGAGGTACTGAAAGCTAGGGAGTTAAGCATCCAACAGGCTTGTGTGAGCATGTTAGACTGGATGTGCTTTTGGAGTGTAAACAAGTTAACATTAATGAACTGATTAAGGAAAACCCATTAGCCATACCTCAATCCTGGAGTGGAAAGTACAGTATTTGCAGCTTTAAGGATCATTAAAACTTACATCTGCACTTCTGGAAAGGCACTGGCTGCCTCCTGCCAAGACAGCCAGTGTACTTGAAAAGAGTCTATATTACAAAATCAACTAATAATTAATAAAAAGTCACAATACAGTGGCTGGAACAATACACAAATAACCTGCACTTGGGAGACACTCATGATAGCATTTCAGCCCAACTTGGACCATTAACCCTTAAACTGTCCAAACAGATCTACGTTCAGATGTGTAGTGCTCCAAAAGTAGATCTACTTTTTTTACATACATATAACAAAGTTTTTTTACACGTTTTCAAATTTAAAAAAAAAGCTGTACATTTTTTTACATACTTTCAAATGTTGAAAAAACATAGATCTACGTTTGGACAGTTTAAGGGTTAACAAACTGTACATCAAAATCAGAACACTTGTGGTTTCACCTGACCTTTGTCAGGTGAAGTCACCTTTCCTATATTTTTATTGCCTTTCCTGTCATCCGCCTAGGTGGTTCTGTCCTATGAGATTTATCCTAAACATCCCTTGGGCCAGTAGTTCTCCTGCAGTGCTTTCTGTTCTCTTGTTCTTATAGACTACCACCATTTGTTTGCTAATATTCCAGTTCCTGCCATTTTTTTTTTTTTTTTTTTTTTACTGCTACTGTCCTACCTTCATATTTTTATCCTTACTGCACTACTACCTTCTCCCATTCTACCACTTCTGTATAGATTCTGACTCCCTCCCTTCGAATTTCTTTGTGTGACTTACTAATGGTGCAAGTTAAACCAAAACATTGTCATGAGTTTGTCTCGTAAGTACAGTTTTTTTGTGGAGTTATTTTAAAGTTTAACCCATTAACTGATGCTATTACTTTTACAGGCCCAGACCACATAATTACTCCTTTAAGGCTTCCGACCATTGGAGTTGAGGCCATAGGAATAAAGGAAGCAAACATAATTGGAAGCACCTTAAAACATTCTGGGAGTGAAAATAAGATTAAAGGTAAATCTAGCCCTCAGAGGTGTTCCATAGCAGCAATTAAACTGTAGAGGATGTATTTAGAGAGTAGACCCAGTTTTTTCACCAACAGAAGCCCTACAACATTTATCTGTATATGCCCAAACATCACATCCCCCAACCAAAAGTGGGCACAAGTCATCACTGATGCATTAAAAATTCCCTGCACCCCCTACTAGCCCGGATGACCTCAGAGCTTATGATATGAAGGAGAGGGGTCACCCTCTGGCCGCTCACCTTACTGCTTAGGTCGTATCGTATCCCATTTTTTTTTGTCTTACAAAAGTAAGCTGGTAAATATACGATAGCATTCTCAAATATATATTTTTAGTGTATTTTAAAATTTCATGTTACATAAGTCAAATATTGCAATTTATTATTTAAAACAAAACTATTCATTTATTCTATTCTTTTTTTTTTAAAATTTTTTTTGATTATTTACTGCAAAAACAAATAGTTTTTATTTGGAGAGAGTTCACACAGTGGAAATATTTCCCCCCCATCTCCCTCAGTCACTTTTTTTTTTCCTTTCTGCCATCTTTTTTTTTCTTTTCTCTTTATTTTTGCCCCCCCCTTTTTTCATTTATTTACTGTTGGTGGGGGTCTGGAGTTTTATGACTCTCTGATTGCGGGTTTATCCCCACCCATGGTATGGGGCATTCTTTGTCTTCTTTTCATCCTTCCTTACAATGCCTTTTTTACCTCAATCCCTTTCACCCTTTCCATTTATTCTTTCCCTTTTCTGTTTCTTCACCTATCTCTCTCACTGCTTTCTTTACCTACTTTGCTTTATCTTCTCTTCCCTTTTCTACCCACAGTTTCATCCCTTCTTTATTTCAATTATTTTATCCATGCATTCTCATCCTGTCTTATCACCCTGTTTTCTTCTGAATACTCTCTTTTGAAGAGAATAATAGAGATGATCTCTTATTGCATCTACCCATATCTCAGGTCTGCGGACAGATTCACTGGAGGGTGACAGTCTAAGACCTTTGATACCTGAATATGGTGAAGTGTTTGACCTGCTCAAGAATCTCCCAGATGCTGTGAACTCACTAAAGCCAAGTCAAGACACTTCTGGTAACTGCACAGATGTGGAAAAGTTGGTTGCTATATCCAGTAATCCTAAACTAATACGAAATGCAGTAAATATCACGTGATTGCAAACCCAGAGTATACATTGTCTGCATAAGCCATCAGATGTATGCTGGAGTGCACATACACTTATAGTTGGGGAAGTCAAATGCAGAGTTCTTAACCATTTTTAACAATAGACAAGTCTTAAGTTATACACACACAACATACTTCAAAGGAGAGCTTATTATTATTTTAAGTAAAAATTATAAGTGTGTAAACTGTATTTCAAACTCTGGACCAATGGTTTTGTTGCAGACATATTATGCACAGCTGAATCAGCAAACATCTTTAAAGTTGTGCATCAAAATGTTAATCAAATTATTGTAAAGTTTCATGATGAATTACATGTAAATTCCAGATAAAATATGTTTTTGCAACTAGCATAAAATTGTAAATTGCTCTCCAAGGCATTAGTAGTTGTTACATTGTGCAAGTGTACTGAATCTGTGAAATGTGATCAGAAATGTTTGTACGTTTATATGACATAAATAAATCACAAAGTTTCATTACCCTACTACAAAAAAAAGTATTGTGTATCCTTTATGTACAGTACACAAGAACACAGGATAATCTGAAGTAAAGAGAATACAAGACTGATTTAAAAGAATAAAAACAAAAAAAGAAAAAAGCACTGGACCTATTTGGTTATTCAGTGCTTAGAATACAAATTAAAGTTTGCAATTTTCTACTGCTACAAATTTTCTGCTATTATTACTAACTTGCTCCCCTCAAGGAAGATACTTTGATACTGGTGAAGGGCTCAAGATCCAAGGAATGTAGACCTAGTATCCCCCTCTTTAGATCAAACAAGATTGTTTCCCATTCCCAGGCACTGACTCGTAGGTTTGGCACACTCCCTCTGAATGTAATAATTACTAACTGTAACATGGCCATTTATATGCCATGTCACAGTTATAAATAAGTAACCAAAGCAATTCAAAACCTATAAATTTCATTCCACAATCCTCCAGAATCAAAGGAGAGTAAACACATCCCGTCTAACCAAAAAAATTGAAGGAAGGCAGGGTTTCCAGGTTTAACTGAATTAGTGAGATTTGATCTGCTCCAGTTGTTAGGATCAGGAAACTGTCAATGCTACACCTTCCATTAAAAGAAGACAATATGAGAATTTGGCAATTACAGGTGTATATATCTGTAGTGGAGGGAAGGAGGGATAGTGGTTGTCCTAGGAAAGGATGGAGGGAGGGGGTAAAAGAGGTTTTGTGTGCAAGGGGCTTGGACATACAGCAGACCTGTATGTGTATGTGAGATAAGTGAGAATGAAGATAAATGGTTTTTGGGACTTGACAAGCTGTTGGAGTGTGAGCAGGGTAATATTTTGTGAAGGGATTCAGGGAAACTGATTAACTAGACTTGAGCCCTGGAGGTGGGAAGTACAATACCTGCACTTCAAATGAAGGGTTTGGGATATTTGATGCATGGAGTGACATCTGAACTGTCACATCTGCAAAGACTGATTGTGTGTGAATGATGGTGAAAGCATTTCTTTTTTGGGGGGGGCCCCACCCTGCCTTGGTGGGAAATGGGTGGCATGTTGAAAAAAAAATTATAGGCAAAATAGACCTGTCCAATTATCATATTTCAAGGGAAGCTCTAAACCTCTTAAGAGTTATACAGCACCTGGGGGAATAAAGCAATCAGGTCCAATTCCTTGCGTCAAGAGACCCCTCACAGGCACCAAGAATTCTACCTATCTTGGGGGATGTGCTTTTCCAAACCATGGGCTTCCTGTCTGGCTGAAGACCACAACAGACAATTTAATAAAGTTAAATGATGTGTGCAAGTACATAAAATATCAAACTAATTAAAAAATAGAGAAACTGATGAATGATGAACATTACTGAAACAAAAACATTACTAAGCCATGCAATGATAGTAAATGACCTGCAAAACCTTAAATGTAAAAATTGTGTTTGGGGTTAAGTGTTGCAAAAGAAAAAAATATAGATAAAATTCACAAAGGTTAATCATATTCATAAACTGTAGTATATATTTACTTTACGAATATGATAAGAATCATGAGTTTTTCATTCACTTATTTGCAATAAACTTTTACAAAACTAAAATATGTGGGTTATTCGATTTTGTACACTGTTGTGAAATGGACTGGAAAGAAAACCAACAAAATTTTCCTAGGAATAATCAAACCTTGGTTGCTGTAATGTATATTTTTAGCATGTATCAAGTGTGTTAAGAAAGTATGAAATGATTCATAAAGATATTAAATATACAGGAGCTATGTTAATGTACTGAAGCATACTGTGTAATACAAGGTCAATATATACCAGCAGAGAATGTCCAATGTTTGGGTTCAACAATTTTAAAAAGATAATTTTACAATAAATAAATAAATAGCAGGAGTCCTTATATAATGAAATCAAAATGTTACAAAGAATTATATTCTCTGGTTACTATCTATATATTGGGTCACCCTGCCTCGGTGGGAGACGGCCGACTTGTTGAAAAAAAAAAAAAAATATATATTATTTAGCTATTTATGAAATAAAGCTATAAAAAATAATATAGAACTGCTTGTTCTTTATAAATCACAGATAATAATGCCCCAAACAGAATAAATACTCTATGGATCAATTCAAGATATCAAGTATTTTCTGAGACAAGAAAGATTTTTTATCCATTTGTAACTCAATCAAGTTGTTTAACAAAGGAATAACTGGATATTGCTTGATTATTGCCTGTCCTCTTTGATTGTTACTTACCAGAGCCCAGAGAATTCCTAAAGCAATTTCTACCCACAGTTCAGTCTCACTGTTTCCAATGATGCCGACAATAGTTTTAATGAAATTATCTGAGGCCAACAGTGCATGAGCCGAGTAATGATTCAGGGACATGTTGGCCATGATTCTGAGAGCATCTGTCTGCAAGCTGTCATGCAATATAAGGTCTTGGATAGTGCTAAGCCAACCATATGTCTTGCAAACAGCTATCTGTGATTCATGATGTGTAGTTACAAGAACAAGGAGTTTCACTATGCTTGGTGTGATGACCATACCCTCTTCAACAGCTGCCTTGCACTGGAGCCACTTTATTAAAGAAGGCACCAAGTCAAGTCTGTTCATAACATAGGTACACTCTTGCACTCGTGCACAGTTGATTAAAACTGAAATTGCTGCAAGAAAACTGTCACGGGAAAAGTCCTTAAAACACAGTGTAAAACTTCTGCTGTATGTAAGCAATTTTTCTAACTGCTGACAGACTGCAGTAGTGATACATGCAAGGAGAGGCCTCTTAGTACGAGATGTACTGAGCAGTACACCTGGCAATCCACTTGTACGAGTCAGCAATAAACAAATTTGATGATGAGATGAAGCAGCCAACAAGAACTTTAAAATAGCTTCTAAGAGAGGCAGTGTTTGAATTGCAGGAGTCCAGAGTGGGTGAAGCAAGGGCACAAATGTTTCACCAACCATCAATAACCAATTGCCCCGTACCTCAATCCAGTTTGTTGCAATCTCTAGGATCTGTATAATTATACATATAGTGTCCTTAATTTCTTTAATCTTCATTAACTGAGCTGTAATATGAATATTGACATTCTGAAGCTTATTCTGGAGATCTGAGAATGACTTTGTAAGAGTAGGAAGCAAGAAATGGCGAAAATGATGAGCAGCTTCCTTGGCACTTTGTGAAGCTAATAATAATAATTTTAGGGAATCTAAAAGTAGGAAAAGATGCTCTTGGTCCATACATAAAATGTCAGTCTTCTGCTGTGCTGCAGGCTGCTTATTTGGATCCTCACAATCGGGTAAACCACATATTAACTGAATAATATGACGAGATAATTCCCAGCCTGGACACACATTCTGATCATTTAACAGCTGAACAGGGTCATCCAGTACTCTAGATATAACTACTGGAAGATCCTGTTGTGTGGATATTTCACTGTGAAACACCTCATGCAAGAGATTAGTTAAAAAAGCCACCGTAGCAGCCTGACGTTCAGCTGAAGCAGAAACGTGAAAGCCAGCTACCATAGGGCGGAGTATGAGTGCAGGCGACACAGAAATCCACTCAATGATACGAGCTGCTCCCCATCCTCTCCCACATACCAGGGCATTCAGAACTTCCAAACTAACTATAGTGACACTTTCCTTTTCAATACCTGAGGACAGCACTACTAAACTGAGATGCACAAGGCTTGTATCACGTGCAAGAGATGGTGCTTGTGCAGGGTCATATTTTAATACTGCTCCAATTAGCACCAGAGCCATCTCTACTGCTTGTAAGTAAAACTTTGAAGTTTTTATCTCCCAAACAATGAAACGAAGTTGTTTTATTATCAAGGATATAACATTATGTGAAGACAGCTGTGAAATCACTTGAGAAGGCTGGAGGAGGAGAATATTTATAAGAAGCCTCAACAGGGTTTCATATAGCTGAATTGACATAAGATGCGATACGCTTCTGTTATTTGAATTTCTGTTGCTCATGTTTTCAGTGGTATTGTGGACATCATTTTCTGACACCAAAAAAGAACTGAATCTACTTACAGAGAGATCCAACTCTCCTTGTCTAGAGGGTCGAGCGTTTATAACTACTGGCTCCTGAGAGACATGCAGCTTTGCCATGGATGAACACACCATACTGTAGAAACTGCAGTGCTGAAGCAAGACCATTAGTGCTGGCAAACCTTCGACTGATTCCTGGAATAATTAATATGTATCAAGAATAATGTACTGATTAAATTTATTTTGCAAGAGCATGTAAACTAAGAAAAGCAGCACCTACACCTTTTATCTAACACTAAACTGGCAAGTTAACTGATAAAACAATAAATTTTTGTTTTCTGGAACTATTATATTTTTAACCATTAAATTATGTAATTACCTCTCTGTCTGTCAGTCTCGCATGCATTTGTGTATGTGTGTGTGAGGTACTCACCTAGTTGTGGTTGCAGGGGTCGAGTCATAGCTCCTGGCCCCGCGTCTTCACTGGCCGCTACTGCGTGTGTGTCGGCATGTGTGTGTCAGCAAGTGTGTGTCGGCATGCATGCGTCTTCCCTTGTTCTTCTGTTCTCCAATGTCGTTTGATTTAATTCTGATGGCCTTTCTTCATAGATCATACCCCTAAGGTTTTGACCCAGTCTTAGTGCATACTTCTGTAATTTCTCCTGTTTCTTAACATGCTTTCTCAGGTATGGGTTACATACTGGCGCTGTATACTCCAAGATGAGCCTGACATCTATGGTATAATGCACCTGGAATGGTTTTTGCCGAGATTCCTAAAGATAGGCCATTCTCAGATTTGCCAGGCAAGCATTGGCTGCAGAGGTTATTCAGTTAATGTGAGCTACTGGTAATGTGCTAGACACTATACCTACTCCCAGGTCTTTGTCTTTGACTGAGGTCTACAGCCTCTGTCCCCAAGTCTATACTCCATGTCTAGTTTTCTGGTCCCTTCCACATCTTCATAACCTTGCATTTGTTGGGGCTGAATTCAAGCAACCACTTACCTGACCAACCCACATTTTGTGCAGATCTATTTGCTACTTTTCCTCATGAAGAGATATCTTCTTTCAATAAACTGGCCGTATCCCACCAAGGCAGGGTAGCCCATAAAGAAAAACAAAAGTTTTTCTCTTTAACTTTAGTAATATATACAGAAGGGATTACCAGCCCCTTGCTCCCGGCATTTTAGTCACCTCTTATGACACGCATGGCTTACGGAGGAAGAATTCTGTTCCACTTCCTCATGGAGAACGAAGAGATATATCTGAATCAATCCCAACTGGTATGTCATTTACATAAGCCAGAAACAGTCCAGACTTTAATATCAATCTTAATGGTATCCTACTTGTTACTCTTCTCAATTCTAACACTTGTTCCCACACATTCTTTGCCTCCTTCCCCTGAGATAGTCTTTAATCCATCAGAATACTCTCCCTGTTATTCCTGCCTGCACCTCAAGTTTTTACCCCAGTTTCATTGGGTGTTTGTTACTTTTTTTATTAGAAAAGTATAGCTCTACTCATGTATGTATTTACCTACTTGTGGTCACAAGAGTAGAGCTGTCCCATCTATAACTGATCAGCCTTAGACTAAGAGACTACTTATCTTCTGCTAAGGCTGAGGGATTGATTACCTCAAACTACCTCTCCACTTCATCTGCTGTCTCCAGGATTGCGATTCATCCCTGTATTTGACTGATAAAGCCTGCAGCACAGATGAAACATCTTCTCACTAAAGATCCCTAGCAATGTACATGTGTCTTGCTCATCAACTTGTCAGTATTGTATGCTATTTATAATATAATACTAATTTACCATACCTTTTTTTCAAAAATTTTCATTAATTTGCTATTTACAGTGTACAGTCTATCAAGAAGTACTGCTTCAACTCCCTATGGTCTGTCACTCTAATATCCTGGTTATTTTATTGTTTTGTATGCAATTCCCATAGGTGCAGTCATTTTTTTTTTTTTTTTTTTTCAACAAGTCGGCCGTCTCCCACCGAGGCAGGGTGACCCAAAAAAGAAAGAAAATCCCCAAAAAGAAAATACTTTCATCATCATTCAACACCTTCACCACACTCGCACACCATCACTGTTTTTGCAGAGGCGCTCAGAATACAACAGTCCAGAAGCATACACATACAAAGATACACAACATATCCCTCCAAACTGCCAATATCCCAAACCCCTCCTTTAAAGTGCAGGCATTGTACTTCCCATTTCCAGGACTCAAGTCCGACTATATGAAAATAACCGGTTTCCCTGAATCCCTTCACTAAATATTACCCTGCTCACACTCCAACAGATCGTCAGGTCCCAAGTACCATTCGTCTCCATTCACTCCTATCTAACACGCTCACGCACGCTTGCTGGAAGTCCAAGCCCCTTACCCACAAAACCTCCTTTACCCCCTCTCTCCAACCCTTTCGAGGACGACCCCTACCCCGCCTTCCTTCCCCTATAGATTTATATGCTTTCCATGTCATTCTACTTTGATCCATTCTCTCTAAATGACCAAACCACCTCAACAACCCCTCTTCTGCCCTCTGACTAATACTTTTATTAACTCCACACCTTCTCCTAATTTCCACACTCCGAATTTTCTGCATAATATTTACACCACACATTGCCCTTAAACAGGACATCTCCACTGCCTCCAACCGTCTCCTCGCTGCTGCATTTACCACCCAAGCTTCACACCCATATAAGAGTGTTGGTACTACTATACTTTCATACATTCCCTTCTTTGCCTCCATAGATAACGTTTTTTGACTCCACATATACCTCAACGCACCACTCACCTTTTTTCCCTCATCAATCAAGCAGTCATGTATGGGGGAAATGTATAAGAAACAATGCTCTTCATACAGTATACTGTCAATGACATTTTCTACACGAATCAAACTTAAAATATACAAAAAAAAATTTTATTCTTACACCAGTGAGAGTATCAGTAACAACTGGAGATGTCCAGGGATTACTGTGTGTTGGGCCGGTTCTCGTCAACTTGATAAGGAGTTGTGCAGCACAAGTCCGGACTAAGCAGCTCCGACCATCTGACAGCAAATAACTGAGGAAAAAGTATAATCATCAGGCTCTGTGTTCGTTGCTTACGTTAAATACCATATGTACCATGAAACATTGATTTCTGGTTCCAATACCTACTTGACAGTACACATTTTAATGACTATATGCTGCTTTAAGGTTGTTATCATGCTGTACTGCAAATGCCAGGAAATATAAATACATTATTTAAACAAATATAGAAATGAAAAAATCAGTGAACTTGTTTTATGAAGTCTGAGCTAACAACTTCATCCCAATGTCAATTTTAGAATTTTTTATCATCTGAATAACACAAACGCAAATATATGTTAAATATATCCAATATGAGATTTGGTACTTAAGAAATTTGAACTTCTCGTTTCGTAACTTCTGAAAGTCCTCATATGGAAGATGTGCAGTAATCTGGAGATATGTGGCAGTTTTTGAACTATATTATCTACATGCCTCTGGCAAGACAGTAATGGAGTGAGTGGTGACGAAAGTGTTTCTTCTTTTTCGGGTCACCCTGCCTCGGTGGGAAATAGCCAACGTATCGAAAAGAAAAAAGTTTATTTCTTATTGTTATTTCACAGCATGCAACATGAATGATAAATTCATTATCAATACTTTATTTCTAGCTTTCAAAGGATTAAGCACTTGCCCATAAAGGAGGGAAACTTACAATTCGATAAATCGTAATGGCATGACTGTAAACAATATGTTGCATGGAGAGCACGCCATAGGCTCATGCCCTTCGTGCTGAGAGAAGGAAACTTATGTAGGAAGAGAGATAAAAAAGTATTTGGTTCCTTAAACTCTAGTATTTTTATTGCAGTCCTGGGTTGTACTATAAGCAACAGCAAGTAAAAGTTAAGACCTGAGAGTCTAGTCGGATAGAATGATTACACCATGTGAAATAAATGAACCATTCCTGAAATTCCTCCTAACAAGTTAGAATGCCACAGCACATCTAATAGTTATACCACTAGATGACTCTGGTTATTGTGCTTGCAGCTGGCAAAGATGATTACAAGAATGTGGTTGGTTTTGTGTGTACCGAATAAATACATACATGCTAGGCACATGTAGCCCTCTTTGCCACCATCTCTTTCATAATAAGGCAACAAACAAACCTGACAAATTACATACCTTAAAGCAGCTCCCCATACTCCTCCCGAGGCTTGAGTAAGACTGTTGTGGAGGAGACTTAGCCCACAGGTTTGGGTAATTAAGGCAGAAGCTACAGCAAGCCCAATACTAGTAACACTTGGGTCACAGTACACCCACAAGGAGACTAACCAAGACCAATCCAGTACTCCCTCTTCATTTGACCATATTGCAGCATCCTGAAAACACAAAAATTTGCTAATCATTAACTTAAATACTAACTTTTAAATGTACATATAGTCATCCTACTGACCAAAATTGCTTTTGCAAAAAGCATAAAAGAATATTTTCATTCAATTTCATGCTCAATCACATGAAGTGCCACAAAATGATTACTTTATCATACTATCCTACATATTTACAAGAGATGTACATGTAAGATAATATATATGAATGTACACATGCAAATACAATGTATCACCCAACCAAAAACTGCCAAATACACATACATCTGTGTAAACAAAGAAAATGAAACAAACAGCTATGCACAGTCATATACTCATGCTAGCATAATCCCAAACATTTCTATCTGCTCCAGGTCATGAACTTTCGTCCTCTTTAAATACTTGCTGATAATTAGGATATATACAAACTGCCTTATTACAAATACTATTTATCCTAATTTAATTATTTTAATATTATAGATGTTAAAAACTGTAAAAACTAAAATGAATCAATCACTGAATATGAACAAAATAAGATGTAACTATTAGGGACACTGCACAATTCACCTGTGTAAGATCTCCTTCTGGATTAGAGAGCAAGTGTATCAAGGCAAGAGATGAGCACAGGGTCACCATCCGTCCCATGTAAGAGTTGTGCGCTCTCCCTCGACCAACATGGAATGTACTAATCAGCCTGTTCGTGTGTAACCCAAATGAAGCCACAGAAATAAATAAAATGCTAACTAAATGAATAAAATTCTAAATAAATAAATTAATAATTTTTACATAAATTAATGGGACAATATTTCTGCAAAACTTTAACCAAAAATTATTATATTATGGGAGGCACCTCTAGGTTCTAAATTTGTAAATTTCAACAATTCACATTTTTTCAAAACACACGTTTCTAAAATCTGCAGGCAATGAGGGCATTTGTGTACATAATCCTGTAAAACGTAGACATATGAAGGACAACCAATTATATTTCATATTACTACTAGGTAGTAGGTTGGTAGACAGCAACCACCCAGGGAAGTACTACCGTCCTGCCAGATGACTGTGAAACAAAAACCTGTAACTGTTTTGCATGATGGTAGGATTGTTGGTTTCTTTTTCTGTCTCATAAACACGCTAGATAACAGGGATATCTTGCTACTCCTACTTACACTTTGGTCACACTTCACAGACACGCACATGCATATATATATACATACATCTAGGTTTTTCTCCTTTTTCTAAATAGCTCTTGTTCTTCTTTATTTCTTCTATTGTCCATGGGGAAGTGGAAAAGAATCTTTCCTCCATAAGCCATGCGTGTCGTATGAGGCTACTAAAATGCCGGGAGCAATGGGCTAGTAACCCCTTCTCCTGTAGACATTTACTAAAAAAGAGAAGAAGAAAAACTTTATAAAACTGGGATGCTTAAATGTGCGTGGATGTAGTGCGGATGACAAGAAACAGATGATTGCTGATGTTATGAATGAAAAGAAGTTGGATGTCCTGGCCCTAAGCGAAACAAAGCTGAAGGGGGTAGGAGAGTTTCAGTGGGGGGAAATAAATGGGATTAAATCTGGAGTATCTGAGAGAGTTAGAGCAAAGGAAGGGGTAGCAGTAATGTTAAATGATCAGTTATGGAAGGAGAAAGGAGAATATGAATGTGTAAATTCAAGAATTATGTGGATTAAAGTAAAGGATGGATGTGAGAAGAGGGTCATAATAAGCGTGTATGCACCTGGAGAAGAGAGGAATGCAGAGGAGAGAGAGAGATTTTGGGAGATGTTAAGTGAATGTATAGGAGCCTTTGAACCAAGTGAGAGAGTAATTGTGGTAGGGGACCTGAATGCTAAAGTAGGAGAAACTTTTAGAGAGGGTGTGGTAGGTAAGTTTGGGGTGCCAGGTGTAAATGATAATGGGAGCCCTTTGATTGAACTTTGTATAGAAAGGGGTTTAGTTATAGGTAATACATATTTTAAGAAAAAGAGGATAAATAAGTATACAAGATATGATGTAGGGCAAAATGACAGTAGTTTGTTGGATTATGTATTGGTAGATAAAAGACTGTTGAGTAGACTTCAGGATGCACATGTTTATAGAGGGGCCACAGATATATCAGATCACTTTCTAGTTGTAGCTACACTGAGAGTAAAAGATAGATGGGATACAAGGAGAATAGAAGCATCAGGGAAGAGAGAGGTGAAGGTTTATAAACTAAAAGAGGAGGCAGTTTGGGTAAGATATAAACAGCTATTGGAGGATAGATGGGCTAATGAGAGCATAGGCAATGGGGTCGAAGAGGTATGGGGTAGGTTTAAAAATGTAGTGTTAGAGTGTTCAGTAGAAGTTTGTGGTTACAGGAAAGTGGGTGCAGGAGGGAAGAGGAGCAATTGGTGGAATGATAATGTAAAGAGAGTAGTAAGGGAGAAAAAGTTAGCATATGAGAAGTTTTTACAAAGTAGAAGTGATGCAAGGAGGGAAGAGTATATGGAGAAAAAGAGAGAGGTTACGAGAGTGGTGAAGCAATGTAAAAAGAGAGCAAATGAGAGAGTGGGTGAGATGTTATCAACAAATTTTGTTGAAAATAAGAAAAAAGTTTTGGAGTGAGATTAACAAGTTAAGAAAGCCTAGAGAACAAATGGATTTGTCAGTTAAAAATAGGAGAGGAGAGTTATTAAATGGAGAGTTAGAGGTATTGGGAAGATGGAGGGAATATTTTGAGGAATTGTTAAATGTTGATGAAGATAGGGAAGCTGTGATTTCGTGTATAGGGCAAGGAGGAATAACCTCTTGTAGGAGTGAGGAAGAGCCAGTTGTGAGTGTGGGGGAAGTTCGTGAGGCAGTAGGTAAAATGAAAGGGGGTAAGGCAGCCGGGATTGATGGGATAAAGATAGAAATGTTAAAAGCAGGTGGGGATATAGTTTTGGAGTGGTTGGTGCAATTATTTAATAAATGTATGGAAGAGGGTAAGGTACCTAGGGATTGGCAGAGAGCATGCATAGTTCCTTTGTATAAAGGCAAAGGGGATAAAAGAGAGTGCATAAATTATAGGGGGATAAGTCTGTTGAGTATACCTGGTAAAGTGTATGGTAGAGTTATAATTGAAAGAATTAAGAGTAAGACGGAGAATAGGATAGCAGATGAACAAGGAGGCTTTAGGAAAGGTATGGGGTGTGTGGACCAGGTGTTTACAGTGAAACATATAAGTGAACAGTATTTAGATAAGGCTAAAGAGGTCTTTGTGGCATTTATGGATTTGGAAAAGGCATATGACAGGGTGGATAGGGGGGCAATGTGGCAGATGTTGCAAGTGTATGGTGTAGGAGGTAGGTTACTGAAAGCAGTGAAGAGTTTTTACGAGGATAGTGAGGCTCAAGTTAGAGTATGTAGGAAAGAGGGAAATTTTTTCCCAGTAAAAGTAGGCCTTAGACAAGGATGTGTGATGTCACCGTGGTTGTTTAATATATTTATAGATGGGGTTGTAAGAGAAGTAAATGCGAGGGTCTTGGCAAGAGGCGTGGAGTTAAAAGATAAAGAATCCCACACAAAGTGGGAGTTGTCACAGCTGCTCTTTGCTGATGACACTGTGCTCTTGGGAGATTCTGAAGAGAAGTTGCAGAGATTGGTGGATGAATTTGGTAGGGTGTGCAAAAGAAGAAAATTAAAGGTGAATACAGGAAAGAGTAAGGTTATGAGGATAACAAAAAGATTAGGTGATGAAAGATTGGATATCAGATTGGAGGGAGAGAGTATGGAGGAGGTGAACGTATTCAGATATTTGGGAGTGGACATGTCAGCGGATGGGTCTATGAAAGATGAGGTGAATCATAGAATTGATGAGGGAAAAAGAGTGAGTGGTGCACTTAGGAGTCTGTGGAGACAAAGAACTTTGTCCTTGGAGGCAAAGAGGGGAATGTATGAGAGTATAGTTTTACAAACGCTCTTATATGGGTGTGAAGCGTGGGTGATGAATGTTGCAGCGAGGAGAAGGCTGGAGGCAGTGGAGATGTCATGTCTGAGGGCAATGTGTGGTGTGAATATAATGCAGAGAATTCGTAGTTTGGAAGTTAGGAGGATGTGCGGGATTACCAAAACTGTTGTCCAGAGGGCTGAGGAAGGGTTGTTGAGGTGGTTCGGACATGTAGAGAGAATGGAGCGAAACAGAATGACTTCAAGAGTGTATCAGTCTGTAGTGGAAGGAAGGCAGGGTAGGGGTCGGCCTAGGAAAGGTTGGAGGGAGGGGGTAAAGGAGGTTTTGTGTGCGAGGGGCTTGGACTTCCAGCAGGCATGCGTGAGCGTGTTTGATAGGAGTGAATGGAGACAAATGGTTTTTAATACTTGACGTGCTGTTGGAGTGTGAGCAAAGTAACATTTATGAAGGGATTCAGGGAAACCGGCAGGCCGGACTTGAGTCCTGGAGATGGGAAGTACAGTGCCTGCACTCTGAAGGAGGGGTGTTAATGTTGCAGTTTAAAAACTGTAGTGTAAAGCACCCTTCTGGCAAGACAGTGATGGAGTGAATGATGGTGAAAGTTTTTCTTTTTCGGGCCACCCTGCCTTGGTGGGAATCGGCCAGTGTGATAATAAAAAAAATAAAATAACATTTTTAAGCAACTGCTTTTCCTGTATATGTATGACCATTCACTGTATATCAAGAAATGTGAAAGCTGTCTTACAGTAACCATTTCCCAAGTCATGGAACATGACACCTAAATTGAAAAAACAACTGCAAATTTATAAAAGGATTCAAAATATTTCCCATGCCTAAATATAATTTTTCCTTAATTCTTTGATGGAAGTCAATACATTTTTTTTTTTTTCAACAAGTCGGCCGTCTCCCATCGAGGCAGGGTGACCCAAAAAGAAAGAAAATCCCCAAAAAGAAAATACTTTCATCATCATTTAACACTTTCACCTCACTCACACATAATCACTGTTTTTGCAGAGGTGCTCAGAACACAACAGTTTAGAAGCATATACGTATAAAGATACACAACATATCCCTCCAAACTGCTAATATCCCGAAACCCCTCCTTTAGAGTGCAGGCATTGTACTTCCCATTTCCAGGACTCAAGTCCGGCTATATAAAAATAACCGGGTGTGTGTTGTGTGTGTGTGTGTGTGTTGTGTGTGTGTGTGTGTGTGTGTGTGTGTGTGTGTTTGTGTGTGTGTGTGTGTGTGTGTGTGTGTGTGTGTGTGTGTGTGTGTGTGTGTGTGTGTGTGTGTGTGTGTGTGTGTGTGTGTGTGTGTGTGTGTGTGTGTGTGTGTGTGTGTGTGTGTGTGTGTGTGTGTGTGTGTGTGTGTGTGTGTGTGTGTGTGTGTGTGTGTGTGTGTGTGTGTGTGTGTGTGTGTGTGTGTGTGTGTGTGTGTGTGTGTGTGTGTGTGTGTGTGTGTGTGTGTGTGACTCAACAATCAATATTTGCACCAATAACTCATTACAGTTGTGACCGGGTGTGGAAGTGTGAATTGCTCATTACTCTATAATTTGTTCATGATTGTAGCCAAAGTATAAACGTAAGTAACCATTCTACAGAATTCATTACCTTTGTAACTTGTGAGCTCATTACCTTTGTACCTAGTTCAGCTATCAAAACTTTGGGGGCCCAGTCCCTGGACCCATTACGTACCTCTGTAATCTGTAAATACCTTTGTAACTTGTCATGATTGTGACCAGACTTACCTGGAGTTCATTACCTTTGTAAATTGTGAGTTCATTACCTTTGTAAATTGTGAGTTCATTACCTTTGTAAATTGTGAGTTCATTACCTCTGTAACTTGCTCAGCTATCAAAACTTTGGAGTCCAGTCCCTGGACCAATTATGTACCTCTGTAATCTTTTGATTACCGCCCACAGGATGGGTATGGGGTGCATAATAAACATATTAAACTAACTTCCCTGAATCCCTTCACTAAATATTACCCTGCTCACACTCCAACAGATAGTCAGGTCCCAAATACCATTCGTCTCCATTCACTCCTATCGAACACACTCATGCACACCTGCTAGAAGTCATATTATTATGATTAAAAGCAGAATTAAAAGGAATGTAATCTTCAGAACACAAATTAATAAAACAATCATCAGAATATAAAGGAACTCAAATAAATAAAACAATTATTTCAACAACATTTAGTGGTATTCACAGCTTCTGGATATGATAGATTTTTTGAATCACCTGGAACATGGAGGTATTACCGACATATTTCAAAATGCTTTTTCTAATACTATTAGCCTGAGAGAGATAATGGAAACTGTGATGTATGAGCTGGGTATTCATTTCATATAGTAATGTATATGGAATCTGAATCAACTCCCATTTCTTCAGAAATAACTATAGTGCTGATGAGAATAAAGTGTTATTTTGAAGACAAGAACTCTAAGCCAACCTAAATAATAGTCACTGACAGTTTCAAAAAATAAAAAAAATATTAATAATGAACAACCCCCTAAGATGATTAAACTGCAGAAAGTGTAAGGTAACTAATATAAAATGAAAATTTACCTTATTAAATGTGATGCAAGTTGACGTGAAAGTTCTTCACCAGGCCAACCCAATGCTGTTACTTGGACAAGACATTCTAACAAACATCCAATTATCACTGAAAAGAGAGAACTTACTTGCATTAGTTGAAGTGACATAGTTTCAGTATCACCCAACACACGTATATGTACAGTGGTATCTTGACTTACAAGTTTAATTCATACAGTGACCAAGCTCGTCACTCAATTTGCTCGTATATCAAATCAATTTTCCTCAATGAAATTAATTGAAATGCCATTAATCTGTCCCAGCCCCCCCAAAAAACACCCCAATGTTTTTATTACGGGTTTTTAACCCTTAAATGGTCCAAACAGATCGATGTTCAAATTCGTAGTGCTACAAAAGTAGATCTACTTTTTTTACATATTTTCAAATATAACAAAAAAAAAAAGTAGATAAAAGTTTTTTTACATGTTTTCACATGTAAAACAAAAAAAAAAAATCTACATTTTTTTACATACTTTCAGATGTTGAAAAAACGTATATATACGTTTGGACCATTTAAGGGTTATATAAGAAAAATGTATAAATAAATAAATAAATGATTTCTGCCTTTTTCACCAGGTCCCAGCAATGTTTTAGACATGCTGGAGTATATATGAAACTCCTTGAAGCATGGTGTAAGATGAGTGTCACTCCACTGCTGACAGTGCAGCAGTGGAGTGACATTTGATGATCGTGCACTGCCTTGTCTTTATTTTTCACTGTTACACATTAACATGTCTGTCTATCTGTTTGTTTCTATCTGTCTATTTGTCTGTCTAAATCTGCGTTTATCTCTGTCTCTTTTTTTACTTCCGAAAAATTTTCGACCCTGAGAACGAGTTTAGGAGAGGGCCTCTCGACCCTGAAAGGGTTAAAGTGCAGGCATTGTACTTCCCATTTCCAGGACTCAAGTCCGGTTATATAAAAATAACCGGTTCCCTGAATCCCTTCACTAAATATTAACCTGCTCACATTCCAACAGCTCGTCAGGTCCCAAATACCATTCGTCTCCATTCACTCCTATCTAACACGCTCACTTACGCTTGCTGGAAGTCCAAGTATAATTATAATTAATATTATAATATTATTATAATAATTATATTATAATTAATATTAAAATTAAGTATAATTCAAAATGTTCTTTGTTTTTTTTTTTTTTGTTTTTTTTTTCAACAAGTCGGCCGTCTCCCACCGAGGCAGGGTGACCCAAAAAAAAGAAAGAAAATCCCCAAAAAGAAAATACTTTCATCATCATTCAACACTTTCACAATACACTCACACATTATCACTGCTTTTGCAGAGGTGCTCAGAATACAACAGTTTAGAAGCATATATGTATAGAGATACACAACATATCCCTCCAAACTGCCAATATCCCAAACCCCTCCTTTAAAGTGCAGGCATTGTACTTCCCATTTCCAGGACTCAAGTCCGACTATATGAAAATAACCGGTTTCCCTGAATCCCTTCACTAAATATTACCCTGCTCACACTCCAACAGATCGTCAGGTCCCAAGTATCATTCGTCTCCATTCACTAGCCCATTGTTCCCGGCATTTTAGTTGACTTTTACAACACGCATGGCTTACGGAGGAAAGATTCTTATTCCACTTCCCCATGGATATAAAAGGAAAAGTAATAAGACCAAGAACTATTAAGATAAAATCAAAGAAAACTCAGATGAGCGTGTATAAATAAACATGTCCATGTATGTGTAGTGTGACCTAAGTGTAAGTAGAAGTAGCAAGACGTACCTGTAATCTTGCATATTTATGAGACAGACAAAAGACACCAGCAATCCTACCATCATGTAAAACAATTACAGGCTTACGTTTTACACTCACTTGGCAGGACGGTAGCACCTCCCTGGGTGGTTGCTGTCTACCAACCTACTACCTGCAATTATGTAATATATTATGTAATATATTATGTAATATATCCATTACTAAAATATGAGAAAAGTATTTGAGGAAAGAAAACATCTTGAGGTGAAGGACTGGTTTGTCCCATTTCTCTCAATCACTGGAGAGGTGGAAAAGATTCTTCCAAAATGATATATGATAATAGTATATGAAAAGTATGCCAGTGTAAAAAACTAAGAACAAAAAGGACAGTATTTTTAAGTTTTCATAGTAAACAAACAGGCAATACTAACAATTATTAGACAGAATTAATAAAGTAAAATACTAAACCCTTTCTCCTGTATACATTACTAAAGTTAAAATGAGAAACTTTTTTTTTTTCTTTTCGGGCCACCCTGCCTCAGTGTGATATGGCCAGTTTGTTGAAAGAAGAAGACTTGTTACTTGAAATTGGAACTGTTTTGTGGCTCAAGAATGACTGGGGGTATATATCTAGTCCGGCAACTCAAATTAGTGTGGAAGAATCGATTCAAATCATCCTGCAAGCAATTCAGCAATGAGAGAATGAGAAACAATTCCTTGATACACTACAATCTTATGCATTCCTTAAATTAAGAATGACACTTTTACGAACGAGTTATTTATTTAGCAAAAATTTAGGAAAGCAAAATTATTTTTATCATACACATTAAAAAACTGCCAGTTTGGAGGGATATGTTGTGTATCTTTATACGTATATGCTTCTAAACTGTTGTATTCTGAGCACCTCTGCAAAAGCAGTGATAATGTGTGAGTGTGGTGAAAGTGTTGAATGATGATGAAAGTATTTTCTTTTTGGGGATTTTCTTTCTTTTGTGGGTCACCCTGCCTCGGTGGGAGATGGCCGACTTGTTGAAAAAAAAAAAAAAAACACATTAAAAAAAATACACCTGATATCAACCTAGATTATAATTGTGAAGGTCATTGTTGGCAGTAAGGAGTGGCAGAAGACAATTAATTATGGTGGCTGCTAGCTGATCCAATGCAGCGCTGTCAAAGGAGGCCTGACAGGCACCACAGCAATGCACAAATTTCAGTACATCGCTGATGAGCTTAGTGATGGAACGGAACAGACGCATAGACATCAGGGCTCGTGGATTTGGATCACTGGCAACCCACAAAACACCACCTGTTAAAAAAAAAAAAAAGCTTTTATCAGAAGAGCACAAACTTCAACTATCAAACAATTCTTTTTAAAAAATACTTTTGCTTTCCTTTACAAAGGGTTAATTAAACATTACAATATTTCTGACATTTTAGAAGCTGGATTACATTACTACAATGAAGAACATTATCCTTTTTTTGTTTCAGAATAAGTAGTTGGATTAAAGGTAAAAGTGTTTTCAAAACTTGACATTTAGTGGGAAGGCTGTTAACACTTTCAGGTAAAGGATTTAGTAAGAGAAAACTTTAATGGCACAGGAAAACATAATATTACCAAATGCAAAGAAATAGAACAAGTAAATGAACCAGTAGTGAAAAAAAATCCTAAAAAATCCTACCCATGCAGGCTGAAAACAGCTGTTCATATTCAGTCATGCTCCTGTAAGGCTCACATCATATCAACATGGGAAAATATAAAACTGACAAGTCTCAGGAGGCAAGATTAGAAGAGACAAGTAGAGGTAACAAATATAAAAACTTCCTTCAGGAACCTAGGAATAGAGGGAATAACAAAAAAAGTGAACCCAAGATACAAAGTAAGCCTTTTATCTAACAATGCTTTACTCTGTCAAACAAAAAACCCCAGGGTGGACTAAATGTTGTGTTTTCATTCACTATTTAATGGTTTTTGCTGTCTATTACCTACCTGATTTAGGAAAGGATGGTCAGTCAAGACAATCCTACTGTACGCTCATATTGCTGTTGGATAAAGTCAACAGTTGTGAAAAGATTAAAGAGTGACCTGAAGTCTCAAAATTAAAATGTGGGAATACCTTAATACAGAAATGCAAGCTATAAATATCTGCTTTAATCTACGATATACTGTGCCTAGTGAAAGTATTGAATTTCATTATTCTTTGATGAATGTGTAATACAGCCTCTTCTCACTTAGTGACATCCGGCCCAAGAAAGAAGACAGAAGAAAGAAGAAGATGAACAACACCCCCAACCGGGGGCCACAGCCGGGTAACCATATGGAGAAGACCCGGGCCGGAAGTACCGGTGAACCTCTAATGAATGAATGAATGAACTTAGTGACATACTAGTTTACCAACGACTTGGACTTACGACTGGCTCTCTGACCAGTATGCATACTTAAATAATGTATATTAGAGCTGATTTCCTCTATTTGTTTATTACAATATACAGTACACTACTGCATAAACATTTAAAAATATACTAAAAATGTTATAAATGATGCAAAGGTAACATTAAAACAATATCAAAGATGGCTGACACAAACCCACTACCATTATATTATACTCCTTGCTTAGTGACGAATTCATTTACTGACGTGGTCTTAGGAACAAAACTCTGTCGTTAAGTGAGGAGAGGTTGTAGTTACCACACTCGAGTAGTGAGAAATAAAAATGTGGCACTGTGGCTTACTTTAAAGGAAAAACAGGTAAGAAACAGGTAAAAAAAGTACAAGGAAAGGAATAATTGCATTTACAATATAATTGTATTTAGAGAATATGTAGTAGATTGGAGGAGACTGCCATCAGTAAATGTTAAGGCTTAAAATAACTTCAAAATTTAACATAATCAAGTAAATCCTCACCTAATATCGAACAGTTGAATATGAAACTTGAAAAATATATTATATATACTGGTATACCATACAAGGAATAAATAAAAAGGAGGGCAAATGAGAGATTACTGAACTTTTGATAAAATATTAGCTCTCACTGAAAGTACAGTGTACAGTACTTTCACCAAGAGGATGACTTACCTGCACTCTGAAGTGTATGATATAAAGGCACTTTTCTTGTTTTTAAGTTCATTCAGCAGTAGTGGAAGAAGTGGCGGACACAGAGATGTCCCGGCCTTCACAACTGGTATGTATATCTGAAAATCATTCTTCAATATACAACACTGTAGATTTTTCAACAGATACTAATTACAAACTCGTGACAATATACAAAAATTTATGGCAAATGTATTTTCTTCTTTTTCTGGGGTCACTACCTTGGTGGAAGACAGCAGTTGAGTTAAATAATAATTAGTGAGAAGAATGTACTGCGACAAAACCAGACAAAATCCATGGGGCTATGGAATCCTCATACCAATTAACTGACAGTTAGGAGACAGGATTCCAGAGCTGAAGTTCACAACCCTTTAATAAAATTAGGCAAATGTAAACACATTTTCAGTTTCAGAAAAACTTTTGATACTATGCCAACATAAGAGATTGATCAATAAACTGAAGGTAAAAGCCAGGGTGCCAAGATATACATCACTGACTTGATAATTATGACAAGCTGCAGTCAATGAGGAGGTTGTAAAGCCAACAAAATGAAGAAAAGACATTACAGCAGAACAGAAACATTTACTGAGACATATTGCTTATAGACTAAGCCTTCTTCAAATTTACAGAGAGCACTATACAAGGAAAGCATAAGTACACATAATTGGGAGAGCAGGTTATTGTCAGGTCAGAAGGGTGGCATGTGCTGAGGAGCACATGAGCTAAGGGTCCTGCGAACCAGCAACTAACCTGATTCTGGGTAATGGTGTCTATGGTATGCTTGCCACACCAATAAAACCAGCAATGCCTGCAAATCACTTCGTACCACGGATTCACACAACATGCATTGGTTCAGGGCGAGCATGGTTATCTGACGTGTTGAAGAAGAAGAATTGGTAATCATTCATACCACTGACACCAACCATTATCCAGAGCCAGAAAATTTTCCAGTTGGTGAGGAGTATTTACACCAGTTCACATGTACCTCAACACAAACCACCCACTTCACCTGACATGGTCAGGTTCATACTTCACAACTCCTCCATTCTCCCTGCTAAGTATGCATATGCTTTCCATGTTTTGTTCTTTTTCTTTTTTCTTTTAACACATCAGCCATTTCCCACCAAGGCAGAGTGACTGAAAAAGAAAGAAAAAACCTTCATAATCATTCAACACTTTCACCATCACTCATACATAATCACTGTCTTTGCAGAGGTGCTCAGATGTGACAGTTTAGATGTCCCTCCAAACTGCCAATATCCCAAACCCCTCCTTAAAAGTGCAGGCATTGTACTTCCCATTTCCAGGACTCAAGTCCGACTAACTGGTTTCCCTGAATTCCTTCACAAAATATTACCCTGCTCACACTCCAACAACCTGTCAGGTCCCAAAAACCATTCGTCTCCATTCACTCCTAACACACTCACGCACGCTTGCTGGAAGTCCAGGCTCCTCGCCCACAACACCTCCTCTACCCCCTCCCTCCAACCTTTTCAAGGACTACCCTTACCCCGCCTTCCTTTCCCTACAGATTTATACGCTCTCCAAGTCATTCTACTTTGTTCCATTCTCTCTAAATGACCAAACCACCTCAACAACCCCTCTTCAGCCTTCTGACTAATACTTTTAGTAACTCCACACCACCTAATTTCCACATTATGAATTCTCTGCATATTTATACCACACATTACCCTTAGACACGACATCTCCACTGCCTCCAGTTGCATCCTCACTGAAGCATTTACAACCCATGCTTCACATCCATGTAAGAGTATTAGTACCACTATACTCTCATACATTCCTTTCTTTGCCACCATGGTATCCACAGATACCTCAATGCACCACTCACCTTTTTCCTGCATCAATTCTATGATTAACCTCGTCCTTCATAAATCCATCTGCTGACAAGCCAGCTCCCAAATATATGAAAACATTCACTTCTTCCATACTCCCTCCCTCCAATATATCCAATTTTTCTGTATCTAAATCATTTGAAACCCTCATCACCTTACTCTTATCTATGTTCACTTTCAACTTTCTACGTTTACACACCCTCCCAAACTCATCCATTACCTCTGCAACTTTTCTTTAAAATCTTCTAAAAGCACAGTATCATCAGCAAAAAGTAACTGTGTCAACTCCCATTTTGTATTTGATTCCCCGTAATTTACTCCCACCCCTCTCCCCAACACCCCAGCATTTACTTCTTTTACAACCCCATCTATAAATATATTAACCCTTTCAGGGTCCGTCCCGTAGATCTACGGCTTTATGGTGAGTGTCCAAACCGTAGATCTACGCCATGAGCTCAGCTCACTCTGATAAACTGTGAGTGGTACATTTGGGCCTAGATATGAGAGAATACATCTATGTGGTATGTGTGCACCACATAAAACAGATCCTGCAGCACACTGTGTATAATGAGAGAAAAAAACTGATATCATGATTTTTCGATTAAAACAGCGACTTTGCAGTGTTTTTTCGTATGTTTTTTATAGTTGTATTTGCGATTTCTTGGTCTCATTTGATAGAATGGAAGACATATTACAGAAATAGAGATGATTTTGATTGGTTTTAGCACTGGAAATGGCTTGAAACTGAGCTCAAAGTAGCGGAAATGTTAAATTTTTGCCGATATTCAAGAGTAAACAAACGACCTCACACATCTAATACACGTCAGCTGGTGGGTCTAATATACATTCACAAATATGGTGATGATATTTATACAATTATTACAGTATTGCATAACAGTAAATCTTCTATTTTTTGGTGTGAATAAAAATTCATTATGTGAATAAAAAATCAAAATGGAATTTATTTGTAAAGCCTCAAAATATAACTAATGAACAGAGGAAATGTTAGTTTAGTTCCAGGAATACCTACATTGTTTATTCTGGAGCCTATTTTGAAATTGGAATATTTTGAACTTTGTGTTAAATTGGCCAAATTAACAATTTCCGATCACTTTATTTTGTAGTTGAAACAGTTGATTTGGCAATTTCTTGTACTCAATCGATAGAATAAAAGTAATACTAGTGAAATAGCTAAGAATTTGGTTGATTGGAATAATGTAATTGGCCTAAAATGGGAGTCAAAGTCGGCAAAATCGCCGACTCGTAAATATCGCTGACACATCAAAATTCGCGAGAGCATAATTTCGTCAATTTTCCACCAAATTTCGTACTTTTTGTTTTATTACCTTCACAAAAAGATTCTCTACGATTTCATAAGAAAAAATAACAAATTTTTTTTTTTAAAATTCTTGGACACTGGTGCGTGACTTCAGATTTTGGCCTTGGACCCTGAAAGGGTTAAACAACCATGGCGACATTACACATCCCTATCTAAAACCTACTTTTACTGAGAAGTAATCTCCCTCTCACCTACATACCCTAACCTGAGCCTCACTATCCTCATGAAAACTTTTTTTATTTTTTTTATTAACACACTGGCCGATTCCCACCAAGGCATTTATTAACTTACTACCTATTCCATACACTTACAACATCTGCCACATTGCTCCCCTATCCACTCTATCATATGCCTTTTCTAAATAGATAAATGCTATGAAAACTTCCCTACCTTTATCTAAATATTGTTCACATATATGCTTCAAACTCCTTCTGTTTATATTACTAAACTTAAAGAGAAACTCTCATTTTTCTTTTTGGGTCACCCTGCCTCGGTGGGATACGGCCAATTTGTTGAAAGTAGAAGAATGTATGCTTCAATGTAAACACTTGATCTACACATCCCCTACCCATTATAAAGCCTCCTTGCTCATCTGCAGTTCTGCTGTATGTCTTACCTCTAATTCTTTCAATAATAACCCTACCATACACTTTACCTAGTATACACAGCAAACTTATTCCACTACAATTTTTACAATCTCTTTTGTCCCCCTTCCTTTTATATAAAGGAACTATACACGCTCTCTGCCAATCCCTAGGTACCTTCCCCTCTTTCATACATTTATTAAATGAAAATACCAACCACTCCAACATTATTTCCCCCCCCCCCCCTCCCTGCTTTTAACTTTTCTGACATTACCCCATCAATTCCAGCTGCTTTATCCTCTTTCATTCTACGTAATGCCTCACGTACCTCCCCCACATTCACATCCTGCTTGTCTTCACTCCTAAAAGATGTTATACCTCCCTGGTCAGTGCATGAAATTACTGCCTCCCTTTCTTCACTGACATTTAAAAGTTCCTCAAAAAATTCCCACAATCTACCCAATACCTCCAGCTCCCCATCTACTAACTTCCCTACACTGTTTTTAACTGAGAAATCCATTCATTCCTAGGCTTTCTTAACCTGTTTATCTCATTCCAATTTTTTTCTTATTCTCAGCAAAATTTCTTGACAGTGCCTCTCCCACTCTATCATTTGCTCTCCATTTGCATGCTCTCACCACTTTCTTCATCTTTCTTTTACTCTCCACATACTCTGCCCTTCTTATATCACTTCTGCTTTGTAAAAACTTCTCATAAGCTACTTTTTTTCTCTTTTATTGCACCCTTTACCTCATCATATCATCAATCACTCCTCTTTCCTTCTGCAACCACCCTCTTATAGCCACAAACTTCTGCCCCACATTCTAATGCTGCATTTTTAAAACAATTCCATCCCTCTTCAACCCCCCACTACCCATACTTGCTCTAGCCCATCTTTCTGCCAATACAGGTCGTCCATCACTAATCCGGCACCATTGGGACCTATAGTGTGCGGATTACAGAGTGGTTATGTTAGAATGCACTTAATTAATTATCAATAGAGACTCTCTCTGCTACATCTTTCACATTTTCATCACTGCTTTCTCCTACACAGGCTTGCTGCTTTGGATTTACAACCATCTATGCAATTTCTGAGTCAGTATAATGATGAAATTTGAAATTATGCCAGCCAAAATTAGTGCCAGATTACTGATGGAACTGGATAACTGATTGCCAAATTAGTGATAGTCGACCTGTAGTTGCTTATATCTCACCCTAACTTCCTCTTCCCTTAGTTTATAAACTTTCACCTCCCTCTTACTTGCTGTTGCCATTTTCCTTTTGTCCCATCTACCTAGTACTCTAACTGTAGTTACAACTCTAAATAATGATCTGATATATCCATTGCCCCCTCTATAAACATGCACATCCTGAAGCCTACTTATTAACCTTTAATCCATCAATACATAATCTAACAAACTACTTTCATTACGTGCTATATCATAGCTTGTATACTCATTTATCCTCTTTTTAATAAAATATGTATTACTTATTACCAAACCTCTTTCTCCTGGCACCCCAAATTTACCTACTACTCCTTCCGCAACAGTTTTACCCACTTTAGCAAAATGGCCTCCTACATGTAACTCTGCAGATGATGTAAGCAGTGACATGGATGGAAGACAGCAAGAAAATGAAGGAATGGTTTCTGGAATTTAACCATAAAAAGGGCAAAGTAGCAATAATGAAAGCCAATGAAAAAAAACAATGACAGCACATTACCGGAGAAGGAAGAAACTTTTAGCATTAGAAAAAAAAAAAAAAAGCTATGGGAAGGATATCATAGTTAGCATTTCTCGTAATACACAAATAAAGTGGATAACATCACCAGAGGATGCATGACTGGCAAATGCACAGATTGTCTTTGGAAACCATAACAATAAATCAAAACTCTGTATGCCATACATGAAGATAAACCATACCACAGACGGGGATAGAATCCGTGATCAGAGAGTCTCAAAACCCCAGACTGTTGCATTAGCCACTGGGCCAGCTAACCACAATAAGATTCATCCAACTACGTATATTTCTACACCATAGGAAGATTAGCATAGGCACCACTGTGACCACAAATGCAAGTTTTTACAGATGAATCTCCAGCTAGCGTGGTCATGACGAACTAACACAAGTCCCCTCAAAGCCGTCAACATGACTCACGAAATCATGGTCACAGTGGTGCCTATGCTAACCTTCCTATGGTGTAGAAATATACCTAGATGGAAGAATCTTATTGTGGTGGCTGGCCCAGTGGCTAACGCTACGGTCTGGAGTTTTGAGACTCTCTGATCGCGGGTTCTATCCCCACCCGTGGTAAGGTTTGTTTGCAATCTTCTCATTATGATTTCGTGAGTCATATATGAAGATAATCCTCTGGTATGCAGTACCAGCAATGAGCCAAAGCTCACACTCCTTTTTTTCCACAATATCAAATAGATAATTACCAGTGAGGAGCCAACACTAAGTAAAAAAAAAAAAAAAATCCCTAAGCACACAATAGTGTGGAGCCCTCAACTAGTGAAACTCAAGAAAATACAAATGTGTATCAAAGCTGGTACCCATGTTGAGAAAAATAAGCTATGAAAAAAGAATAAGCGAGCTAGATGTTACTAGATGAAAGAAAAATAAGAAGGGATATACAATACCCTCTCCACTGTATAGTATGAGAGCTAGTTTTAAACTATTAAAGCCATTATGATGTATACCCCCTGCTACCACATAATTATAACCCTCAAATGATCCACATGGATATCAAAAAAATTTTCTATATAAAAGTAGAGAAGAAGTGGAATTAGCTGAACAATTACACAGTGGAAGTAGCCTCCGTACAGGGATTCAAATACGTATAGACGAGAGTACATACTTGCTAATGTTAGTCAATCAAAGGTTAAAAGTCTGAAGCAAGAGCTAGAGCTCACCCCCAAACTCAAATAGGTTATTACAGATAGGACATCAAAAAAAAAAAATAGTAAAAATAAATGAATCAAGATAAAGAAAAATACAGGAAAAGAAAATGAACAAATTAACAAAAAGGATCTGGGTATTAATTGAAAAGTAACCAACAAAATACACAAGCAGCCATCATGAACATGACCTAAATAATATTGTTAGTGTTTAATTATTATACATAAGAAATATTACCTAAATTCAACTATATATTTATTAATCAGTAATTAAACTGGTAAGAAAGAAAAAACTACGAATATTTTCAATTTTTAAATTGCAGTTTGCTCTACTGCAACACAGAATAAAAAAGAACAAATGCATAACTTACTGATAGACTGACAGATAGAAAGTTCAGTATGTGTGTCAGGAGCTGCTCATCAACGGAGGAATTTGGCTGGGAAGTGAGAAAACGTTGGAGGCTTTGGATCCACTGACTTGAAATAAAAAAATCTTCACATTTACATGAAGCAAACTGAACTTGTTGAATATAAAAACTCAGGGTATTGATGTTTTTCTTTACATCTTTATGTGAAGTGGCATTTTCAACATTTTTAAGTAACTTTGTCATGGCTACACTTAAAACTGATGACTTTAATAATGCTGCTTCATATTTACTTAACTGCAAACTGACAGAAAATTTGGATGTCTGATCAATCTTCTCAAGCCCTCCAACACAAGATGCTGCCCACACTGCTTTAAGAAAGTCAAGTACTTGCCAATCTCTTTCTTGTATAATCTGATGCACTGTTCTCATCTCCTCACATAACCCATTCCTCTCATGCCAGATATATGTACCACATAAAAAAGGCAAATGTAACTTAGAGGGCAGAAGTTCAGGTACACAAATAAAATCTTTCCTAACACCATTTACTTGCTTTTGTTCATTTTCAGTTCCCATATATATAATGACATCATTGAAGACCAGTAATGCCAGTAAACAAGATGCTTGGCTTCTAGTACGGTCGTCTGCATAATAAAGTAGTGCAGCTGAAAAATAGAAGTATAAATTAAGCGACTTGTTCAGGACAAAGAAATTTATGTACATGTACTAAAATTTTAAAGAACATGCCCACTTACTATTGTACAGAAAAACATTTTCATCAGGACTGATTGTATAAAATATGCCATAAATATGTATAAAATATGGGAGACGGCCAACTTGTTGAAAAAAAAAAAAAAAAAATTTGAATAACTACTAAATGCATGTTACATATTTTTTCCCAGATTCGTAACAAAGTAACTAGGGAGAATTTTACATGGCATTAGTTATGAACTAACACTAACATTTTCAAGGTCAGGCAATAAAAATTGTTTTAACCCTTTGAGGGTCGGTCGTGTACAAATACGTCATTGCAGCCAGGGTCGGTCACGTACTTGTATGCCTAAATTCTAGCGCCTACAAATCTGATAGAATGGGTCTGTGTGGTAAGTGTGCGCAGTTTAAAAAAAATCCTGAAGCAAGCAGTGCATAATGAGAAAAAAAAATAGTGTTTTTTTTTATTTAAAACAGCAACATTCTAGTGTATTTTCGTATGGTATTTAAGGTTGTATTCTCATTTCCTTGGTCCCTTTTGATAGAATGGAAGATATATTACAGAAATAGAGATGATTTTGGTTGGTTTCATGATGACAAGTACCTTGAAATTGAGCTCAAAGTAGCAAAAATGATCGATTTTTGCCAATGTTCAAGAGTAAACAAATCACGCCACGCATCCAATACATGTCAACTGGTGAGTCTTTCACAAGTGCACTGACATCATTTATACTGTTTTTACAAAGATGCAGTAATATACATAATAGAAAACCTTCTATTTTCTGTGAGAATAAAAATTCAAAATGGAAAGCAAAAGTAATGTAAGAGGGGCCTAGAGACGTGACTAATAAACAGATAAAATGTTATTTTAGTGCCATGAATGTCTGTCTTGTTTATTCTGGACCCTATTTTGAAATTGGCATCTTTTGAAATTTGTGTGAAATTGCCCAAATTGCCAATTTCTGACCATTTTATTGGGTAGTTGAAATTGGTAAATGGGCAGATTCTTGTACTCAAGCAATAGAAAAAATGGAGTTCTAGGGAAATAGCTATGGTTTTAGTCAACTGCAACATTGAAATTGGTCGAAAATAGACGAAAATTGGCGAAATCGCCAATGCGTAAATATCTTCAAGACTGCTAACTTCGCAGGAGCATAATTCCGTAAGTTTTCCATCAAATTTCATACTTTTGGTGTCATTATGATCGTAAAAAGATTCTCTATCATTCCATAAGATTTTTTTTTTTTTTCGAAAATTTTTCAACCCTGAGAACAAGTATGGGAGAGGGCCTCTCGACCCTCAAAGGGTTAAATGAACAAATTCCACTGTTTAAATTACTATTATACAAGATTCTAAAATTAGTTGGCAAACCAAAATTATGACACCACTATGAACAATTAGTAATAATAATAATAAGACCTTTCTTATTGTAAATGCTATAACAATACTGACAGGTTGAAGAATAAAGCATGTGAAACACTTATTGTTGAAATGTTTCACTTGCACAGCTTGTTTCCATAGTCAAATACAGATGATTATAACACTGGAGAAAGTAGAAGAGGTGAAGAGGTAATTTTAAGGGACTGACCACCATCTATGAAGGCTGAGGGACTTGTAATCTCAAAACTACCTCTCCACTTGTTCTACTGTCTCCAGTATTACAATCGCCTGTATCTGACTGAAGAAGCTGAAGAAGCCTACTGTGCTGGTGACACATTTAGACAATAAAGATACTATACAAAGTGTTGCAAGGTGTCTTACTCATTAAGACCTTTTTAACTCCTTATTAACTCCAGTGACATTAATCAAGATTGTGGACGAATGGTTCAGAGAATCGACACGTTGATAAATTAGACACATGTGCAACTCTTGGGTATCTTTATTGAGGAAACGTTTTGCCACATTTGTTCAATGTGGAAGTAGGTCGTGCCCAAGGGTTAGGCAAGCGAAGAATTCCCAAGTATTAAGATCTAAATACTTGGGAATTCTTCGCTTGCCTAACCCTTGGGTACGACCTACTTCCAGTCTGCTGCACCTCTACTGCCTACGGTATATGAGCTACTTCTCCACACATATGCTGTATTCTATTCAAGATTAACGGACTGACCACATCGACTCAAGTTGAGGGACTGATTACCTCATTCTCCTCCTGTTCTTTACAATTCTCCTTTGTATGGACTGATGAAGCCACTGTGTGGCGAAACGTTTCCTCAATAAAGATACCCAAGAGTTGCACACGTGTCTAATTTATCGACATTAATCAAAGTGGCTCCCAGAACTAAGAGAGAAGAATTACAAATAAAGACTGAAACAATTAAAATGCCATTGCCAATAATCATGAGGATACAAGAACACTGGTAAATAAATTTTAGTGCCAACAACAGGCAGAATAAGAAGTACTGGCTCACTTCCCAGGACAAAACTTGACTAGAAACACTCATTTACAATAATGGATTGTCTGACCCAGTATCCTAAACCCATTCCTAAGAGGAAAATCCCATGATTTAATACATAAGCTGAGCTTATGCTAATAATGTTGGGGAAGGTGAAAACAATGTAGAATGAATACTAGAAGTTACTTCTTCAGAAACAGTGGGTTTGAATGTTAGACTGGGATCCAAGATGAGGTTACCTGTTACCTGGAGAGAGTTCCGGGGGTCAACGCCCCCGCGGCCCGGTCTGTGACCAGGCCTCCTTAGGTCAGTGTCCCAGGATGCGACCCACACCAGTCGACTAACACCCAAGTACCCATTTTACTGATGGGGAACATAGACAACAGGTGGAAAGAAACACGTCCAATGTTTCTACTCTGGCTGGGAATCGAACCCAGGCCCTCGCTGTGTGAAGCGAGAGCGTTAACCACCAGGCCACCAGAGCCCAACCACTAGAAAGGTTATGAATTATATAAAATAATCATTATAAACAGGATACAAGTACAGCTTTACTCTTCTTTCAATGCATCAGCCGTATCCCAACAAAGCTTGGTAGCCCAAAAAGAAAACAAAAGTCTCTCTTTATAAATTTAGTAATCTATATAAGAGAAGGGGTTACAAGCCCCTTTCTTCTTCTTTCTTTCAACACACCGGCCGTATCCCACTGAGGCGGGGTGGCCCAAAAGGAAAAACGAAAGTTTCTCCTTTTACATTTAGTAATATATACAGGAGAAGGGGTTACTAGCCTCTTGCTCCCAGCATTTTAGTAGCCTCTTACGACACACATGGCTTACGAAGGAAGAATTTCGTTCCACTTCCCCATGGAGTTAAGAGGAAATAAACAAGAACTAGCAAGAAAAGAGAAGAAAACCCAGAGGGGTGTATGTTTACATATGCTTGTACATGCATGTGTAGTGCAACTTAAGTGTAAGTAGAAGTAGCAAGACGTACCTGAAATCTTGCATGCTTATGAGACAGAAAAAATACACCAGCAATCCTATCATCATGTAAAACAATTAAAGGCTTCTGTCTTACACTCACTTGGCAGGACGGTAGTACCTCCCTGGGTGGTTGCTGTCTACCAACCTACTACCTAGAACAGCTTTACTCATGTAACAATAAACAGGTAAGCACACCCTCAATTACCCATATCTTATTCATATGCATGCATACATCCAACTATATATGCACATTACAATTACATCTCAATTCACAATTCTCTATGGGACCCACCTCTAACAACACACAATAAAAACTCCTCATCTTTAAGCAACTTGGATCTGATGTGAGCAGAGTGAGTTACCAGAAGCCTCAGTGTCTCCACTGCTCCAGGTAAATACTCCACTGTCAGATTCTGAGAGCCATCACGCTGCAAAAGAACATTTTTGAAGCTCATATTAATTTGTAATATCTCAAGGTAATTAACACATACGAGTCTGAATATAAATGGTTATGGTGACAGTCTGTACAAAACAGCAGCACCTTAAAATCATAAAAGTAATGAAAGTGAAATACAGTAAACCCTCTATATAATAGACTAAGGAGGAGTGTCTGAGTATCCATTGAATAAGAATGTTCAAAAATAGCAAAAAATAAAGCACTCAGGATGCTAACATAGCAGTGTACACATAATTTACAGATATACTGCAAGAAACACTTAAAATAAAGGAGTTAAAAGTACAATTTAACCAGTTGATTTTGCCCATAATATTTTTTTTTTTTTTTTTTTCACAAGTCGCGTCTCCCACCGAGGCAGGGTGACCAAAAAAAGAAATCCCAAAAGAATACTTCATCTCATTCAACACTTTCACCACACTCAACATTATCATGCTTTGCAGGGGTGCTCAAAATACAAAGTTTAGAAGCATATATGTATAGATACACAAATATCCTCCAAATGCATACCCAACCTCTTAAGTGAGCATTGTATTCATTTCCAGACTCAAGTCGACTAAGAAAATACGTTCGAATCCTTCACTAAATTACTGCTCACACTCAAAATCGCAGTCCCAAGTATCATGTCTCCATTCATCCTATCAACACGCTCACGCACCTTGTGAAGTCCAACCCCTCACCACAAACCTCCTTAACCCTTTCAATTGAGGACGACCCTACCCTCTTTCCTTCCTATAGATTATAATGCTTTCATGTATTCTATTGATCATATCTCTAAATGACCAAACACTAAACACCTTTCTGGCCTCTGACTAATGCTTATAACTCCACCCTTACCTAATTTCACACCGATTTCTGCATAATAACACCAACATTGCCTTAACAGGACATTCACTGCCTCAAACGTCTCCTCGTGCTGCATTTACCAAGCTTCACATCCATTAATTTTATGTATGTTATATCAAAGTCCATTATATTGATAGTTACTTTTTTTCATTAAGGCAGCAGTATTCATATAGACTAAGAGCACTAATTTTTTTTTTTTCAACAAACTGGCCGAATCTCACCAAGACAGGGACCCAAAAAGAAAAACGAAAGTTTCTCTTTTTAAATTTAGTAATTTATACAAGAGAAGGGGTTACTAGCCCCTTGCCCCGTCTGTTCCACTTCCCCATGGAAATAAGAGGAAATAAACAAGAACAAGAACTAGAAAGAAAACAGCAGAAAACCCAGAGGGGTGTGTAATATGCTTGTACATGTATGTGTATCTAGGTAGTAGGTTGGTAGACAGCAACCGCCCAGGGAGGTACTACCATCCTGCCAAGTGAGTGTAAAACGAAAGCCTGTAATTGTTTTACATGATGGTAGGATTGCTGGTGTCCATTTTTCTGTCTCATAAACATGAAAGGTTTCAGGTACATCTTGCTACTTCTACTTACACTTAGATCACACTACACATACATGTACAAGCATATATATACACACCCCTCTGGGTTTTCTTCTATTTTCTTACTAGTTCTTCTTCTTTCAACGTACCAGCTGTATCCCACCGAGGCGGGGTGGCCCAAAAGAAAAAACTAAAGTTTCTCCTTTTAAATTTAGTAATATATACAGGAGAAGGGGTTACTAGCCCCTTGCTCCCGGCATTTTAGTTGCCTCTTACGACACGCATGGCTTACAAAGGAAGAATTCTGTTCCACTTCCCCATGGAGATAAGAGGAAATAAACAAGAACAAGAATTAGAAAGAAAATAGAAGAAAACCCAGAGGGGTGTGTATATACGTATATGCTTGTACAGGTATGTGTAGTGTGACCTAAGTGTAAGAAGAAGTTCTTATTCTTGTTTATTTCCTCTTACCTCCATGGGGAAGTGGAACAGAATTCTTCCTCCGTAAGCCATGCATGTTGTAAGAGGCAACTAAAATGCCAGGAGCAAGGGGCTAGTAACCCCTTCTCCTGTATATATTACTAAATGTAAAAGGAGAAACTTTCATTTTTCCTTTTGGGCCACCCTGCCTCAGTGGAATATGGCCGGTGTGTTGAAAGAAAGAAGAACATGTATGTGTAGTGTGACTTAAGTGTAAGTAGAAGTAGCAAGACGTACCTGAAATCTTGCAAGTTTATGAGACAGAAAAAAGACACCAGCAATCCTACCATCATGTAAAACAATTACAGGTTTCCATTTTATACTCACTTGGCAGGACGGTAGTACCTCCCTGGGCAGTTGCTGTCTACCAACCTACTACCTACTAACAGCACTAATATTTACATAAAATTTCAGACAGAACAATAATTTCTGTCTGCAAATTAAAGAATTTGAATATTTTCACAATCCAGAGCAACATGGGGTTTAGAGAAGGATGTCCTTACCCAATACAACTGGTGGATATCACTAAAAAATGCTATTGGATCTAATTAAAAATTAGCAAAATGATAATAAAACATGCCTTCAACAAATGCTAATATGGCACATAAGTACACTAAATTTTAAAAGTGGACACACACATTACCATCTTCTTAATAAAGAATAGCCAATCTAGTAAACTCAGAGACCACCATCAAGACAACATGTTCCAAAGAGTATAGTACTGTACTTGAGCCAAAACACTTTTGCATCCTCACATTCAAGAGTGGAATATCATCCTTTATGACTGAGTTTAGAATCTGCAAGAGTGGTATCTGATAAGTACAAAGTAAGCTTCCAAGACAATGTAAGCCAAGTCTGCTGATGAGCTGAAAAAAATGAAATTGTTATGGCACAGAAGGTGGAAACATACTCCCCCCTCAGGACCCAGCTCAAATCCTGTAAGTACTATTAGATTAAGTATGAATCAAATTATCTGATATCCAAGATTTTGAAAATGCTATGAAATTAAAATTAGCCCAATTTTTCCTTCTTTGGATAAATTCAGTAAGACAAAATCTATCAGAGTTGAAATCTTTTGATATCAGACTTCCTTTGTTTTGGTAAGCAGTGCCAAGAGTCCCTTGAGTTTTATAAAAAAAGTAGGGCATTTTGTGCTTTTTTTGGTAATTACAGATCATATATTTTCTGAATAGCTTCTTTATTAAGTTGAGGGAATTACTGAAAAATACATCAACTTTAGAAAACCATTTGTTCTCTAAAGGTTTTATTTTTAAAGTAGATGTAAACAAATCATTAAATGAAATTTCTAACTTGAAAACTAACCTTCATCATATTGACAAAATTCATCACAAGGAACTGGAGAGAACAGAGCTGCAAAAAGGGACGATGAAGCTGTGGGTCCTCTAACAGAAAAGCAAGCTGAGACCATGCAGCTTTGCACACCCCAGGATCAATCCCTTGACCTAGGATCAGCTCTAACACCTTCATCAATCTACCTTCCTGAAGACAGAAGTTGCCAATTTAGGAATGGGCAATAAAAAATTTCTTTCTAATCCATTATATTTTATTTTGTCTTCATAAAACCTTTGTGAGAATGTATTAAAGTAACTTGATTAACAGTAATCTGAAACTAGTTTTTTAGGTTTTTCCTAACTGTAATGTCCATAAACTTTAGGCAAGACAGCTATTGAGTGAATGATGGTGAATGTATTTTTTTTTTTTTGAGGGGGGGGAGGATGTCATTGTACCTTGACGGGGAGATGGCTGATGTAGCAATTTTTTTATAAAATACCACAATGAAAGATCTAGTTAATTCACAATATAATGATAAAAACAATGACAGATGATTTTACCTTCATTAGCCCTAACAAAAAATATCAATTTACAAATAAGAGGTTAGTGGTGATACACTGTCATAAAGAAGTATTGCACCACAACTTTGTGGCCATTATTTATGACTTTTTGTAACCTATACTCAGTATGCATATGCACACACAGTATGCAATACACATATACACAATATGCATATACGCAGTATGCATATGCATATGCATACCAAGTATTGGAGTTCACGGCTTAATGTGGTAGATACATTCCGGACTCACGGCAGCCATACTAGTCTGAATCATGCTACCAACACTTAATCCTTTATTGTAAATATTTTTATATAATTTTATGAACTGTACTGATCATAAATTTATATAGGAAATTGAGGAAGAAATGAGGCATTGCATAAAAGCAAATCTGTATATAGCAAGGAACTACTTAAAGCAAGGGGTTACTATACATTGAAAAGAAACTAGCATAACTTCTTTGCAGGTTTGTTAAAAAGATTCTTGATTTTATAAAACACATTAAATGTTACATTATGGCCTTACCTCGGAAATCAAATTGCTCATAAAAAAGAGGGGTATGGGGTGCTTGATTATTAAGAGGTCATGATGAACTGCAAGGTGAAAGTCTCGTGGATCAGGAAGAAAGTCGGATGTGGTTGTAACAAGTTTCTGAACAACTCGTGACAGGGCTTGGATTCTTGTGTCCCTGTCTCGCAGATACAGACACTGAAGCCAATATTTCAAATGCTGTAAGAAAATTTTTAGTTTTGAATACTAATGTTTCACTTTATAAAGAGTACATACCAACCACTGAAAATCTACACCAATTAAATATAATTTAGTCAGTGCTATTGAGTAAACTATCCCAGCCATTTGAACATTTTTCCCTAGGCTATGACCCTAAACAAAAAAGTTTACTATTCTTAAGAGGTGTTAGATTTTAATGTCTCATGAAAGGGTTCTTGATAGTGATAGAGTTGAAAGGATTGAGAGTTTTGATCAGCTAGGAGGCAAAATGAGAGACTGCTCCTCTAGAGAAAATGACTAGAATAGAGGAACACCAGACTTGTTGGTCTTATGAAGCCCACAAAAATATGGCCAACGGGGGGCAGATAACATGGAAACATTTAACAAGATGAAAGTCAGGTGGACAGATTAGAAATAGTACAAGGTTTGAGGTCGAAAATTCTCTCAATACAATCAAGAGGGCTGCAAACAAGAGAAGTGTAGTTGCAAGAGGCAGAGAGCAAGGACTCACCTTGTCATCAAATAAAGTGTCTTCTCTAAGTGTGGGGTATTTGTGAATTATTCCCACCATGATACACAATTGTGACTTATTCTGAATGTACAATGAAAAGAATGTGTGTGCTGATTTTAACCCCTCTCCTGGTGTCGCAAAATCCCCCCCCCCCCAATTATTTTTTTCTTATGAAATGACAGAGAATCTTTTCCCAATTGTAATGACACCAAAAGAACAAAATTTGATGGAAAACTGACGGAATTACGCTCTCGCGAATTTAGCGACCTCGGCAATATTTATGAATCAGCGATTTCACCCACTTTGAGCCCTATTTTCATCTAATTCCATTGTTCCAGTTGACGAAACTCATAGCTATTTCTTTAAAACTCCATTTTTTCTATCGATTGAGTACAAGAAACTGCCCATTTACCGATTTCAACTACCCAATAACATGGTCAGAAATTTGCAATTTGGCCAATTTCACAAAAATTATGAAATATGACAATTTCAAAATAGGGCCCAGAATGAACAATGCAGACATTCCTGGCTCTAAAATAACATTTTCTTTGTTCATCAGTCACATCTCCAGGCCCCTCTGATATTACTCTTGCTTTCTATTTTGAATCTGTATTCAAACAAAAAATAGAACATTTACTGTTATGCAGACTACTGCAATATTGTAATAATTGTATAAATAATATCAACCCATTCAAGACTGCATATCAGAATGGCTACTTGGACATTTAACCCTTTGAGGGTTTCGGACGTACTAGTACAGCTTACGACCCAGGGTTTTTGACGTACTAGTACGCCTAAATTCTAGCGCCCTCAAATCTAGTGGGAGAAAGCTGGTACGCCTTCATATGAAAGAATGGGTCTATGTGGTCAGTGTGCACAGTCTAAAAAAAATCCTGCAGCACACAGTGCATAATGAGAAAAAAAAACTTTGACCATTTTTTTGGAATAAAACAGCGACTTTGCACTGTATTTTCATATGGTATTTATTGTTGTATTCTAGTTTTCTTGGTCTCATTTTATAGAATGGAAGACATATTACAGAAATTGAGATGATTTTGACTGGTTTTACAATGAAAGATACCTTGAAATTGAGCTCAAAGTAGCAGAAATGTTCGATTTTTACCAAATTTCAAAAGTAAACAAATCGTGCCAAGCATGCAATACACGTCAACTGGTGAGTCTAATATTCTTTCACAAGTGCACCAATAATATTTATGCCATTTTTTACACTAATGCAGTAGTCCGCATAACAGTAAATCTTATATTTTTTGTGAGAATAAAAATTCAAAGTGGAAAGCAAAAGAATATAAGAGGGGCCTTGAGACGTGACTAATGACCAGAGGAAATGTCATTTTAGTGCCAGGAATGTCTTTCTTGTTTATTCTGGACCCTATTCGGAAATTGGCATCTTTTGAAATTTGTGTGAAATTGGCAAAATTGCTAAATTCTGACCACTGTACTGGATAGTTGACTTTCATAAATGGGTGGTTTCTTGCACCCATTCGATAGAAAAAATGGAGTTCTAGCGAAATATTCATGTTCTTTGTCGACTAGTACAGTGGAATTGGCCGAAAATGGGGCTCAAAGTGGGCAAAATCGCCGATGCGTAAACATCGCCGAGACCGCTAACTTTGCGAGAGCATAACTCCGTAAGTTTTCCATCAAATTTCAAACTTTTGGTGTCCTTATGATCGGGAAAAGATTCTCTATCTTTTCATAAGAGAAAATAATTTTTTTTTTTTAAATTTGGCCGACCCTGAGAACGAGTTTCGGAGAGGGCCTGTCGACCCTCAAAGGGTTAATGGAAAATGACATCATTTGTTTACTTTTGAACATCGGCAAAAATCAAACATTTTCCCTAATTTGAGCTCCATTTCAAGGTTCTTTTCATAATAAAACCAATCAAAATCACCTGTATTTCTATAATATGTTTTCCATTCTATCAAATGAGACAAAGAAAATGAGAATACAACCATAAATACTATACGAAAAAAGACCACAAAGTCAGCATTTTAATTAAAAAAAAAGTCGGAGTTTTTTTTTTCTCATTATGCACTGTGTGCTGCAGGATCTTTTTTATATGGTGCACACTGACCACACAGACCCATTCTCTCACATGTGGGCCTACTAGCTTTCTCCTGCTTGATTTGAAGCCACTAGAATTTATGAGTATGTATACGTCAAAAACGGTGGCTCGTAAGACGTATATATACGACCAAAACAGTCAAAGGGCTAAGAAAAAATTATATGGAAAGATTGAAAAATTAATGAATTAATCCCCAGGGAAATGTAAGAATAATAAAAAGAATCATTATCATGTTTTAACATAAAGATAATTTATTTTACCGAATGTTTGCACACTGGAGGAGGCTACGTATCAGACGAAAGTGATTACCTTGGAGTATTTATGACATTTTATAAAAACTTAAGAGAAAGAAAACAATAACAAATCAGCATAGGTTGATAACAGATCTATTTATTTTATTTTAGGACAACAAAGGGCATCATATAGGGCCAGAGAGGAGTAGAGTATGGTGTAGCAAAGCCTTTTTCTTAGTACCCTAGAGGAGTCAGAATGTTATGCAACAAATATTAGTTCTAAAATTAGTAAAGTCGCACAGCCCAATAAAAATACTAACCTTGCTCTTAATAAGTTATACAGTGTTGAAAATTTGAGGTTATTCCAAAAAAGACGGTCTCCAAAAACAGTGGATGAATAAAACAGTTTCCTGTAAACCAATACAGGCATTCCTTCTTTGGATACCTATAGATATTACCATATGCTCAGTAATGTAGGAAATGAACAGTCTTAAAGCTGATTACAAAAAGGAAACCATCACCAATTACATAGCCCAACACTCCCTCTTTTACCTCTATATTTTGTAACGTGCCATCACCCTTATACACAACTGATGGGAGGTTGGTGACTACTCGACCAAGACTTGAGACTGAATCAGATAGGCACTGGAGGTCTGTGAGACAATTATACCAACAATGAACAGCAGCAGTCAGCACAGAAGCATTCATCAATGGGTGACCATTTAGCAGTCCAAGTATAATGCCCTTAGCAGCTTTCATAACCTGTGGAATAATAAAGAATATTATATCAAAGATAAAATAAAAACATTTAAAAAATCAAAGTAAAAAATATGGGTAATATTTAGTAAATCAAGGAATTAGTATTTGCAACATCAAATATACATTATATTAATGAAGGTATCAAATGATTTAGATAAAGAAAAATTGGATATCACATTGGAGAGAAGTAGTATGGAAGAAGTGAATGTTTTCAGGTATTTGGGAGTTGATATGTCAGCAGATGGGTTTATGAAGGATGAAGTTAACCACAGAATTGATGAGGAAAAAAAGGTGAGTGGTGCGTTGAGGTATATGTGAAAACATAAAACGTTATCAATGGAGGCAAAGAAGGGAATGCACGAAAATATAGTGGTACCAACACTCTTATATGGGTGTGAAGCTTGGGTTGTAAATGCTGCATCGAGGAGGCGGTTGGAGGCAGTGGAAATGCCCTGTTTAAGGGAAATGTGTGGTGTAAATGTTATGCAGAGAATTCAAAGTGTGGAAATTAGGAGAAGGTGTAGAGTTAATAAAAGTATTAGTCAGAGGGCTGAAGAGGGGTTGTTGAGGTGGTTTGGTCATTTAGAGAGAATGGATCAAAGTAGAATGACATGGAGAGCATATAATTCTGTAGGGAAAGGAAGGCGGGGTAGGGGTTGTCCTTGAAAAGGTTGGAGGGAGGGGGTAAAGGAAGTTTTGTAGGAGAGGGGCTTGGACTTCCAGCAAGCATGCATGAGCATGTTAGATAGGAGTGAATGGAGATGAATGGTTTTTGGGACCTGACGAGCTGTTGGAGTGTGAGCAGGGTAATATTTTGTGAAGGGATTCAGAGAAACTATTTATTTTTATGTAGTCGGACTTAAGTTCTGGAAATGGGAAGTACAGTGGACCCCCGGTTAACGATATTTTTTCACTCCAGAAGTATGTTCAGGTGCCAGTACTGACCGAATTTGTTCCCATAAGGAATATTGTGAAGTAGATTAGTCCATTTCAGACCCCCAAACATACATGTACAAACGCACTTACATAAATACACTTACATAATTGGTCGCATTCGGAGGTGATCGTTATGCGGGGGTCCACTGTATAATGCCTGCACTTTAAAGGAGGGGTTTGGAATATTGGCAGTTTGGAGGGATGTGTAATAGGACAGTATATATATATTGGGGGCCCTGATATTATATTCCATATTGTAAATTTTGAATAAATTTTAGTATAGTTTATTATCTTACTTCAGGTCACTTTTTATATTGTATCTTTATATATGCTTCTAAGCTGTTGTATCTGGGCACCTCTCCAAAAACAGTGATTATGTATGAGTGAAGTGAAAGTGTTGAATGATGATGAAAGTATTTTCGTTTTGGGGATTTTCTTTCTTTTTTGGGTCACCCTGCCTTGGTGGGAGACGGCCGACTTGTTGAAAAAAAAAAAAAATACAGCAGTCTGGATACTGCACTGTTTTAATTTTGAAGCTATTTTTTCATATTTAGTGATATGTATCTGTGATAAATATTAATCTTCAGTCTTGTTTTTTTTAACACATCAGCCGTCTCCCACCGAGGCATGGTGACCCAAAAAAGGAAGAAAACACTTTCACCATCATTCACACAATATAACTGTCTTTGCAGAGGTGCCCAGATATGACAGTTTAGAAGTCACTCTAAACAGCCAATAGCCCAAATCCCTCCTTTAAAATGCAGGCACTGTACTTCCCACCTCCAGGACTCAAGTCTGGCTAACCAGTTTCCTTGAATCCCCCTCACAAAATATTACCTCAACAGCATGTCAGGTCCCAAAAACTGTTCATATCCATCCACTCCTATCTAACATGTTCACACATGCCTGCTGCATGTCCAGGCCCCTTGCACACAAACCCTCTTTTATCCCCTCCCTCCATCCTTTCCTAGGACAACCCATACCCCTCCTCCCCTCCACTACAAATTTATACACCCTCCAAGTCAACCTATTTTGCTCCATCCTCTCTTAATGACCAAACCACCTCAATAACCCCTCTTCAGCCCTCTGACTAATACTTTTAGTAACTTCACACCTCCTAATTCCACAGTATTAAGTCTCTTCATGCTGTCTACACCACACATTGCCTTTAGACACGACATCACTGCCTCCAGCCTCTTTCTCACTGCAGCATTCACAACCCATGCTTCACACTCATGTAAGTGTTGGTACCACTATACATACTCTCGTACATTCCCTTCTTGCCTCCGTGGATAGCGTTTTTTGTCCCCACAGACACCTCAATACACCACTCACCTTCATTCCATCATCAATTCTATGGTTAACCTTGTCCTCCAGTCTTGGTATCAATCATTAACCCTTTCAGGGTCCAAGGCCCAAATCTGGAGTCACGCACCAGTGTCCAAGAATTTTCAAAAAAAAAATTTTGTTATTTTTTCTTATGAAATCGTAGAGAATCTTTTTGTGAAGGTAATAAAACAAAAAGTACGAAATTTGGTGGAAAATTGACGAAATTATGCTCTCGCGAATTTTGATGTGTCAGCGATATTTACGAATCGGCGATTTTGCCGACTTTGACTCCCATTTTAGGCCAATTACATTATTCCAATCAACCAAATTCTTAGCTATTTCACTAGTATTACTTCTATTCTATCGATTGAGCACAAGAAATCGCCAAGTCAACTGTTTCAACTACAAAATAAAGTGATCGGAAATTGTTAATTTGGCCAATTTAACACAAAGTTCAAAATATTCCAATTTCAAAATAGGGTCCAGAATGAACAATGTAGGCATTCCTGGCACTAAACTAACATTTCCTCTGTTCATTAGTTATGTTTTGAGGCTTTACAAATAAATTCCATTTTGATTTTTTATTCACATAATGAATTTTTATTCACACCAAAAAATAGAAGATTTACTGTTATGCAATACTGTAATAATTGTATAAATATCATCACCATATTTGTGAATGTATATTAGACCCACCAGCTGACGTGTATTAGACGTGTGAGGTCGTTTGTTTACTCTTGAATATCGGCAAAAATTTAACATTTCTGCTACTTTGAGCTCAGTTTCAAGCCATTTCCAGTGCTAAAACCAATCAAAATCATCTCTATTTCTGTAATATGTCTTCCATTCTATCAAATGAGACCAAGAAATCGCAAATACAACTATAAAAAACATACGAAAAAACACTGCAAAGTTGCTGTTTTAATCGAAAAATCATGATTTCATTTTTTTTCTCTCATTATACACAGTGTGCTGCAGGATCTGTTTTATGTGGTGCACACATACCACATAGATGTATTCTCTCATATCTAGGCCCAAATGTACCACTCACAGTTTATCAGAGTGAGCTGAGCTCATGGCGTAGATCTACGGTTTGGACCCTGAATGTAAAACCGTAGATCTACGGGACGGACCCTGAAAGGGTTAAGCAATCATTTTGTTCTTTATCCTTGCTACCACTACCATTAACCCTTTCACTGTCTTGTACATAGCTCTATATTAATGATGCCAGTGTTGCTCATGAAAATCTGTTGCAAGCACAGGACCTTCAAACATGCTGTGAACAATAAATTTTGGCCTAGACATGAATGAGACCATGTGGTGTGTGCACAATATAAAAAAAAATCCTGCCCTCACAGTTCATGATGGGAAAAGTAAACCTTTGACCTCGTGTTTGATTTAAAATAGGAAATATGAGATATTTTCCAGGATACTTTTCATGATTTTTATCAGAACCAAGCACATGAATGAACTTCAGAAATTGAGATTAAAATATAAGACACTAACATGTGCAACTAATTCTTAAGCATAATATTTGCTGCCAGTGTGGAACATCTGAGTTATCAATCATGAAGCGAACAGATGTATGAAAGGGGACATGATCACAACATACAAAATACTGCATAGCACAGAGAAATCAGACAAGAAGTCAGAAATGAAATCTGCATACCCAACCAAGAAAATTCAATGCCAAAAAATTAAAAGAAAAGCGAAGCACAAGCTAGTATACACATAATTTCACCTCCAAGATATAAGTTTCCTGGCTACCCAATCCCAACATCAGCACATTCTTTCTCTAGCTAGAGGTATCCATATGCATATTTATATACTCACTATCCAACAACCTCTGCCCAAGTAGAATTGCCATTTACAAATTTCTCTTTGATTTATTATCTTCCCTTTCTCTATACAGCCTCTCCTCACTTAACGATGGAGTTCCGTTGCTAAGACCACGTCGGTAAATGAATTCGTCACTTAGCGAGAAACATACTATAACGGTAGTGGGTTTGTGTCAACTATCTATGATATTGTTTTAATGTCACCTTTGCACCATTTATAACATTTCTGGTATATTTTTAAAGGTTTATACAGTAGTATACTGTATATTGTAATAAAGAGAATAGAGGAAATCAGCTCTAATATACATTATTTAGGCATGCATACTGGTCAGAGAGCTCATTGTAAGTCCAAGGCGTCGGTAAACAAGTATGTCGCTAAGTGAGGAGAGGCTGTATACTACCACCTGCACCAGCTGTACTTTCCTCACACGCTATAAACACTGGGGAACCTATTGTTAGTAACTTGCCTCTTCATTGTCATCTGCCAGTCCAAAATATACAAGGTGTCTGATGACTGTTGGTGACAGGAGGAGGAGGATTCTAGGAGATCGAGTCATCAATGTATCAACTGCCTGGGATGCACCAACACTATCTTCCACAAGTCGTTGAACAGATTTATATCTGAGAAGGGTTTTTGTTTTAGGAAACTGTATTAACAAAATTATTACTCCAACAACTGTAAGTTACAGCAATTTATGACAATTATAATGAGGCCTAAGAGGTAAAGTAAACCTTGCATACTCAAATGGGAAATTACAAATAGGTGATTATTGTAATACGGCAATGTACTGTATCATGTACTTCATAGAAATAAATATTTTTTTTTAACACGCTAGCCATCTCCCACCAAGGCAAGGTGACCTGAAAAAGAAACACTTTCACCATCATTCACACTATCACTGCCTTGCCAGAAGTGCACAGATATGACAGTTCAAATGTCTCTTCAAACAGGAAATATCCCAAACCCTTCCTTCAGAGTGCAGGCACTGTACTTTCTACCTCCGGCTAAATGGCTTCCCCGAATCCCTTTACAAAATATTACCCTGCTCACACTGCAACAACTCATCAGGTCACAAAAACCATTTGTCTCCATTCGCTCTTATCTAACATGCTCACAGATGCCTGCTGTATGTCCAAGCCATCCCTCCACTACAGATTTATAAACTCTCCAAGTTGTCTTATTTTGCTTCATCCTCTCTAAATGGCACAAGAGGGGCTCACCTAAAAAACTTCAAAAATATTCCCATTCTACTACTAAAAACACCCTACTGCCTCATTTTTTTTTACACATCGACCTTCTCCCACCAAGGCAGGGTGACCCAAAAAAAGAAGAAACACCTTCACAGTCAATTTTTCAATCAGGCTTTCCAAAAGCATGCCAACATCATGGCTCACCCTGTGCACTCAGGTGCTGTCAATAAAACCTATTTCTGCAGAGTGTGAGCTATAGTTATTCCTGCAACAGAAACTGCTGATACAACTGTATACTGCACTATAACAAGCTTTACATTATGTGAGTAGGGAGCACTAAATTCTATTCATAAAAATTATTTTAAAAGTTAGCTGAATAAAAAATTAACATTAAAAATGTGAACAGTTTTCATACCCACTTAACCTGATTGTGGCATCAGGAAACCGAAGAATTTGCAATAGTAACATTTGTGCTTTTTCAACATGCTCTTCCTCCATATTTCCCAGAGAAATTTGTTTAGCCACACCTCGTACAAATTTTTCTACCAACACATTGCTCTGATGAATACTAGACACTGGTATGGCCTTCTCTGCAAGATCAAGAAACTGTACTTGTTGAGATGATGATGTCTGCAAAAAATCTGAAGTAGCCTTAAGAGACTGGGCAGCAAAAAGCACACTTTTGATTTGAGTACCAACAGTTGGGTTTGCTATACTCAAATGCTTTAGCAAAACATTATGTTGACTCATGTGCTCGAAATAAAAGCCTCCATCACAAAGGATGCGTATCATCCCTTCACATACATCGTTATCAATGACCTGGAAATAATAATAATAAGACATTGTAAAACTTAACAAAATTACTTCAGAAATATCATATTGTCAACAGCTTCCAACAAATATTTCAGTCTGAATATATATGTATTTTTAATTTCTTACCTGGGAAGATGCTTCAAGAGGAATGAAATCTGTAAGAATTCTGTACAGTATCAACGCCAAACAATTAATATTCATAACTTGTCTTTCAGCCTCAGTGTTAGTGGATGCTGATCTCTTTGCCTCAAAACCAGCCACAATAAGATAGGAAATGCACAGAATTATCTGAAAGAAATAACAAAATTAATATAACATAAGAACATGTGGCAATTCATTCATTCATTAGGGATTTGCCAGTACTTCCGGCCCGGGTCTTCTCCAGATGGTGACCCAGTGGTGGCCCCCGGGTTGGGGGTGTTGTTTATCATCATCTTTCTTCTGTCTTCTTTCTTGGGCCCTCCGGGTGGAGGGTATGTGTGGCAATGTGTGGTGTAAACATTATGCAGAAAATTCGGAGTGTGGAAATTAGGTGAGGAGTTATTAAAAGTATTAGTCAGAGGGCTGAAGAGGGGGTTATTGAGGTGCTTTGGTCATTTAGAGAGAATGGATCAAAGTAGAATGACATGGAAAGCATATAAATCTGTAGGGGAAGGAAGGCAGGGTAGGGGTCATCCTTGAAAAGGTTGGAGGAAGGGGGTAAAGGTGGTTTTGTGGGCGAGGGGCTTGGACTTCCAGCTAGCGTGTGTGAGTGTGTTAGATAGGAGTGAATGGAGACAAATGGTATTTGGGACCTGACGAGCTGTTGGAGTGTGAGCAGGGTAATATTTAGTGAAGGGATTCAGGGACCCCAGTTATTTTATATAGCTGGACTTGAGTCCTGGAAATGGGAAATACAATGCTTGCACTTTAAAGGAGGGGTTTGGGATATTGGCAGTTTGGAGGGATATGTTGTGTATCTTTAAACGTATATGCTTCTAAACTGTTGTATTTTGAGCACCTCTGCAAAAACAGTGATTATGTGTGAGTGAGATGAAAGTGTTTACATAATGGTAGGATTGCTGGTGTCTTTTGTCTGTCTCATAACATGCAAGATTTCAGGTATGTCTTGCTACTTCTACTTACACTTAGGTCACACTACACATACATGTACAAGCATATATATACATACCCCTCTGGGTTTTCTGCTATTTTCTTTCTAGTTCTTGTTCTTGTTTATTTCCTCTTATCTCCATGGGGAAGTGGAACAGAATTCTTCCTCCGTAAGCCATGCGTGTTGTAAGAGGCGACTGAAATGCCAGGAGCAAGGGGCTAGTAACCCCTTCTCCTATATATATTACTAAATTTGAAAGGAGAAACTTTCGTTTTTCATTTTGGGCCACCCCACCTCAGTGGGATACGGCTGGTACGTTGAAAGAAAGAAGAAAGAGATGAAAGTGTTGAATGATGATGAAAGTATTTTCTTTTAGGGAATTTTCTTTCTTTTTGGGTCACCCTGTCTCGGTGGGAGACAGCCGACTTAACAATAAAAAAAAAAAATACAGGATCTAAATATCTGACAAAAACTAAACTTACATAACTTTTTAACTAACCCTTCTAATTTCTCCTGTTATTTCCTCAGAAACTTCATCATAATCCTCTTGTTCCCATAAAAACTGAGGCTGTACACACTGCTGTAAGAGTGCCAGACAGGAGGTGAGAAGACGGAGACTGACATCCTGTATCGACGGTCTTGGGGAAACCATGAGAGAACACAGGCGTCTCATAATGTGGCTACAGTGTCCAGTTACTGTTAACTGATGCATTCCAAGAAGAATAAATTCATCTCCATCATCTTCTTCATGTGTGGTGGTGCCTGACAGATCCTGATTGGGAAAACAATGGACATGAAATTCATCACAAACTGGCAAGTCACAGACATACCAATTACCATTTAAGAAATCAATGTGTAAAAAATTTCACTACTACTGATCAAGCAATTTGAAGTAACATCTATTCAAAAACCTAAAAATCTGCAAGACAAAAATGCTTGATATTACAATAACATAGCATACTATACTCTAATTACACACCTTAATTACATTATTAAAGGAGCCACTCCTATTCGGTCCATCTCCTAAATGTCCTTCATCCTTCCCCTTAGTGTGGCGAACATGTCCGTGAGCACCTATATTCTGCATATAACCACCAAAAAATGAACAGCAACTCCTTCTGTTTATATCCATATTCGGGGTGTTCAAGCCTGAGGATGATGATGATGCAATCTGTTGAGTGGTTATTCAAATTAATAGTAGAGTACTTTTATTCAATAACCGTAAACTTGAATCTCAATATTATAGTCGCTCTACAGACAACAGACTCATATATTGTGTGTGAGTTAGGTTCTTAAAATCTGCACTATATGTAATGTCACAATATGTAATGTGAAGAATATTGAAGGGAAAATGATAAAGGATAAAAATAAAAAGTTAAGTTTCTTAATTCATTAAAAAAAAGTTTTTGTTGATCTAAAGGAGTGTGGTGAGGGTTGATGTTGCCTAACTGCTCCAAGTTGGATTTAGCTAAAAACAAAAAGGTTACATAAAACAATTTCTTTCGACTGCTGGTACATACTGATCTTTACATCAGTGAAAGCTGCTGTAGCCTTACTGGGTCAAGGAGGATGGCTGTGGCTATTTTATGGCTGTCGATGGCTGTGGTTGTGGTGCTAATGCTGATGACTGGTCTTTGTGTTAATGTTGATATTTTACTTTATGGTTGAGCTGGAGAGCTTAGGTACTGCATTCTATAATGCATCTCTGCATTACAGAATACTGAAGTACTCAATAGTTTATGATAGGGAAACATTGCCTGGTCAAGAGCCTGCTTCACATCAATGCCTCTAAATGAGTGGTTCTCAAAGAGGTCCTCTTAGACCCCCAGGAAAGGAATTTCAGGTCCAATAGGAGGGATTTGGGCCAGGGAAGAAACTGAGGACAACTACACTCAGCTAATGCCTCCCTCATGACTGGTGTCAAGAGGTAAGCAGTCTTTCGTTTCCTCGTGATAGTTTGTACCATATATATGGTGAGAAATAGCTAAGAATTTGGTTAAACTTAGCAATATAATTGGCCTAAAATAGGGCCCAGTATGGTGAAATCCCTGATGTGTAAATTACCAGACTGCTAAATTTGCGCCTGCATAATTCTGCAAGTTTTCTATCAAATTCTGTACTTTCGGTGTTATTACCTTCAGGAGAAGACTCTACCATTTCATTTTTTTTTTTTTTTTAAATATGGACACTGTGAGCACTTTTAATTTTAGAGCTTGAGACAGTAAAGGGGTTAAAAGCTTTATTACCCATCTCATTAACAGATCTATTACTGCTTTCTTACTTCATGTCACCTGGCTCCTGCCAATATATATATACTTGCTTAGTTACATGTATTTCTGTATTATGACTGATGAAGTCACTCATATGAAACATTCCTTTAATAAATGCCCTGAACTATATGCAGTGTCTTTATCTACAAGTCACAAAGTTCATTATGAAAACTACACTAGTGTAATGAATTGGAATTCTTTCAAGACAGGCATCTCTAAATACATATGTATAATGGAAATCTGATTAAATCAGACTCGATATTACTTCATTTATAAAATAGGCTTTTATGGAGGACTACTTTTTTGAAGTGGGCATAAGGTATATATAGTGTGTATCTGAATGGGAAACTGTGCATGATGTATAAATATACATGTAAATCATAACAGGGTTGAACTATGCCCGACATGACACTTGTCATGCTTAACAGAAACTTTACACATTTATCAGACAATTGCAAATTTTTTTATAATTTTTTTTATTTTGAAACTAATTAGTTGATCTGTTTTGTATCAATCTGCTGTTGTCTTACAAGATTATTATTATTATTATTACAATCAAGGGGGAAGCGCTAAACCCGGAGGATTATACAGCGCCTGGGGGGGGATGTGGAAGGCATTCAGGCTTAATTTGGGGAACTGGAGCACAGATCCAATTCCCTAAATCAAGAGCCCCTCACCAACATCAAGGAACCTTCCTTGAGGGGTGTCTTACAAGAGATTGATTTAATAAATTAATCTTGGTTAGTAAACCAAACAATATATGAGAGAGAAGAGGGCAACCAGGATAATTATTTCAAATACAGCCTCTCCTCATTTAACGACGGAGTTCCGTTCCTAAGACCACGCCGGTAAACTAATTCGTCGCTAAACAAGGAGCACACTATAATGGTAGTGGGTTTGTGTCAACCATCTCTGATATTGTTTTAATGTTACCTTTGCATCATTTATAACATTTTTTAGTATATTTTTAAATGTTTATATAGTGGTGTACTGTATATTGTAATAAACAGAATAGAGGAAATCAGCTCTAATATACATTATTTAGGTATGCACACCAGTCAGAGAGCCCATCGCAAGTTCAAGTCGTTAGGTAAGACACATGTGCAACAGTTAGGTATCTTTATTTCGAAACGTTTCGCCTACACAGTAGGCTTCTTCAGTCGAGTACAGAAAAGTTGATAGAAGCAGCAAGTCCAAGTCGTTGGTAAAAGAGTATGTCACTAAGCGAGGAGATGTTGTACTCACTTCTTCCTCTTCTGGCATTAGATGTGGATCTTTGAAATGTGCAATTCTTCTGCTCAGCAACTGCGTCAAGGTCAGTAAACAGCTGCATGCAGGACCTTGTACTCGCCATGCAAGCTCCCCTTCCTCCTCAATGCATCCATAAACAGCCTGAAAATATACTGTACATTATAGCAGATTTTCATATTAAAAATGACTTTAGTACAATACAGTAAAAAAAAAAAAAAAAAAAAAAAAAAAAAAAAAAAAATAATTCATTTCAGATCTTAAATTAAACTAAAACTACACTATATAACTGCATATGTATGTTTTTATATTAGTATTTGAGACATGGGAATTTAATTGCCCATACAAAATCTTCTTAATCCCCATCCATTCAGCTCCTTGCCCATTCCCACATTCATTAATTCAGAGTCCCAAACATTCAACTACAAAAACATAAAATTTTAACTTTTAAAAACCAAAATTATTTTGGGGGGGGTTTAATAAAGTTAAGGGGGGGGGGCCCTATTAAAGGAGCTTTAGCCTTTTAAAAAAGGGGAAAAAAGGGGCCCCAAAAATTTTTGGGTTTAATTTTTAAAAAATTTTTTGGAGGGTATTTTTAAAAATTTTTAAAAAATTGGGGTGGGGGAAGGAATTTTAGATGGGGGGGGAAATGTTATATTTTTTTACATAAGTGAACAATTTTAGTAAAGAAGGAATTTTAGAAATTTTAAAAAAAGGTGAAAGGGGGTTTTGGGCAGAGGAATTTGGAATGGGTGGAATTTTAAAAAGTGAAAAAGGTTTTTGAGGAAGTGGGCTTTTTTTTTGGAAAGAGGGGATCTTGGAAAAATCTTGCAAAAGGTAATGTAAAATTTTTTTAAAATTTTTTTAAGGGGGGTTGTAAAGGAAGTAAATGCAGGGGGGGGGGGGGGGTTAAATTATGGGGAAAAAAAAAAAATGGGATTAACTTTTTTTTTTTAATATTCATAGATTTAAAAAAAAAAAAATTTGGGATGGGGGGTTTGTTTGAAGGGGAAATTTAATTGCAAAAATAATAGGGGGTTTTTAAAATTTTAAAAAAAAATTTTATTCTTTTAAAAAAAGGAAAAGTAAGTTTTCGTACGGGTGAGGGGGCCTTTTTTAAAATGATTAAAAAAAATTTTGGAAAAAAAAGGGGGGGTTGGTTAGGTATGGGGGGCAAAAATTTTTCTTGGAAAAAAAAGGGGGAATGTTTGAAAGAAGGGGGAAAAATTTTTTTTTGGGGGGGGGGAAAATGCAGGCGAGGGAGGGTTGGAGGAGGGAGTTCCTGTTTAAGGGAAATTTTTTGGTGTAAAAATTTTGCAGAAAATTCGGATGTGGAAATTAGGAAAAGGTGTGGAGTTAATAAAAAATATTAGTCAGAGGGCAAAGAGGGGGTTTTTGAGGGGGTTTGGTTTTTTAGAGAGAATGGTCAAGTAGAATGACATGGAAACATATAAATCTATAGGGGAAGGAAGGGGGGGTAGGGGTGTTCGAAAGGGTTTGGAGAGAGGGGGTAAAGGAGGTTTTGTGGGAAGGGGCTTGGCTTCAGCAAGCGTGCGTGAGGTGTTAGTAGGGTGAATGGGACGAATGGTACTGGGGGCCTGGATTGTTGGAGTGTGAGCAGGGTAATATTTGTGAAGGGATTAGGAAACCGGGGTTTTTTATTAAATCGGACTTTATCCCGGAAATGGGAAGACAAGCCCGCCTTTAAAGGAGGGGTTGGGAATTGGCGTTTGGAGGGATGTTGTGTTTTTATAGTTTTTTTCTTCTAAAATTTTATTCTGAGGCCCCTGCAAAACAGTGAAAATTTGGAGTGTGGTAAAGTGTTGAATGAATGAAAGTATTTTTCTTTTGGGATTTTCTTTCTTTTTTGGGGCAAACCTGCCCCGGGGGGAGGCGGCCGACTTGTTTTAAAAAAAAAAAAAAAAAAAAAAAAAAAATTTAGGGAAACCCCTTATTTTCATATAGTCGGATTGATCCCGGAAAAATGGGGAATACAATCCCACTTTGGGGGTTAGGGAAGGCAGTTTGGGAGGGTAGTTGTGTATTTTTTTGTATTGTCAAATGGGGGTTTTGAGCCCTCTGAAAAAGGATTTGGAGTGTGGTAAAGTTTGAATATATGAAAAATTTTTTTTTGGGTTTTTTCTCTTTTTTTGGGTCAGTCGGTAAAAACGGCCACGTTTAAAAAAAAAAAAAAAAAAAAAGGCTTGGGCCTGGGGTTTCAGGTTTTAGTGGGTTCCCCCTCGTCCTCATTTTAATGAGCCCAGTCATAAGTGGCTTTTTGGAGACCTATCCCCGGTTTTTAACAAATTTGGGGAAATATAAACCCCATTTCCCCCCTGGATTTTTAATCTGGCCAGGCAGTAAAACTTTTTTAAAGTGCAAAAGGTGAAAATAAAATTTTATGGAAGGTATAAGGGAAAAGGGATACAAAATTATTAACCCCCGGGGTTTACCGACAGAGGCTTTTAAACCAGGTTTTTAATACTAGTAGAAATTGCACCCTTTTAAAATTTTTTAGAAAGCTTGGCCTTTAAAATGAAAGATGGGTCTATTGGTCAAAATGGTTTAAAAAAAATTTGCAGAACATGAATGGAAAAAAAAATTTTTAATGTTTTTTTAAAAACAGGGACTTTGCAGTATTTTTTTTATTATTTATTGTTGTATTTAAGTTTTCTTTTTCCCATTTTATAGAAAAAATATTGTTAATATTTTTGACTGGGCAATTAAAGTTACTTGAAATGAGCTAAGCAGCAAAAGTTAAATTTTACCCAAAATTTAAAAAGTAAAAAAATGAACGTCCCCCGCACGTGATCAATACTTTAAATCCCGTAATTTTTCCCTTTTTAACTAAGATTTGGATACGTAAAAAATTTTTATTTTTTTTTAGAATAAAAATTGGTGGAAGCCAAAAGTTTAAAAGGGCCTGGGGAATGGGAAACAACAAAAGGAAATTTTTTTAGTCGGTGTTTTTTGTTTATTCTGGACCCATTCAGAAACTGGTTTTTGAAAAGGGAAATTGAAAATTTTAAATTTGAATTTTTTTTAAGTTGAAATCGGTAAATGGGGGGTTTTTTGTACTCATTTGATACAAAAAATAGAGTTTGCAAAAAATTATGTTTTGGCGACTGTAAATTGGAATTGGAAAAAGACCAAAGGGGGAAAAATCGCCAATCGTAAAATCACAAAAGGAAATTGCAAAGAGATTTTAATTCCATAAATTTTATAAAATTTTTACTTTTGGGATTAGAAAGGGGAAAAGTTATCTTTTCAAAAAAAAAATAATTTTTTTTTTTTTGAAAATTTTCCCTTTTAAAAAGTTCGGGACTTCACCCTAAAAGGGGTTTAAAAAAAAATAACCTGGCTAATTTTGCTCAATAAAAATCCCTATCCATAATTTGTTTACAAGAAAAATTTCATGGACCCCCATACCTTGGACAATAAATTTCCTAATAAATTTTTTGCTAAATTTTGTCCCTATAAAAAACCCGCCCCAACCTATTGTCGGGGTCAAGGCGGCTGAGCCCCCTCACTTTTCCCCCCCTCATTGTTTACCGCCGCTCCCGGGGCATCCAACTACAATCGGAACATTTTTATTATTACAGTGTTTTTTTATGATTTTTTCGCAAAAAATTAAGGGGCCCCGGGCCCCAAGAAAGCTTTTTTGCCAAAACCCTACGAAAAGGGTTGGGAAAACTATAAGTGAAGAAAGACCCCGTAAAATGGTGGGTCTTTCCCAGGGGGGGGCCAGGTTGTATAGTAAACCCAATAACCATCCATTGTGTCCCAACAAAACGGGGATTTAAAGGGAACTTTCTTGCCAAAAGGGTTTAATGTGTTTCAACAGAGTAGGAGTGATGGAAATGTTGGGGACCTTAGGTTAGGTAAAATGGGGAAATCAGTTTGGAAAGGAGATAGCATTTCCCCGTGACATAAATAAAGGCTAAAGGGGGTGAGAATTTTTTTAAAAAAATGCCTGCAAAGTGAGATTAGGAATTTAAGGCCGCAAAATTGGTTTGAAGGGGTTTTAAGGGGAAGCGGGGCATACATTGTGTGAAAGGCAGGAGGCTGCCCTTTTGGACCACAAAGCAGGAAAAAAAGTCGGAATTTAAAGGAGTAAAGCAGTGAAGGGCTGAAACCCGAAAAAGTGTTTAAATTTGATGAAAAGGGTTTTTGGAAAAAAATGCCAACAGGACCCACATTACCGGAGGAAAAGGCACCCCGGACATAAAGCCTATGAAAGCAGGGTTACTCGTTGATGTTTCCAATCTAGTGGTGAGCAATGAAGCCTTTTAGGTATACTCAGAAACTCCCCGAGCGTTGGGAAAAATATCCTCAAAGGGAATTTGGTGTGCTGTGGGAAAGGGCAAACAGTAAAACATGGGTCACTGGGCTTTTTCTATGATGGTTACACCAAACTTTGCCCCCAATTGAAAAATTCCCCAACTGAAAAAAAATTAGACCTTAAATGCCCCCGGTATTAGACAATGCCCTGGTCATCCTACAGACGGGGCAGAGCGACTTTATGGGACATGGCTTTATTTAAGGGGAATTTTTTTTCCCCCTAAAACCACTCCCCTCCTCGCCCATGGACCGCAGGTTATTCAAACTTCAAAAAAATTTTACACAAAACTCTGTTTGAAAGGGTTTTTGTGACCCAAAACCATTGACTCAAGAAGTTTTGAGAGATCAATTTAATATCCTCAATTGTGTAAAACCCTTTTAGGTAAGGTTGGGGGGGAGGCTAAGAGGACCCTTTAACTTTTGGAAAAAACGGGCCAGAAGTGAACCAAAAAGGGTTTTGAAGGGTTTGAGGCTAACCCCGGGAAACCTATCCATTGAGGAACCATTTTTGGATTGGGAAGTCCTTGGGGGTTGGGGGTTAGGGGGGAATTGGAAGAGTGGTGGAGGAGGACAAAAAGAATAAACCTGATGATGCAGATCAATTCAACAGCAAGAGGGCCCGACCGAGGAAAAAATGGTTCGGGGGAGGGGGGAAAAGAAATTGAAGAAGTTCCTACTTTAAAGGGGTTTAAGGAAAAGTGTTGAATGGGCTTAAAGGCAAACCTTTTTTTAGACAATCACCCCAACACAGCTTTGCAAGGGGCTGGGACTATTACACACACTGTTGTGAAACACTTTGGAAAGTCAAAAAAACAGAGGGACAGGGCCCCTATGGACAGTATGTTGGCGACAGAAGTCCCGTGACCCGAAAATGGTCCCATGGCATTTAAAAAAAGGGAAGTAACCCCAAAAGGACTTGACACCTAATCTTAAAGGGAAAGGGGTTTTCCCTTTTTAAACTAAACTCTCTCCCCCATCCCCTCAAAAACATCACCCGATCTTCAATAAGGGAAGTGTCATGTAACTGTGCATGCCTTTTTCAGTTTGTGTGTATTAAAATTAATATTTCATGTGGTAAAAAATTTTTTTTTCATACTTTGGGGTGTCTTGCACGGATTAATTTGATTTCCATTATTTCTTATGGGGAAAATTCATTCGCATAACGATAATTTCGCATAACAATGAGTTCTCAGGAACGGATTAATATCGTTATGCGGGGGTCCACTGTATAGGTCTGGCAACTCAAAGCAGGACATCTCAGGATTCCCTATGGCTACTGGCTGCATCCTCAGTGGCTGGACTTGTGTGGCAGACAGCTAAGTTTCCATGGTTTCCCCTGCACTAAGTGATCTTGAGGGCTAGGTAAAAAAAAGAGATAGATCCACTAGAGGAAGGATATCAGCCCACTCCCATGGCTTTAGGCCACAATCTGCAAGTCATAAGGAAATTTACAACATAAAACCCTCAAGAACATGTGTTAAGCACTTCATAAATGGTTGAAGGATAACCTAAAGTGAAAAGTATGATCTATTTTGTGGTTGTAATAATGAGCACTCTATTTAAAGGTGGTGAATGTGAGAAATAATTTACACCAGAGTTTGGTGTGAATGAAATGACCATTTGTAAACTTAGAAAGAATTATAAAGTGAAATACAGTAAGAGTTTGTATATCATGTGACATGTTCAAATGGATAACTAGGTTGTCTGTATACCTAACCAAGATAAAGAATTTAATTAATGTGTAGCCTGAGGAAAAAAGAAAAACACGAAATGCACTCCCCTTACTACTCTAATATGTAATAAGACATAGTTTCTATGAAACTGTATAAGCAGGAAGAAGTGCTTTCACAAGAGTGCTGATGGGTTGAGGTTTATATTGTGAGTTGAGGTGGAATGCAAGAGCCTTAGCAAATTAATTACAAACACAAACAGGCAAGTACACATATATACATACATGTGCACAATGAAACTCCTACCTGGTTTATACTAGTGTCTTTCTGCAATGAAGGCTAACCTGAATAACTGCTGGTCTCTGTAGGAGAACTTCAGGTGGAAAATCTTTAAGCACTATTGCATCAAGGAAATGCAAAGATGCCACTACTACTGCTTCGTTGTGACTGAGTAATGACTGCGTTGTTGAATCCAGCACTTTGCGATCAATTTGTGTCAAGGCCTGAAAAAAGTTCTTAGTTTGTGTTATATTGTGTTTGCTACAAAATCTACTTAAGTAATCTTCATATATGGAAAGCAGATCTGTTTTCCCATTAATAAGGATGGTAATTAGTAAACAAAAACAGTAATAAAAAATATCACCATTATAAGGCCTTATAAGGCATTATAAGGTAGATGGCGAGAATATTTTGAGGAACTTTTAAATGTTGACAAAGAAAGGGAGGCAGTAATTTCATGCACTGGCCAGGGAGGTATACCATCTTTTAGGAGTGAAGAAGAGCAGGATGTGAGTGTGGGGGAGGTGCGTGAGGCATTACGTAGAATGAAAGGGGGTAAAGCAGCTGGAACTGATGGGATCATGACAGAAATGTTAAAAGCAAGAGGGGACATAGTGTTGGAATGGTTGGTATTTTTGTTTAATAAATGTATGAAAGAGGGGAAGGTACCTAGGGATTGGCAGAGAGCATGTATAGTCCCTTTATATAAAGGGAAGGGGGACAAAAGAGATTGTAAAAATTATAGGGGAATAAGTTTACTGAGTATACCAGGAAAAGTGTACGGAATGGTTATTATTGAAAGAATTAGAGGTAAGACAGAATGTAGAATTGCGGATGAGCAAGGGGAGGTTTTAGAGTGGGTAGGGGATGTGTAGATCAAGTGTTTACATTGAAGCATATATGTGAACAGTATTTAGATAAAGGTAGGGAAGTTTTTATTGCATTTATGGATTTAGAAAAGGCATATGATAGAGTGGATAGGGAAGCAATGTGGCAGATGTTGCAAGTATATGGAATAGGTGGTAAGTTACTAAATGCTGTAAAGTTTTTATGAGGATAGTGAGGCTCAGGTTAGTGTGTAGAAGAGAGGGAGACTACTTACCGGTAAAAGTAGGTCTTAGACAGGGATGTGTAATGTCACCACAGTTGTTTAATATATTTAAAGATGGGATTGTAAAAGAAGTAAATGCTAGGGTGTTCGGGAGAGGGGTGGGATTAAATTATGGAGAATTAAATACAAAATGGGAAGTGACACAGTTACTTTTTGCTGATGATACTGTGCTTATGGGAGATTCTAAAGAAAAATTGCAAAGGTTAGTGGACGAATTTGGGAGTGTGTGTAAAGGTAGAAAGTTGAAAGTGAACACAGAAAAGAGTAAGGTGATGAGAGTATCAAATGATTTAGATAAAGAAAAATTGAATATCAAATTGGGGAAGAGGAGTATGGAAGAAGTGAATGTTTTCAGATATTTGGGAGTTGACATGTCAGCGGATGGATTTATGAAGGATGAGGTTAATCATAGAATTGATGAAGGAAAAAAGGTGAGTGGTGCATTGAGGTATATGTGGAGGCAAAGAAGGGAATGTATGACAGTATAGTAGTGCCAACACTCTTACATTGGTGTAAAGCCTGGGTTGTAAATGCTGCAGCGAGGAGGCGGTTGGAGGCAGTGGAGATGTCCTGTCTAAGGGCAATGTGTGGTGTTAATATTATGCAGAAAATTCGGAGTGTGGAATCTAGGAGAAGGTGTGGAGTTAATAAAAGTATTAGTCAGAGGGCTGAAGAGGGTTTGTTGAGGTGATTTGGTCATTTAAAGAGAATGGATCAAAGCAGAATGACATGGAGAGCGTATAAATCTGTAGGGGAAGGAAGGCGGGGTAGGGGTCATCCTCGAAAAGGTTGGAGGGAGGGGGTAAAGGAGGTGTTGTGGGCGAGGGGGTTGGACTTCCAGCAAGCGTGCGTGAGCATGTTTGATAGGAGTGAATGGAGACAAATGGTATTTGGGACCTGACGAGCTGTTGGAGTGTGAGCAGGGTAATATTTAATGAAGGGATTCAGGGAAACTGGTTATTTTATATAACCGGACTTGAGTCCTGGAAATGGGAAGTACAATGCCTGCACTCTAAAGGAGGGGTTTGAGATACTGGCAGTTTGGAGGGATATAGTGTGTATTTTTATACATATATACTTCTAAACTGTTTTATTCTGGGTACCTCTGCAAAAACAGTGGTTATGTGTGAGGTGAAAGTGTTGAATGATGATGAAAGTATTTTCTTTTTGGTGATTTTCTTTCTTTTTGGGTCACCCTGCCTCGGTAGGAGACGGCCGACTTGTTAAAAAAAAAAAAATAGAACATTTTTAGAATAAAAAATCTGGGTTTAAAATGCAGTGCAGCATGCAAGCTTTACACGCAGTCACCACACACACCTGCCAGGGAAAGACGGTAAATGTCACTGGTGAATTTTGGTCTGTAGCAGAAGGTTCTTGGAGAGTTAGGTCAAACAAGCTTTCCATATGACTTCCATCTACAGTATATCTGTAAATAATGACAACATTATCACCAATTTTAAGAAATTTTGGTCCAAATCTGACTGCCTAACCCCCTTTCAAATACAGTAGTTAAATGAAGGAATAATAAAATCTAAAGTAATTTATGATGCCATGCGAAGATATATGTACACCAGGATCATCATTCTTAACTCACCCCATTTCACTAAAGTTAGCCCCTTGATTACTGGTAAATGAAAGGCTATTTTCTTCAGTGTCATCCAGTGCTGCCCAATGTTGCCCCTTTTTCTCTTCCGCTTGTGGCTGAAGCTCTGGTGACTAAAAATAGACAAGTCTATTAAAAGCAAGATGTGCAGTATTCCACTAACCATATGAGTACATATATATGTATATAACTTTCACAATAGCAACCTTAATGATAGCATCCTGGGTACTAAATACAGTATGCAAAGTATGTCAATAAGCAACACACACATTACAAAAGTTGTCTCTTAGGAAGCTTATGATAGAAAAAGTAACTAATTTCAATACTAAAGATTACCCTAGATGTTATATCTTCTGATGCTTGATGTGGGCAATTTTGCAGTTTTTGTAGAAGATGATTAATGTCTGGCAGGAGATCAAGAGGGGCAGTTGCCTTTAAGCTACGAAGATAATAAGTTCCACCAAGAGAAGCAAACTGCCTTCTTGCAGAATCATCCTGAGATATAATATCACAGAATGTATTTATACATCTTACTGTATTACATTTTACAAAGAATGGAAATTTAAGCTTTCTCTCATTAATACTATGCTGTATTAAATATTTACATATCACAAATTTTGAATATAAGTAATAACACCATGGCTGAACCATTATCAAGTAGTGGCTTGATAAAAAGTCCAGGATGGACCAAAAAGTCAAAAGTTTCCTCTACAAACTGTGGGTTAATTGTAAATATAGTACAGTACAGAGTTCTTTAAGAGCAAGACACACAGACAAACAGTAGCCACACCATTACAACTACTGTTTGCTATTTACTTCCAATTGGACCTCATCATGGTTTCAAGGTTATGAAGGCTAATTTATCATAAGGAAACATTCAGCATCTACCACAATGGGTTAAAGCCCATTTAATTCAATTTAGTTTTACAACCTTAAACATGAAGGAGAGCAAATTCAGAACTTGAAATCTTAGAGTGTGGGGTCCCAGGTCCAATAGTTGCAGCAGGTTAGGAAGAAACTTTGGGTATTGGCTCAGTCTGCCACATGTCACCAAATTCAATTCAACTTTCTGAAGAAGGGAACTCAGAGCACGGCCACGGATTTCCAGAATAGGGTGCACTGAAAGATAAAACAGGTTGTCCAAGGTTAAAGCTACATAATTTACCACAATGTATTTTGAATAATGACTTTACTGCAACAACTGTATAAATGTATAATAATAATATACAGAACAATATGTAGTGTACCTTAAAAAAATGATCTTGTCCAGATTAATGATATAAGAAGTACTAATTTTTCTTGTTTAAGAAGGTCTCAACACTTCTTATTTATGACTCACAAAATTGTAATGACACATTTGTAAACAAATCACTGAATGGAGTGAGGCTGAACTCATGGCAAGAAAATCCTAAAACAAGCAGGCCATTGTGCTATTCACTATACCATACTGCCCTAGTATGATTCATCCAACTATGTATACAGTGGACCCCCGCATAACGATCACCTCCGAATGCGACCAATTATGTAAGTGTATTTATGTAAGTGCGTTTGTACGTGTATGTTTGGGGGTCTGAAATGGACTAATCTACTTCATAATATTCCTTATGGGAACAAATTCGGTCAGTACTGGCACCTGAACATACTTCTGGAGTGAAAAAATATCGTTAACCGGAGGGCCACTGTATTTCTATACACAATAGGAAGGTTAACATGGGCCCCACTGTGACCACAAATGAAGGTTTTACAACTGGATTGCCATGGTTTTGAACCCCATGCCATTCAGTGAGTTACTTATTAATTACTTATAAAAACTTTAGGAGCACAATACAGTGCTACATAATCTTTGAACAGAGCTCCTTACGGCCGTATGTATATACTGTACAGTAATATTACAGTATGAATTGTTTTGTATGAAATTTGGTCCTATACTTTTTAAACAAGATTGTCAGTGAGCAACATAACTGGCTTTAATGAATTTTTTTTTTTTTTCAACAAGTTGGCCGTCTCCCACCGAGGCAGGGTGACCCAAAAAAGAAAGAAAATCCCCAAAAAGAAAATACTTTCATCATCATTCAACACTTTCACCACACTCACACATTATCACTGTTTTTGCAGAGGTGCTCAGAATACAACAGTTTAGAAGCATATACGTATAAAGATACACAACATATCCCTCCAAACTGCCAATATCCCAAACCCCTCCTTTAAAGTGCAGGCATTGTACTTCCCATTTCCAGGACTCAAGTCCGACTATATGAAAATAACCGGTTTCCCTGAATCCCTTCACTAAATATTACCCTGCTCACACTCCAACAGATCGTCAGGTCCCAAGTATCATTCGTCTCCATTCACTCCTATCTAACACGCTCATGCACGCTTGCTGGAAATATTAACAAATAATAATTCCTAAAATCCTCTTTGATCTATCAGTTTCAAGAATAAGCCCATCCACAATAAGCAATGATAAATAACTCAGGGCATGACATACACATGGTGAAACACATTGTCATACTAAATTTTATAAACTATTCTAATTTCTAAACCAAGCTAACAGGTTGTTCAAACTTCTCAAGCTTCAGCTTGCCAAAGAGGAATCATTAACATGTCCCTATTGTAGATAAACTGCCATATGACCTGTCTTTGTAATACTCATTTGTGCTTTATTGTTATCTGTTTACAATAATGTTTTATCACTGATTACATCATTGCTTAGTTAATCTTAAGTTAATTTTAAGCCTGCCCGTAATGCTATGCATACAAGTGGCTTTGGCATGCTGCTCTTACCTGTATTTTTTTGTACCTCTGTATGTAAGTTCAAATTATTAAATAAATAAATAAATACAGTACAAGGTATTTGGTCAAACTGCTTTACTTACATCACCTATATTATTACTTGTAAAATATTTATCAGCATATAAACACAATGTGCAAGATACTGTATACACAGCTAAAACAAGACCAGGTCCTTAACAGAAGAGAAATTATTCAGATTAGTAACCCCAGCAGATTAATAATCCAGGAAAAACCAAGAAAGTAAAGGAGTATAGTGTAATCCTAGATATCTAGTGCTGACTGTCAGAAAACAAGGGCAGCAGGCATTAGACCTACTTGCATCTCTCTCCTCTTCTTGGATACAAGTTCAGTCTTTTTATGCCCTAAAATTTAAAAATTACTATTTATGTGATCATCCTTAGTTAAATGATGTTATTTATGTGAGTATTAAATGCAACAATATCATCTATGGTAAGAATAGATTAACTTTCCTCAGCAGATTTTTGACCATTAATTATAGTTTGAATTGTACAATATTAAATTGACTTTATATTGGAGATACTATTTTCTTGTGCAAATGTTAAGACATATAATAATAATGTATCTTTATTTCTACATTTCTAAAGAAATCAGCCCTGTGGCCTGGCTGGCAAAGCTCTCGCTTCACATGCTGAGGATCCGGGTTTGATCCCCGGCAGGGGTACAAACATTCGACGTGTTACCTAACACCTGTTGTCCTGTTCACCCAGCAAGTAGGTACCTGGGTGTTAGTCAACTGGTGTGGGTCGCATCCTGGGAAACAAGACTGAGAACCCCAATGGAAATAATACAGACAGTCCTTCGATGACGAACTGCCTTTCCTGGGTTATCCTGGGTTGCTAACCCTCCAGGGTTAAAAATCCGAACAAAATCTTATCTAAATGACGCCCACTCATGTACACATCTAAACTATATTTAAAACTACTCAAAAGTCTTGTCTCAACGAAATATTTATCCCGGTTCTATGTATGTATTGTAAAACATAAAGCAATGGTCAGTACAGTACCTAGTGTAACTTTATTATAGTTATGGGCAAGCACTAAACCCACTGGGGGTCATAAAATGCAAGGAAGTTCAATTCCTCGGATCAAGAGCCTCTCATGAAGGGGTACTGAACCTGAATAAAAATTCGCTTCCTTAGGCTGCTTATTTAATGGGAGGGAAGAAGCGCCAAACCCACAGGGGGGAATCACAGAGCACCTGGTAGTATGGAAAGTACTCGAGTTTGATCCAAGGGAAGGGGGGAGGAAAACAAAATCCAGTTCAGTGAATCAAGAGCATCACTTGCCAGGAGCTGTACAACCCCTACGGGTTGACCGCTTCCCTCCTAATTATAATAATAATATTACTCACAGCTCACCTAATTTATCTATATACTCAGGTACATGTGTCATCCTGAAAGCAGGTAACAACAGCAACAATAGTAGTTGTTGTTGTCGTTTCAAGATTCAAAACCACTCAGCTGATCTCCACCTCACATCGCACTGGCTTAAAATATATATTTATACACATTGCCCTGGGCTAATATATATGCTCTACGAATACACACATATACACGTGTATAATTATATATATATATAATATATAATATTATATATTTATATATAAATATATATATATATTTTATATATATATATATATACATTTTATATATATTATATATATATATATATATATATAACCTGGAGAGTTTACCTGGAGAGAGTTTTTGGGTCAATGCCCCCGCGGCCGGTCTGTGACCAGGCCTCCTGGTGGATCAGCGCCTGATCAACCAGGCTGTTGCTGCTGGCTGCACGCAAACCAACGTACGAGCCACAGCCCGGCTGATCAGGAACTGACTTTAGGTGCTTGCCCAGTGCCACTTGAAGACGCCGGGGGTCTGTTGGTAATCCCCCTTATGTGTGCTGGGGCAGTTGAACAGTCTCGCCCCTGACACTTATTGTATGGTCTCTTAACGTGCTAGTGACACCCCTGTTTTTCATTGGGGGATGGTGCATCGTCTCCCAAAGTCTTTTGCTTTCGTAGGGGAGTGATTTTCGTGTGCAAGTTCGGTAAATAGTCCCTCTAGGATTTTCCAGGGGTATATAATCATGTATCTCTCCCTCCTGCGTTCCAGGGAATACAGGTTTAGAAACCTCAAGCGCTCCCATAATTGAGGTGTTTTAAATCCGTTATGCGCGCCGTGAAAGTTCTCTGTACATTTTTTAGGGCGGCAATTTCACCTGCCTTGAAAGGTGCTGTTAGAGTGCAGCAATATTCCAACCTAGATAGAACAAGTGACCTGAAGAGTGTCATCATGGGCTTGGCCTCCCTAGTTTTGAAGGTTCTCATTATCCATCCTGTCATTTTTCTAGCAGATCCCGATTGATACAATGTTATGGTCCTTGAAGGTGAGATCCTCCGACATAATCACTCCAGGTCTTTGACTTTGGGTGTTTCGCTCTATTTTGTGGCCAAATTTGTTTTGTACTCTGATGAAGTTTTAAATTTTCCTCATGTTTACCAATCTGATAATTGAAATTTCTCATCGTTGAACTTCATATTGTTTTCTGCCAGCCCACTGAAAGATTTTGGTTGATGTCCACCTGGAGCCTTGCAGTGTCGCAATGGAAGACACTGTCATGCAGATTCGGGTGTCATCTGCAAAGGAAGACACGGTGCTGTGGCTGACATCCTTGCTATGTCGGATATGAGGATGAGGAACAAGATGGGACTAGTACTGTGCCTTGTGGAACAGAGCTTTTCACCGTAGCTGCTCGGACTTTACTCTGTTGACGACTACTCTCTGGTTCTGTTAGTGAGGAAATTATAGATCCACGACCGACTTTTCCTGTTATTCCTTTAGCGCGCATTTTGTGCGCTATTACGCCATGGTCACACTTGTCGAAGGCTTTGCAAAGTCGAAATATATTACATCTGCATTCTTTTTGTTTTCTAGTGCATTTAGGACCTTGTCGTAGTGATCCAGTAGTTGAGACAGACAGGAGCGACCCTGTTCTAAACCCATGTTGCCCGGGGTTTTGTGTAACTGATGGGTTTCTAGATGGGTGGTGATCTTGCTTCTTAGGACCCTTTCAAAGATTTTTTATGATATGGGATGTTAGTGCTTTTGGGTCCTGTAGTTCTTTGCTGTTGCTTTACTGCCCCCTTTGTGGAGTGGGGCTATGTCTGTTGTTTTTAGTAACTGGGGGAACGACCCCCGTGTCCATGCTCCCTCTCCAAAAGGATGGAAAAGGCTCGTGATAGGGGCTTCTTGCAGTTCTTGATGAACACAGAGTTCCATGATCTGGCCCTGGGCAGAGTGCAGGGGCATGTCTTTTTAAACGCCTGTTCGAAGTCATTTGGCGTCAGGATAACATCGGATAGGCTTGTGTTAATCAAATTTTTTGGCTCTCTCTCATAAAAAATTCTTTTTGGGATCTTCAACTCTCAGTCTGGTTAGCCGCTTGCTAAAAACTGATTCATATTGGGACTTGAGTAGCTCACTCATTCCTTGCTGTCATCTGTGTAGGACCCATCTTGTTTAAGTAGGGGCCCAATACTGGGCGTTTTTTCTCGTTTTTTGATTTGGCATAGGAGAAGAAATACTTTGGGTTTCTTTCGATTTCATTTATAGCTTTTAGTTCTTCCCGCGATTCCTGACTCCTAAAGGTTCTTTTTGCTTAAGTTCGATGCTTGCTATTTCTTGACCCCGTGTCTCCTGCGCATTTTAGATATATTGACCTCTTTAGCCGCTCTGTTATTCTTTTCCGTCGCCTGTAAAGGGAGCGCCTGTCCTTTCTATTTTACAAACTATTCCTCCTTTTTCTTAGAGGAATAAGCCTTGTGCATACATCGAGTGCCACCGAGTTAATCTGTTCAGCATAAGTTTGGGTCTGTGTTGCTTAGTATATCTTCCCAGCTTATATCGGTTAGGACTTGGTTTACTTGGTCCCACTTTATGTTTTTGTTATTGAAGTTGAATTTGGTGAATGCTCCTCGTGACTAGTCTCATTTGTCGGGCTGGGGCTCCTCGCATACATGTCCTGAACCTCAATTATGTTGTGATCTGAGTATATTGTTTTGATATGGTGACATTTCTTATCAGATCATCATTGTTAGTGAATATGAGGTCTAGTGTATTCTCCAGTCTAGTAGGCTCTATTATTTGCTGGTTTAAATTGAATTTTGTGCAGAGATTTAAAAGCTCGTGTGAGTGTGAGTTTTCATCAGAGCTGCCTCCTGGTGTTATTACTGCAACAATATTATTTGCTAAAATTCCTCCATTTTAGGTGCCTTAAGTTGAAATCCCCCAGGAGCAAGATGTTTTGGGGGCAGGAGCTGGAAGATTTTCCAGACAGTGGTCGATTTTAACAGCTGTTCCTGGAATTGCTGGGATGTTGCATCCGGAGGCTTGTAGACTACCACAATGACTAGGTTTTGGTTTTCGACCTTTTCTGCTAAAACTTCCACTACGTCATTTGAGGCATTAAGCAGTTCTGTGCAAACAAGTGACTCTGCAATGTACAGGCCAACCCCCCCCTTTTGGCCTGTTCACTTTTGTCACATCTGTATAGGTTGTAACCTGGGATCCGTATTTCATTGTCCAAGTGATCCATTTATGTGGGTCTCAGTGAAAGCCGCGAACATTGCCTTGCCTCTGCCAAGCAGTCCACCCCCCCTTTGGGTTTATTGTTTTATATTGTCCGGGGGACCGTATTTTTGCCAAGGGAAATGTTTATCCGGACTTGTTTTGTTGGTACGGGGGATTTTTTTATTTTTTATTAAATTTTTAAAAAAATTTTATAATATTTTTATTTTATAATTTATAATAAAATTATATATATATATTATATATATTTTTATAATAATATTATATAATAAAAAATATATATATTATAAATATATATATATTTATATTATATAAATTATATATTTAAATATTATATATATATAAAATAAAATATATTTTTTTTTTTATATAAAAATTTTTATAAAATAAAAATTATATTTTTTATAATAATATATATTAATATATTATATAATATAAATAAATATATATAAATATAATAATATAAATATAAATTTATTTAATATAAATAATTATAATATTATAAAATATATATATATAAAAATATATTATATATATATATATATTAAAAATATATATATATATAAAAATTTTTTTTTAAAATATATTATATATATAAATAATATATTATATAAATTAAATATATATATAAAAATATTATAAATATATATATTATATATATAAATTATATAAAAAATTTTATATTATATATATATTTTAAAATTTATATATATTTATATATTTTATATATTATATATAAAATAATTTATATATAAAATTATTTATATATATATATATATATAATATATAATATATATAATTATTATATAAATATATAAATATTAAAAAAATTATTTTAAATATATATATTAAATATTAAAACACGAATTCTTGGGGTCCGCAAATTTTTCTGTCCCAATTCTTCCGCAGGGCTTTAATTGGTTTTGGACATTAATCAGGGTTAGAAGAAATTAGTTTAAAAACCCCCCCAACCCTCCGTATGCCCTTGGCCAAGATAAACCCTAGCTGGCGGGGTGTTTGGGTTCTTGTAAGATTGGATGGTCCTGGGGGTTTAAAGCTGCATGTGGTTCTCACTCACAGTGGCGGCCAGTACAACAGGGGTTTCAATCCTTGCCAAACGTAGTGTTGTTATTGACAATCCCACTCTTTCGTAAATGCAATAATATATAAAATATATATATATATATATTATATATATATATATAATATATATATATATTATATATATAATAATATATATATCTGCCGTAGCTTTCTACAACAGATGGGAACATAAAAAGTCGGGCTGAATGGTACCCCCTTGAACTGGCCAGTATCAGAAACTGTGGGCTGGGGGTGATGTCCGGGTACCCTTTAAAATTTGGGGGGCTGAAGGCGTCCGGGGAACAGTAATTTGAAGCTGGAAGTGCTGCCGGGGCGAAAGGGTGAAGCTGGGATACTGTCCGGGAACAGAAAGGGTGAAGTTGGAGATGCTGTCCTGGGACAGTAATGGTGAAGTGGGTTTTTTGTCCAGGTAGTCGGAATTATACGAAGGGAATACATAAAAATACCCATAGGGCGGGACCCTAGGGGGGAAAACAATGTATCAAAAGATGAAAAAACCAAATTGCAAACTAAAATCCACAGGAAATAGAAAACAAGGGGACCCCACTAGCAATAGTGGGATATATTACCAAAAACAATGGGGGGAGCCCCATTTTTGGGTGCTAGGGGGGATAGGAAAGACAGGTAAACTCCCCCAACAGGGAAACAGTCACAGAACCCCCAAAGGGAAAAGGGAAACCAAAACCTGTGCACTACTATGCACTTGGTACGCGACATGGGAAAATTGGAAAAACGAGGGGGACTTTCAACTATACCACCCTAGAAAAAAGCCGCCCCCATATGACAAAGGAAAATGCA